CATATAAAAATATTACTGGGCGTGCCGTTCTCCCACAGTTTAAGGGCTGGTGCCCGGTGGGCTCATCATTCACAGGTCACCATCTCCCAGCCAGACAAAATGCTACATCTAAGTAATACCTTCCCCCACCCCCTCCACATCCCCATAAAAAAGAGTAAAAGAATATAGAAATATGACTGGGCGTGCCGTTCTCCCATAGGTCACCATCTCCCAGCCAATCAAAATGTTACATCTAAGTCATACCTCCCCCACCCCCTCCCCACCCCCACCAAAAAAAGTAAAAGAATATAGAAATATGACTGGGCGTGCCGTTCTCCCACAGTTTAAGGGCTGTTGCCCAGTGGGCTCATCATTCACAGGTCACCATCTCCCAGCCAATCAAAATGTTACATAATGTCATACCATCCACTCCCCCCCCCCCCCCCTCACTAAAAAATTAAAGAATATAGAAATATTGCTGGGCGTGCCGTTCTCCCACAGTTTAAGGGCTGGTGCCCGGGGGGCACATCATTCACAGGTCACCATCTCCCAGCCAGACAAAATGCTACATCTAAGTAATACCTTCCCCCACCCCCTCCCCACCCCCACCAAAAAAAGTAAAAGAATATAGCAATATGACTGGGCGTGCCGTTCTCCCACAGTTTAAGGGTTGTTTTCCGGTGGGCTCATCATTCACAGGTCACCACCTCCCAGCCAGATAAATTCTACATCTAAGTCATACCTTCCCCCATCCCCTCCACACCCCCACCAAAAAAAGTAAAAGAATATAGCAATATGACTGGGCGTGCCGTTCTCCCACAGTTTAAGGGCTGTTGCCCAGTGGGCTCATCATTCACAGGTCACCATCTCTCAGCCAGACGAAATGCTACATCTAAGTCATACCTTCCCCTACCCCCTCCACACCCCCACCAAAAAGAGTAAAGGAATATAGAAATATGACTGGGCGTGCCGTTCTCCCACAGTTTAAGGCGTGTTGACCGTTGGGCTCATCATTCACAGGTCACCATCTCCCAGACAGACAAAATGTTACATATAAGCCATACCACCCCCCCCCCCTGACCAAAAAATGAATAATACACATTTTACAGGGTGTGCCGTGCTCCCACGGGTTAAGGGCTGGTGCCCAGTGGGCTCATCATTCACAGGTCACCATCTCCCAGCCAGATAAAAACGTACACATATGTCATACCATCCACTCTCCCCCCCCCCCCCCCCCCCCAAAAAAATAAAAGCATATAAAAATATTACTGGGCGTGCCGTTCCCCCACAGTTTAAGGGCTGGTGCCCGGTGGGCTCATCATTCACATGTCACCATCTCCCAGCCAGACAAAATGCTACATCTAATTCATACCTTCCCCCACCCCTCCCCACCCTCACCAAAAAAGTAAAAGAATATAGCAATATGACTGGGCGTGCCGTTCTCCCACAGTTTAAGGGCTGTTGCCCAGTGGGCTCATCATTCACAGGTCACCATCTCCCAGCCACAGAAAATGGCACATCTTACTCATACCACCCCCTCACCCCTCACCAAAATATAAAATAATATATAAATATTACTGGGCGTGCCATTCTCCCACAGTTTAAGGGGTAGTGCCCCGTAGGCTCATCATTCACAGGTCACCATCTCCTAGCCAGACAAAATGTTATACATGTAGGGCATACACCCCCTCCCTCCCCAATAAAAATAAATTAACTGGACATGCCGTTTACTACACAGTTTTAAGGGCTAGTGTCCTGTGGGCTTATCATTTATAGGTAAACATGTCCCTGCCCGGCAATATGTTACATGTATGTCTTACAACCCCCTCCCCATCACCCCCTCCACACCCCCGCAAAAAAAAAAATTAACATTAAAGAAATACTACAAAACATCAAAACAAAAGAGAAAAATAGAAGGAAAATAATTATCAGACGCCTGGAGGCTCATGTGAAATTCAATATCATTGCGAGTCTCGCATTAAAAAGATAATCTGTTTTTTCACAAGATAGATATTGAAATATGACTAACAACCTACGTTTACAACCTTTGGATGCTTTCCTCCCATCTCCCTGCCAACATCAAACAGGCTAAGACGGGACTTTGCAATGGAAAGCTCAGAACATGAACTGGTAGAACTGCTGATCAAAGAGAAGGAGGTGTACAGTAGCTCTGGCGCTGATGGCTGACTGACTGACTGACTGACTATAGGCCCATGCACGTCCCTTGATGATGAACCTTGATCTGCGGATTTAAACGACAAAAGATTAATGCAATTAGAGACAGTAAGTATACACATTGAAAGACGTAATAAAGTCAAATCTGTCTTAGAGTTAGAGGCCATCTTTTCATAAAGGCCATCTGTCTTTAGTGGCCTACATCTTTTTCTCTCTCAAGCGAGAAATGTGTGTTGTAGAATCTGTATAAAAAGACCACCTGTGTACAGAGGCAACTTTTTTGTTTTCCTTTGGTGGTCTTAATAGACAAGTTTGACTGTGGTGTATACTATTTCAAATCTCTGTCATATTTATTAATTTTTGGGGGAGGTGCAAATTCATTCAATTATTTCCCCGTCAACCATATTTACTTGTTTCTCTTCTTGTCCGGGCAGCAAATGGACTACACCAGATTTGGGCAAATCCATAATTGTATTGGAATCTTATTTATAAATAAGAATGATCGTGATAATGATGACAATGTTAATGATGATAATGATGATGATAATGATGATAATGCTGCTGCTGATGCTACTCCTACTACTACTACTACTACTACTACTACTACTACTACTACTACTACCACTACTACTACTACTACCACCACTACTACTACTACTACTACTACTACCACTACTACTACTACTACTACTACTACTACTACTACTACTACTACTACTACTACTACTACCACCACTACTACTACTACTACTACTACTACTACTACTACTACTACTACTACTACCACTACCACTACTACTACTAACAATATGTCTTATTTACCCAGGGTATTAATGCTGTTCTCTCTGCATCATGTGACATGCAATGACCAAATGACCAACCTATAAGATGTTTGAAGAAGAACAAAATCTTGCTGTCTCTGCCCCTTTATATTACCTCTACGCCGGGAGAAACAAGTGGTAAAGTTGTTTCTGTATTTTTTGGTGGTGCCCCTCCCCCTACTGTTCGACATTTTACTGAAACAACCAGCTAGGGAAAGAGAGGGGAGGAGGAGGGAGGAGGGGGAGGGGCGGGCAAGAAGAGAAGACCTCGACTGAAGAATAAACCACGTATACTAAAGTCATAAACCAGCTACTTAAATATTCAAATTATATTTTATGAATGTTTCTTTCCTGGGGACCTAGTGACGAGTTATTCCGTTAATCTGTCAATAATAAATGAACTGCAATACACGGAATCCAGTCCTCAAAAAAAATTTGTTGCTATGTCCGACAATCCAAGTGCAAGATTTCAAGTTTGTCAAAAGTAAGCATGTTAGTAAACCGGGCTATTCAAATATGCATGTTACTCTTCAGATCCATGAATATTAACTATTTAGTACACCTGCTATACATATTAACATGTCTAAAGATTTATATTAGCTGTTGCTATGTCTGGTAATCATTTGACAATCGTTTGAGTTGTCGAGAAAAACTTGTGATAGTATGAATAAAATGAGTAAACATGTCTATTTATTCCACTTTCAAGTTGGCCCGGTACAAACAAAAATTAAGGGGGGGGGGATATAGGCCTGTGCTTTGTCACAGAGACAACTTGAATACATTCTCATCGAGTCTAGGCCCAATTTTACAGGTGAAAGGTTAGTCTTTTGTAATATTTGGAAAGTTAGATAGGCCTAAATAATTATGAACTTACTGTCGTTGTTGCCAGCACCAGAATTCATCCAGGGCTGGAGGTGCATTCCTTTTGCACCGGCAACCCTCGCAGGGGAACTAGGCGCACTTTAGTCCATACCGGCCATGATGGTTAGCGATCGTTCACTTTATAGTGAACATGCACAGAGGCGACGCAGAAAGTCCATGAAACAAAGCAAAAGCTAAAACCATCCTCCAAAAGACTTATACAATAATGCTAAGCATAGTCAGTTCTTGATGTTGGTTACTTTTTGATGACAATCAGTCAATTTACAAATCGAAATACAGAGTTTTCATTTTTATGAGCGGAAAGAGTGGTGAGAGTCACGACTCGCTATTGCACGTAACCTCGAACCGATCCCGGCGGTGATTTCTTTGAATGGGTAGTTGAATAGACATCACGTGGTTCGAGCAGACGAGCCAATCACATTCGCCTTTGTTCGGGCTATCCCGAACACGAATGCACGCCAGGAATGTCGGTATACTTTCGGGGTGCACGTCACACAAGCTATCGTCCAAAATCTTATTGTTGAGGGAACGAACACAATGGTTCATTCTAAATAGATTAACAGCATTTTCTAGTGAACCAGCTTAGCTACAATGTATTTATGATAAGGCAGCCACAATCGTAGATCAATAGACTGTTTACGGAATTAATGCAGTCCAATCAACTTACTGATTATTGCCGCTATAGTGACGTTTTTGTCAAATTTGTTTTTGGTCAAATGGGAGACTGTCTGTTCTCAGTCGTGCATTCATTTTAGGGGGCTCTTTTATTCTTAGTGGGTAGGGTGCTTAATTAGCTTAGCCTATCTAAAGAAAATTGATTAAGTTCTCAATAAAATGGGTACGTGTGTCAAATATGAGATAGAGGCGGGGCCTCCAGAGATAATAGACCGCTAACTAAAGTAACATTTTGACAATTTTTAAATGGAAAACCATTTATCAAGAATTTCAGCGCTCTCTATGGATAACAAATGCCAAATATTTTCAAAACACCATGTACCACCTCACACCTAGAAGAACCAACGCCCTCTGTGTCCCCTTGAGCTGACTCCAGAAAAATCTTTTTGTTTTCTTTATGCACGGTGCATGCACAATGCGTAACGCACAGCATTCAGCATGTGTGCACAAAGTTCTTCGTATAACATGCACTGTATATAGACTACATCATGCACTTCATTGCGATCTGGACGGCAGAAACGAGGCGAGTAAGACGACATGTTCTCTAAATTTTCACCACAATGTGGTGCTTTGTAAGTGAAAGTCCATCTGTTGTGAGAGAATACAGAATACCTCATTCGGAGTTAGGACAAGTTTTATACGACAAAGTAAGTATTTTCATTTCCAAGTTAATTAAAATCAAATCCAATAATTGTTGTGGCGCTGCACTGCGTTGACTATTGTCACTTGTATTGTAAAATAATGATTGTTGTTATTGCCATAGGCCTAGACTATTTGTTGTTGCATGATTAATATGTGCATATGATGTACAGATCCCTATGCCTATAAATATAATGGGGCAGCGTAGCCTAAGTTTTAGGGCTCAGTGATAATATGATTTCTGAAATAGGATGTTGATTTTACCAAGCATTGATTGTGAAATTGCATGTGTGGTCCAGCCTGGCCGGGAGAGCTGAGAGTGATGTAAAACAAAATCAGTAGGGGAGCTGGTCTGAGATTGAGAATGAGGATCGTCTGCATAAACGAGGATATCCTCGTAAAGGCGGACAAATTGCGTCCTATAAAATAAGGATTGTTTTTTCATTGGCGCTCTGTGGACGTGGGTTTTGGGTTCCCTAACCGCGGGTTGGCGATGCGAAACAACGGATTCCGCGTAAGAAAATAACCCCAGTTCACCGTCTACTTTTATAGCTTGTCCGTCTTCCCGAGGATTTATCACTCATAATGTAAAAGTCTGTACAAAGTCGATGTAAAATGCATCTAGAAAATTATTGCGGAATCGTTTTTTTTTTTGCACCACCTTCACGCAGATAAGAAATAAAAAACGTCTGTGAAAATGAAGACGATCCTCATTTATGCGGATGGTCCTTCTTCTCGGACCAGCGCCCCTACTAAAAATGTAAAAATAATGTGTACACAATCACCCATTCCCGCTAACCTGGACCCTGCCGCCAGACTCTACCCCTTTAGAAAGCACAAACGAAGTGTCAATTAATATTTCAGCATACGACAAACCTTGCTAACTATTATATTATTATTATTATTAAAATATTATTATAACTTAGACCGCGCTTTTCCCATCAGGCCCAAGGCGCTTCCAGTGAATGAAAATTAAAATAACTTAAATTCATGTACATGTAATCAGAAAAACAGTCTTACCACTACAAACTGCAAAAAAGATGTGTTTTTAAGGCCTTTCTGAAGGTAGTAACTGATGGAGACTGCCTAATTCTAAGTGGTAGATCATTCCAGTATTTTGAAGCAGAGTAAATGTAAATCACCGGCTGACCTGGGCTAATATACTTGTAACTGAATATGTGAGACAGAGAGGATCACTGGCTGAACTCAATGCCCTGGCAGGTGTATAATAAATTCAAACAGTAATCTAAATATTGTGGAGCTTGATTATTGAGTATTTTGAAGACAAACAAAAGTAATTAAAAGAGTAATTATTGTTTGTTTCAAAGGAAGCCTGTGTAATGATCTCAAGAGTGGCTGAGATGGATGGTCCCTAGAAACCTGAAATATCAATCGAGGCTGGCCAATTTTGTACATGTAGCCGTTTCACACGATCCAAATTTAGTCGAGGGAATGGTAGAGAGGAGCCCATTACAATAATCAATACGGGATAGAACTAAAGAACGCACAGCATTATGCCAGGCAGACTGGTCAATAAACCTCTTGACACTAGCAATAAAATGTAACCATACTACAGATGTGAGAAATGTGTTCAGACTCAGTCACAGTGAACTTCAGGGAGCTGAGCCCGTCCAGGAAAACAATTCAAACAGCGGGTTGGGTTACATTTTTTCGAAATGTTAAGAGGTAATGTAGTTATTACAATTTTGACTTTGTTTTTCAACTCCTCTGGGCATCGTTCCAACCACTTGAAATTATAATTTGAAGAAGTCGTTTATGGGAAAAAAGGTGATTCTCCGACGATTCATCCTTGTTGTATCGTCGATTCAACATTCCGAAGAGCAAGTATGCATGTGCGGTAGAGCTGCGCAGCAAATATAAATATTCATGCTATACAGCGCTGTTTCATTTCATGCAAACGGCGCTCTATCTCATGAATTTCAATTTTTTTTCCTCCTTCTCTTTTTACCGATTTTTCCCGATCATTTTCATTGATCAGCGATTAGAATTTATTATCCGATTTCACGTGATCGGCCGACAATCGGGCCTCGATCCGGTCAATTGGTTACAGGGTCACATGTGTACACATGTGTGCGTACAGATCCTTCTTCAGAATCACCTTTCGTAGTAGTAGTGCTTTCCGGACAGGAAGTTGTTACCAACTGACTCGGAAGTTATTGAGGGTTTGTTTACAAAGTTACAATCTCCTGCATGTGTGCACTTGCCACTTACTGTACACTGTAAGGTGTACAGGTAGTACTTGTACATAATGTACATGTTTTGATTTGTGTGATACAATGACCAATTGAGGCACTTGACAACTGTTTGATATTACTTCAAATTTTAATACTGCTCAAATGATGGAGGCGAATTGAGCTTTGAGAGCTATGATGTCATCATTGTTTTCTTACTATTTCTATTATATCTAATTTGATAAGAAGCTGTCCAAACAAAACCTTTTCTTAGTTTTTTTACAGCTGTGCCTTATTCTGTTTTGTATTAATTCATTTCACATGTATATACTGTACTATCCCAATTTATGTATTATATTTCACATGAAATTGCATGTTTTTAAAGATGGAATTCAATAAACTGAACTGAACTGAACTGATCAAAGACCGACTTTTCAAAGGTTAAATAAATCATGAATGGATGCAACCTTTAATACAACAGTGGCTGCACTTTTTTTTTTTTTTTTTTTTGACAACAAAAAGTCATGTCAAATGCCTTACTATTGAAACGGCCTTTTGTTTGTCACATATGTACAGTACACACATACATTGGGCCTAAAAAGAGAAAAAAAGATGTTGAATTGCCCTTTAGGTGCCAAAACATGGGTCTGTCGGTCTGATTTTTTTTATTTATTTTTTTTATGTTTAATTTTTTACTTCCTCTTTGGGCTAATATTTCTCTGTTTTGAATGCTGTAGTACCTTTTTTCTCTCTAAAAAATGGTTTAAAAAAAACTTTTTAAATAGCCGACCGTGGATTTCAAGATTATTGGGTCGGTCGCAAAGGGCAATACACCATCTTTTTCAACTTCTTTTGCCAAGAAGGTTCACTTTTAAAGTCTAGTACATGTACACCTAATGTAACTATTTATTATTTCCGTTTCAGGTATGTGAGGACCTGGGCTTGTTGGAGAAGAGTTACTTTGGTCTCCGCTATCGCTCCAAGCGAGGAGAGCTCCTGTGGCTCAATCTGAGAAACCCTCTCGTTGTTCAACTTAGGGGGCGCTCTCCACACCGACTCAGTCTTCAGGTCAAGTTCTTTGTTTCTCCGCAGGAACTTCAGCAGCCAATCACAAGGTATTACTTTTAAAACAAAAATGCAATTTGTTCTGTTATCTTCTTTATCGGTAAACAAAAAATATTTTTCAGTTTTGGATGCTGTGTTGGACAGGTCATGTTGCCTACATGTATACATACATTGTACATGTGCATGTGCATATACTTTGTGTGTGTATTCCTACCTGTACATTGTATATGAATTTACAAGCTGATTAGCTATATGGGTAATTCCATAATTAGAGACCCACTTTGTGACATTTTTGGTGTCCTACTTACAGATAAAGGAACCCACACGTATTTGTGGCTCTGAGTGAAGACTTACATTAAATAGTGGAGTGAGATTGTAAAGTGATTTCCAAGCATAGCATTGCATCGTCATACCTAGAATCACTTAACACACTATTTAAGTCTTTACTCAGAGTCACAAATATGTGTGGTTTCCTTATGTACATAATTAGGACACCAAAAATGTCACAAAGTGGGTCCCTGATTTATGGAACTACCCACATATTACACACATGTAGTTGAGAGTAGTGCCTTGTATCTAGAATAAACTTTTCTCTTTCGACCCAGCGGATAAGTTTTTTAACCGATGTCGACAATTGTTGACAAGAACTGATCAATAATTGGAAGAGCTCACTGAACCAGTTACTGCTGCTCCAGGGAGCCTACCCGCAATAACAATCAGGGATGAAATGAAGCAGAACAATAATAGAGAAATACTGAATACTGACAGAGCTAAGAAGAAGTATTACAAAATACAGAACATTTTTATTTGGAATCCTGACAAATGTTAACTTTATTCTCTTGGATATTTAATTAATTCACAGTTACCGGTAATTATTATTCATTAAATGTCATCAACATCAGAATCTTTGTCGACATAACGTCTTCATGCAAAACTGGCATTTTGTCAACGAAGGGCTCGTTAGCAAGCTACATTTATACTGGCAATCACTAGTGATAGTTTAGTTATAAATACATGTATGAAGAGTTGGAGCAACAAATTACTGGTACCCCCCCCCCCCTACCAAAAAAAAAATACTTAAAATTTAAAGTTAACAATATATGTAGTCGTTTGGTGTCCTTGAATAATTTGGGGGACAAATGAAGCAAAACAAAACAAACATATGTCTAGACTCTTGTTAAAATAGAAGATTTTAAGATAATAAAATTGCACCCAGTAACTTTCACATTTTCGGTAGAAAGAGATGAACTCAAATGAACAAGGAAGTACAGTACATTATACAACATGCTTTAACTTATATTTACATGTACATTGTACTAAACAGTTAACAGTCAAGAACTATGTCTAGTCTTGGAGAGAAGGCGTTTATTTCTGCAGCGCCATCTCTTTTGAATGCTCTTTCACTGAGGATCCGATCACTAGAATCCCTAGAAACATTTAAAAAGAATCTAAAGTCATATATGTTCGCATGTTATTTTAGTTAATTATATGTTGAATGTACATCTATGCATTTTTCTTCTTTTCTTTTCTCCCCCCCCCCCTTCTCACTTCTCTATGTATCTCATTCTAATTCTATCCCTCTGCGCCTCAGAATAGTTTACTAGATCGATGGCGCACAATAAATGCTGTATTATTACATTAGGTATACATTACTACATGTAGCTGCATTATACTCCAAGCAAAAGTCATTGATTTTTCTCACATTCCGTTTCGTTGCATACAACTGTAGCAACTACCGGCAAACACAACGACAAAGCAAAATCTAAATATCCATTATCCACCTACCATACTGTATAAAGTGTGGTTTTTTGAAACACCTGCCAAATTTTAACAGATTTTTGCGGTGTAAATGCAAACTGTGATAGGATACAGAATTTTGCTCAGGTGACTCTCCTCGCTTCCGTGCTAACGCATGCAGGGCACTGAAGAGTGGGGCATGGGCACTACTCACCAAAAAGTATGAGCAAACATCAACATATTTTTATTGGTTTTTTTCATGTTGTGTAAATGACACTCCCCAAAATCAATGATTTTTCACAATGGTGTTTGGAATGTGTACATAAAAATTGGGGCTAGTCAGTAGTCACAGGTTTTCAGACGAACGGAAACAACATGTGTAATCAAGCAAATTTTTTTCCCTGTATGCATACATGTAGGTAATGTACATTGTGTACATGTATGTATTATGGATTGGCTTGTGTGGGAAACAAACTTGTAATGTAAATATTATTAGAATAGATTATCATGTTGACTTTTCTCTTCTAGATTGATCACAGACAAGTGAATGCATGGTACAATGCACATGAGCTAGCTCACAGATTTGTATTGATTTTGTTTTTGTCTCCAGCATGACTGAACCAATGTTTGACAGCGTATCGTTTACGCTGAGTAGCTCTGTATCATTAAACAAGTTCCCTGCGTTGAAGCCCTATTATCTTTCCTTTTGGATGGGTAGTTCTAAAATTTAATTGCATGTGTATAATTTACCTTCAGATACTACAGTGTAGTTACACTGTACATGTATTAATTTTTAGAAATAGTTCAGTACTGTGCATGTACACTGTAGGTAAAAAGAAGTGAAAAGTTAAGGCTTGTTCAGATAAGACGTGGCAAACTGATGCTTTTTTTAATATGTAAAAAAGTGTAACTTTGCTTCACAATTCTGAATCATATAGCACAGAGTCCTTTGTTGCGCACAATTGATATTTATTTTACACATTAAACAAAACTTAATGGCTTTTCTGCAGTGGTTAACCGTGCCATACATGTATCTGAACAAGCCTTTAAGATTGATTTTAGGATGGTTATAGTGATAGAATTTATTTGATATTACTACTGTGATATCACTAATTTATGACTTACACATACATTATTTGTTTTGCATTGAACTCTATGCAAAGAGTTGAGGGCCCTTTTATGACTTTCGGGGGCTCTTTTGGGCATTTCAGGGGCTACATGTAATTTGCCCTGAGCCCCTGTGTAATTTCCCCCCTGCTCTACTGCATGTACATTAAATTGGACTCTTGCTTCATTCTCCGCAGACATATCTTCTACCTCACACTGAAGAACAGACTCCTCCTCGGTCACTATGCGGTCACAAACGAGGAGAAGATCAAACTCTTTGGCCTTATTGCCCAAGCAGAGCTGGGAGACGCTGACCAGACCCTACCCACCCAGTACCACACTATCCTGCCAGATCTCAGGTGAGTCATATTGAGGTTTGTGGATTGTTTTACTTGACCGCTAAGAAAGCTTGCACCTGTACATGTTCATGTACATGTACATGTACAGTATATGCTTACAATAGAGGTACATGTAGGCAATCAGGGGGCCAATGGCTCTCCAAAGGCATGTCTTCATCAGCTCCAGTTTACCAAATAGCCCGCTATTTCTGATTCAGGAAATTAGCCTGAACTCACGTCTTCATCAGCTCGAAACTTGAGCTTGAGATATTAGCTTGAGAAATTTGCTTGTTTTGTGCGAGTCTTCGGGCTGTTGAAGACGCACCGGACAAATAGCGGGCTATTTTGCAAACTAGCCCAAGATGTCTTCACCTGCCAAATAGCCCGCCTTTTCGTGATCGGGCTTATTTCCCCGAATCAGAAATAGCGGGCTACTTGGCAAACTCGAGCTGATGAAGGCAGGTCTAATGTGACTTGGTAATGCTAAATCAATGCCTTATCAAAAGACATGAGCGCATTGATTTGTTTTGAACCCGGGACCTCCCAGTTACAAGACCACTGCTCTACCACTGAGCCTTCGCGCATCCTCCTTGTTTGAAGATGCTTAAATTAGATTTTGAGAGAAATTGGAAAGAGATTAATAGAAAAGAAGTATTGTGGTTCAATAGGTTGACGGTTCAAATCACACACTGGCACTATCGTTCTGTGGCAAGACATTAATCCACATTTGCCACTCTCCACCCAGGTGAAAATGGAAACCTGGGACTTCACTTGCTGGGGTAATAACACAATGTAATTGCAGGACCTCAGGAAGAACAGCTTCGATGTTATCTTCTATTTTTAATTTTTTTAACATTTCACTTTCATGTACAGTGTATGCATACCAATTCAGAAATATTATTTGTTTTCTTGCTTTTCCTTACCTTTTTCATGCCTTTTTGGGGGGTGGGGGGGGGGGGGGACATGGCCCCTACCCCATTTACAGTAGCTACATGTACATACATGTATACACATGTGCACATTATACCACTGCAAAATGTCAAGGCCAATATAATGCTAATAGTAATACTGTTCTTAGCTTATACTTGTACATGGTTGTACATGGTACAAGTAGGTCATTTAGTAGGAGAGGAGAGTGGGCATTGAAAAGCATATTGAACACGATGTACATGTACAGACATGAATTGAGTACAGTACATACATGGATGTCTGAATGAGAATAAGTAGGGCAAAATTTCAAGCAATGCCTCGACTTAACGGACTGGTAATTGGCAAGAAATGTCAAATCATCACTGCCCACAGCGAACTACCCACAATGATGATGTCATAAGGTGGACTACCCACTGTGCCTCTAACCACATACATGTAGAGGCGTTCACACACACTCAGCAATCAGAGGGATAGATAAATATTTTCAGAATTGTGAATTGAATCTCACTTTTTAGGTGGTTGTAAAGAAAGACAAATTTGTAATTGTGAGATCTTGATGTTGTAATTCAAGTTGCATTCTGAATGGTGTGTTTTGTCAGGAGAGGGAAAGCATTTGAGGTTATGATTGCTTTGTGCTACTTTTAGAGCAGGCTGGAATTTAATGAAGGTCGGTGGAGTGCTTTATGCTAAAATCCAAGTTCAATTAAAAGAAAAGGAAAAACATCAACAACAACAAAAACAAGTGATAGAGTCATATGAGAACATGCACAAAAAAGATTTGAACAGACCGGTTTACTACTATTGACATATATTCATATTTATGGATGTTTCTTTCCTGGGGACCTACAGTAACGTGACGAGTTATTCTATTAACCTGTTAAATGAATGAACTTCAATACTTAGAATAATAATAATAATAATAGCTCGTTCTTATATAGCGCTTTTCAGGACCGGAGGCCCTCTCAAAGCGCTTTACAGATAAGTATATTATTACCCCGGTCATTGGATTCAGGCTTACCCGCACACAATGTATGCACATTCTCCACTCCCTGGGGAGCATTCCAGCCAGGCGTCATTTTTACAAGCGCACACTTGCTAATCTAACCACATTAGCCTTCGCATCCTACCGGGTACCCATTTAACACCTGGGTGGAGAGTGGCAAATGTAGATCAATGTCTTGCCAAAGGACATTAGTGCTGCGGCGGGACTTGAACCACGGACCTTCTGATCCACGGTCCGGTGACTTATCCACTCGTCCACAACACCTCTAAATCCAGTCTGCATACATACATTACTTATTGCTATGTCCAGTGAGCATTTGACGAGCTTTCAGGTTGTCAAGAACAACCTTTGTTTAAAGAGTATGAAATAAATGAATATGTTAGTAAACGGTCCATTGCTGTTCAAATCTCACTTTTTTTAGCTTGTGTGAATGCACCTATTGCTGATGTCATAGGGTTGCCTTCCCGCAGTGATTACATGGGCCATGCTGTTTCCATATGTGCAGCCTCCTAGCTTGGCAGGTTGTTCTCTCGTACAAATTGAATTTGCAGAAGAATTCAATAAATTCATGAAGTAAACACAAGTCTGATATTTTGATCAATCCATCTGAAAATCACATTGCGCCTTGGGGGCCGGATATGTGTACAGTGAACTACAGTGTAGTATGTACAGTGTATGTACCCACCTACACATGTTATTTGCATCTTATATCTGTGCCAACGATTTGCTGGATGAAAGTAGAACAGGCTGTGTTTGCCTATGCACAAATTTCCTGTAGTATGTCGTTGTACAGTGTGTGTTGATTTTAACTCCTGATCTTTTAAATGAGCAAATCAAATTGGGCATTTGTTTCAATATCACTTCATGAAAAATCATGATAATTATTATAGTATGAATGATTGTATAGATACTGTACAACAACAACAAATAATTTTTAAATGTGAAAAGAGGAAAAAGCCCAGTTCATGTATCATCAGTAATGCAGTGCTACAAATGTAGTACATTGTACATGTACATGTACTCCATGCAGTTTATAACGTGTACAGTGAATACCGGTATGTAAAACATGCAGGTGTACATACATGTACAGTGTACGTATGCAAAAGTTGAAATGATTCTTTAATTGTGGACATATTTTCCATCATTTAAAAATATGTTTGTAGGTATTTACTATTGTACATGTACATACCTGTACATGTAACCATATTTCTGGTAAAATGTTAAATGATGTGTTTAAAACAAATGCACCACACATGTACTGTAGGACTACAAATGTTGAGGTACATACTGTACATACATGTATACAGCTGTGATCACTTTATGCTTGACCTTTTCTGAGAATAGTGGATTAAAACAATGCAGGCAAGACGCAGTACTATACTGCAAGTAAGAGGCCTAAAATCCTCTTACCTCCAAATTTTACTGTACTGTCCATTGTCCAAAGTCACAAATGTACATGTAGAAGAGGGACCCATTTGTTCTTGACATGATTCTTTAAAAAATGATCCCCCTTTTACCACGTTCAATGTACATGTAGGCCTAAAAACGGGTTTTGAGGCCTACGATAAATCACGATATTAATATTGACCTGAAGAGTTATTTCCTGGTAAGGCTGAGACGATAGAGATATATATATAAAAATAGAGAGAGAGAGAGAGAGAGAGTGAGAGACAGAGAGAGAGAGAGAGAGAGAGACAGACAGAGTCTGACAGAGTCTGACAGAGTCAGAGAGAGACAGAGAGAGATATAAAGAGAGATATAGAGAGAGATAGAAATAGAGAGAGAGAGAGAAATAGAGAGATAGATACATGTATATATATATATATAGAGAGAGAGAGAGAGAGATATATAGAGAGAGACAGAGAGAGAGAGTGAGAGAGTGATTATCATTGAATGTCACGTGTCTCTCTCCCTCACTCTCTGCCAAGTGTTAATTGAGATCTTACCCTTGATTTCCGGCTCTGAGCGAGATCGCTTTGAAGTCTTAATTATAACGAGGGGGGCTACGGTTGACCTCATGCTCAGAATTTGGCCAAGTCTGTTCATACTGTATAGATCCAGTCATAATACATTAAAGGCATCGTTTAACAATGCTAAATCTGAGATGCATGGATGGCCCTACTTCTTATCAGTGTCTGTGATATGGTGTAAAATTGAAGCCCTAAAAAAATTGCACTTCAAAACGATCATGAAGTGCCTCAAAAAAGTAAAAATCTTTGAGTGACCGGTTTTACCATACTGGGTACCCATTTTCTAGAATGGACTGTAGTGTTATAAAAAAACGTTACGCATGTAGAAAACCTTATTCTGACATTTCTAATTCCAATCATAAATATCTTGATAATCAGCGGGCGATCGGCTTGTAAAAGTCATGGGATTCATGAATGACAAAGATTTATAATTATGATTGCAGCATGACCTGAATCCAATTTTTTTTTAAGAATCTGAGGCAAAGTTACCCAATCCCTTTAATAAGGATTTAGTTGTACATGTACAGTATGTCATCATAAGCTTCCTATGACCAGAAGTCCTATATGGATGTTATTATATAACATGAACAAATTCTCAATTTGAAAACCCTGTATACGATGTGCCGTATATTAAAATATCTGTGTTTAAGACGCACCCCTATTTTTGGGGCCAAAAAAAAGCGTAGGCAGCAAAGCCAGGTCCGTGTTTAAAAACCCAAGCAAGAAAGGGCCTTTATTTTACTGCGAGGTGCAGTTGAAGGCGCCGATTTGTGCATGTAAACTTGTCACAAAAAATAGTAACAATGTCCTCTTTAAAACTAAAGATGACAGACAAATTTTCCTCTAGGTCCAAATGGAAATCTGGCCATACAAGTAGTGTTGTTCTAGTTTCCGAGTGGTATGACTGAGTTGGGAGACATTGCCAGGCACAGTGCCAGGTGGAGGGGCAAAAATCGACACTTAAAAAAAAAGACGCACCCCCGACTTTCAAGTTTGTAGATCTACAATGTACATGTACATGTACAAATGTAATTCTTCTATCATGTGCATGTAATACATGTAGTAATACACGATACACATGCAATGTACACTGTAATTGTTCAAATTTGAATCTCAAATTCAAATCATATGCTGATTCCCCCCCCCCTTTTCTTACATGAAATATTCAAATATTTCTCTTTACCTTATTAAAAATACATGATCCATTCTCAACATTTGCATACAGTGAGGAAACAATAAATGAAGTCCTGACAGCTCATCGTGAGGTCATTTTGGACACCATATTTCTCTTTACCGTATTACATTTACATTATCCATTCTCAATGTTTGCATATACATGTAGCGCTTAGAGACTTCGGTGGTAAGCGCGTTATAAGAAACGTTTTGATTATTATTATACAGTGAGGAAACAAATGAAGTCCTGACGGCTCATCGTGAGGTCAGGTCGGACAAATATTTCTCTTTAATATATTACATTTACATGATCCATTCTCAATATTTGAATACAGTGAGGAGACAATAAATGAAGTCCTGACGGCTCATCGTGAGGTCATGTCGGACACCATGACCCCGACGTACGCAGAGATCCAGTTCATCGGCAACGTGAGCAAACTGCCCGGGTACGGTGTGGAGTACTTCTGTGCAGAGACCAAGGAGAGGGTCCAGGCTGTTATAGGTGTCTGTACTACAGGGTTGCAGATCCTAACACAGGCTAGGGAACTTATGCACAGGTGAGGACAATATATTTAGTTTTTTGGGGTTGATTTTTTTATAATTTTCTACTTTCTTTTTCTTTGTGTTTGTCTTCTTTTATTTCTTTTTCTTCTACTCCTCTTTTGTCTTCTTTTTCTTCTTCTTCTTTTTCTTCTTTTTCTTTTTCTCTTTTGTCTTCTTTTTCTTTTTCTTTTTCGCCTTTGTCTTCTTCTACTCTAATTCTTCATCTTGTCATTTTCTTTCTTTTTTTCTTTCTTTCTCCTTAATTTATCTACATTTTGTATTTGCCAATGATCTAAAGTAGAAAGGTTATATTTAGGATCAATTCCTTGAATGTGCATTGTACTGATTAGTTTACTGATAGTGGTTGTCATAGCAAAAGCAGGGAATTTAAATCCCAAAGCCCTTAGGAAACAAATATATGGAATCAAATTTATGGAAATACATTTTGTCATAGTGTGTGATATGCGTTATACATTGTCTTTCTAAAATACATGTAGGTCAGACATAACAAGATACCTGATATAATAAGATAATTTTCTGGCACAGCTCTTTCCATAATTTTTTTTCTCTCACCCCTACAACGACAAAGCAGCTGAGATAACAAGGTAATTACCATGGTCCCAAATTCCTTTGCATGTACATGTACATGTTACAAGTTTTTATTCTCTATGAACCAAATACTACCATTGTTGTTATTGTTAAAGCCCCACTGTCCTACTTGTAGCTACTTGCTCCCTCTATAAAGAAAACTTCCCCAATCGGTGCCTGTTGGTCCCCCATGATCCTCTTTTTCTTATGTTAGTTGAGAGCTGAGTTAATGAGATAACCACCTGTCAGTGACCTTGCTGTGTGGTCTAATTCCTTCTGGCCCAGTAGTATTGACTGTCTTTAATTTGTCATTATTAATAATAAAACTTTGTAATATGCTTTGTATATACACAGTATCAAATATGAAGACATCAGTAAAGTGTCTTATCATCAAAACCACTTCTCAGTCCACTATTACCGATCATCTGGAGGCACAGGAGTTGAAGACGTCCTACGTCATGTAATTTCTATTCTGTATGAAACAAGAAGTACCTGTACTACAGATGTTATTATTGTTAATTTGTTATTAATATTACAACTTTGTAATGTGCTTTGTATTCACACAGTATCAAATATGAAGACATCAGTAAAGTTTCCTATCATCAGAACCACTTCTCAGTCCACTACTACCGATCATCGGGAGGCACGGGGGTGGAAGACGTCCTTACAGCGCTCAAGTTCCGCCTCAGCTCCAGGAAGATCGCTCAGGCTCTGTTCAGAGCATTCACAGAGTCACATACATTCTTTAGGGTAAGTACGCTTGAGGATGGTTCTGTATTAGAAAGAACGGACGATTGACAAAAGTTTCACAGCTATTAGCTATACAAGTAATTCATGTTTGTTTTGGGGTAATGATATTCATGTATTATCAGAGGGTCATATTCATTACTGTGGTTTGTAAGCAGCTTCAACACGTTCTTGAATCTGTTGAAGAACAATGGCTTCTAGTAGGTAGCTTCGGTCTCTTACAACAGGGGGGTGTTTCACAAAGATCCCAAGTTGAACTTATCTCCAAGTCAGACTTACCAATTATGGAAAGCCGTTAGCATGTATGAAAATATTCTGTAAAAGTTATTCTAAAAGGCATAACATTTTGATTCCATTCATTCATATTTTCTATTATCAAGGAGATTTCTTGTTATTGATGTGGAATTGATAAAGAGTGTAAAATAGTTGATTTTTTTCGCTTTTGAATATAACTTATTTTAAGGCTACAAATGGCCTTCCATAGTGTTTAAGTCCAACTTAGAGTTAAGTTCGACATAGGATCTTTATGAAAAACCCTCCAGCTGATGTACACTTTAATGCAGGTGCTCTCCTGTGATCATGAAGAGCGTATGTTGCAGAAACATTCATAAAGCTGCAAGCATTATGCACATATGAAAACATGAAAACTTGTTCAAATGCTAAAATTCTATGAACATTTTTCTGTCAGCCAATCAAATGACACGATTTCAGTAGCTTATAACAGTTATTGTAACTTGTTTGTTTAATGAACAGAGCCCAGAGCTCAAGAAATGAGGAGTCATACATGTTCATGTACTACATGTATTTTTTACATAGATTTCTTGGCTCGAAGCAGACAATGTGCCCTTGAATAAAAGACACCCACTGATACCTAAACATTTGTGTTCACAACATGTTTCTTGGCAACCTCAATAACCATTTAAAACTTCAGCCAAGATCTCATGATCGGCTTGGCATGTGTTTTCCATTTTGCACAGGTGCTATGTGATTGCTACTCATTTTGATATTAAAACCAGATATGGTTTAAAGGGCTTTCTTCCAAGTGTTGCACAGTTGTGGATTTTAAATATGATTAATGTATGAGCCAGCCTTGATACATTTCAGAACAAACAGATTTTAAACAGGGCAGCGTTTTCGCTAAACTGTCATAAGTAAAAGATTGCCAATTTTAAAACATGTGTTTCAGTTGGCATTGAGAGTGTATTATGATAGCTATATTCACACACATGTTTTGACCATAACTATTCTTATCTCCTCCATTATATTTTAACTAGCATCATCCATATAGCATTGAGATTATACTTCTTTCACACCTTTCATAAACCAGGGGGGTGTTTCACAAAAACTAAGATCGACTTTAAGTTGGACTTAATTATGGCCGGCCGTTCATGCCACTGGTTGCTCTCACCATTATGATCTTTAGATAATATTTATTTCTTCAATAATGAACTATCAAAAAATGTAAATTCTGTAGATTTGTGACCATGATTTGTACGTCCCTTGAAAGACCAATTCCATATTAATGATGAGAGAAAATAGTGGCATGAATGGCCTGCCATAGTTAAGTCCAACTTAAAGTCGATCTTATTCTTTGAGAAAGACTCCCCTGTATTAAAAACCCTTTTTCACATTTACAGTGTGAGAGCGTTGAGCGGGTTGTGAGGCAGCAGCATTCACACACAGGGTTTGGGTCGTTCCTCGTCCTGATGAAACCGGACACCTCGAGGGGCAAGGTGTTCAGGTTCGATGTCGGTCACACCAGACGCCAGGCCTACGACAGCGCATGGAGGAAATTACACCCTGGAAACAGCCCTACACAAGATGTGAGAACTTAGACAAATTATTACAATATAAGCCTTGCTCCGATTTTATACAATGTATTCACCCCTCCCACCTGCAAAAGAAAGAATGTAACCATAAAGAAGAAAGAAAAAGTGACAAGAGCATTCATGCATATGTACATGTAGTTCACTTTGTATTTTAAGGCCTGTATAAGTCATGACAAATGGAAAGTAAATTTGATTAAATAAGAAATAACTGAATAAATTTAAGAACATGTTTTATGGACAAGAAATCTTATGAGGCTGCTAGAAGTGTTAATTTGTTTAAAATCAATACCAGTATGACTTTACTGAGAAAGAAAATATTGGAAATTGGGAAGAGAAAATTATCATGGAAAATTCATGGAATAAGATTTAGTAGGATCTGTTTAATCTGCAAAGCACCTTTAAGAGGAAATGTATTGACATGTGATTCTGTTTCTTCTTTTGCTTTTACAGCAACGATGGTCCTTGGACCTGGAGAACTATGGTGCGCAGCGCACATGGCCAGTGTCTAGTACGTTAAGAAGCACGCATTCCCAAGAGATTCTACTGAGCAGACAGCCGACGGGTAGCCAGCCTCCTGTACAGATCCCTAAACCACCCAGCGCTACTCAAGAAGATGATTCCAGTCCGGATTCAACTCCCGAAGGCACTCTACCGCACAAGGTCAGGCAGCAACGTTCATTCCTTAAGCTTGTCTTCATCAGACCAATGTTGCAAAATGAACTGCCATTTTCGGACTCAGGATATTTTCCTGAAGCTCAAAATTGCGTTTTCACCGAACGATAACGCTCATCACAAACTAGCTTGGACCGAAGGCTATTTGGGAAACAAGACCAAGATTTCTCTGGATATTTTCTAGACCAAACAGCCCGCTAATTGCACTGGGGGGCTGTTGAAGACACAAATAAGCTGGCTAATTTGAGATCGGGCTAGTTAGTATAGCAGGTTATTTTGCAACTTTGGTCTGGTGAGGACAGGTCTATTGTGTCTCTACAGGAGACCCATAAAATAGCTGTGTTGTCTACCTTAACGGAATATAACAAGTCTGTTTCTGCAGAAGCTCAATAAACCACTCGCTCACATGGCTCACGTAATTGACCATTTACACAGGATGTCTTGAAAAATGGCATTGTATGGGCGCTAAGTGCAATATCTCATTGTATCACATGACTTGGAAGGGTTATGTTAATGAAATATTTCCACAGAAATGAGATACGTGTAGCAAGCATACCCAGAGAAATCCACCTGTAGAGACAGGTGCGCTATTACCGTTAATGTGATTATCAGATTATGGGCCCATTGCATAAAACTTGACATTGATGGTAACTTTGCCATCATCAATGGCCACTACCACGGTAACAGGGCTCACAGCCAATACAATTCAAGGTTTCAATGGTAAGTTTTGTGCAACTGGGCCATGGTATATTTTCATGAGAAGATCTTACCTGGAAATTAATCTGTTAGACCCAGAAAGTTAGGGTATTTTGAAAAATCTAAAGAAACGTGCTGATAATAATAATAATTAGATTTGCTTATATAGCGCCTTACACTTACTTAATCAGAAATCTCTAAGCGCTCTACAATAATGCAGCATAATTGCCCTGGCTTTCACGCGCTCTGCGTTTCAAGGAATAAATTCCTACCAGGTCCCCATTTACTTCACCTGATAGATGACAGCGCCAGTGAAGATGTTTCACATCCCACCGGTGCCATCACTATAGTGAAGAATTGACTTGAGGGATATGCAAGACAATGAGAATGTTTTCTTTCATTGAAATTTGCCAGTTATTGAATAGTTTAAGTTTGAATCACACAGTTGCCACTGCACAATTGAAGGGGAATGGTGATCTGGCATTCACCTTGGGTTTATTTCATCAAAGATATAGGGTTAGGATTAGGGTTGCATTCAGGTTTTAAAAGAGACCTGTGGACCCAGTTTTTGGTGCAGGGTTTAGTTAAAGAATTATTTCTTTAAGTTTATTGACTGTAGAGCAGTTGTCTCTAGACCATATGTCATAGGACATGCAATATGTATACGTCAGATTTCTAATGCGAGTAGAATGTATTCTTTGATTGCAAGTCCCCTGTAATTTGAATGGCATGTCTTCCAATTCTAAGTTGCCATTTCATAATTTACACATAACGGCCATCTGATGAAGAATTTCAATTGATCCAGATTAGTCACAGGCCCTAATATGATGAGATTATGCTGTTTCACATGCATGTCAATCGTACTGTTAGATGTTTTTTAATACTTTGATTGTAGGCCAGCAGACATGATGGAGGTAGCCCGATGAGTGCAGGTCCAGCCGAGGAGGAGATGATGGAAAAGCTTCAAGATCAGCTCTCTAACCTCCAGGAATCGAGGCTCTGTCAGGTACGAACTCGTTCAAGAGTCAACAGAGAAATTAGCACTCGGTTTCCTCAGCTGTTCAGGAACAGCATCCTCAAATTCTATTAACCCATTGTATACTGGAGCCGAGTGTTCCTTGTATGATGTCTATGGGAAATAGAGAATTCAGTAGTCAAAGGCATCGTTTAAGAATGTTAAAAATCTGAGATGCATGGCCCTACGTGTTATTAGTGTCTGTTATATGGTGTAATATTGAAGCCCTAAAAAAATTGGGCTTCAAAATGATCAAGAAGTGCCTCAAAAAAGTGAAAATCTTTGAGTCACCGGTTTTACCATACCAGGTACTCATTTCCCCCAACAGATTGTAGTGTTATGAAAACCGTTAGGAAAACTTAAAATTTGATTTCGATTTCTAATCATAAATATCTTGTTGATCAGACAGGCGATCGGCTTGTAAATGTCATGGGGTTCCTGACTGACCTAAGGTTTATAATTATCATTGCAGCATGAGCTAAATCCAGGATTTTTTTTAAGAATCTGAGACAAAGTTACCTGATCCCTTTAATCCATTGCCTCCTGGAGCCGAGTGTTCCCTGTACGATGTCTATGGGAAAGAGAGAATTCAGTAGACAAAGGGTTAAGTCGGGTACAAACTTGATGCAGCACAAATTCACATGGCTAGGATCATTTATGCAGGGGTAAAATGATTCTAATAACTATATTTACGTATAGTTATTGGAAGTAGTGCACCATTATCACTCAAGTTCCTCAGCTGTTGAGGAACTTCATCCTCAAATTCCAACAAGTCTCGTACAGACTTGATGCAGCACAAATATGAATAAACGCATGGCTCAAGTCACTTTTGTGGGGGTAAATTTACTTATAGTGATTAGAAGCATTGCTTCATTAGAGAAAAAATAAACGTCTATTTTCATTCATTTATGGATTGATGCAACTTCTAAATGAGCCCATTCTGGGGATACAAGTACTGGTACATGGCATTTTGTAACACATTGCTGAAACCTGTTATACATGTATATAAGATTTGCAAGATGCCAAATTCACATTCAATCAAATGCTCAAGGCGCACAATATTTGGTCAATGGGTACATGGTAGGTTCACTTGATGATAGCGCTCTTTCTCTTTCTCTGACAAGACCTATTAACTCATTATTTAATTAACAAAATCTTACAGCCCTGGGGGGTGTTACACAAAGATCGCAAGAGAACTTAACTCTAAGTTGGACTTAAATATTATGGAGAGCCATTTGTAGCCTTAAAATAAAATATATTCAAAAGCGAAAATTCAAATAATTTAGACTTTTTATAAATTCCACATGAAGAACATAAAATCTCCTTGATATTAGAAATATGAATGATTTTAAACATTTCATGCCTTTTGAAATAACTTTTACAAAATATTTTCATAGATGCTAACGGCTTTCCATAATTTGTTAGTCCAACTTAGAGATAAGTTCAACTTGGGATCTTTGTGAAATACCACCCCTGGTTTTTCATTTTGCACAAACCCTGCATCTTATGATTTTACCCCTTTTTCTTCTTTCTCCCCTCTGCTGCCCTCTACTGTTAGGTTTGCCTGGATAATGAGATGACCACCGTGTTCTGTCCGTGTGGTCACATGTTCTGTTGCGAGACGTGCTCCAAAGAGTGTAACCGGTGTCCGGTTTGCAGAGCTGAGGTTATCTATGTCCAGAGAGTCTTTTTCTCCTGAAGCCGAATATTGCCTTCTATTACAGACTGAAAAGAGTTCTTTATTTATTAGTCTGACAGGCCTTTAATTAATTTGAAAGACTGATAATGATAGTCTACTCGAAAGAAAGGGCCTCTGTGAGTTTTTTTATTTATTAGTCTGACAGGGCTCTTGCTACGTCTGTTTGGAGCCAAAAGGATGTTAACTCTGTGTTAAAATCATATGAGTTTATACCCTTCTGGCTCCCAAAAAGTCATTTTCATGTGAAAGAGTAATGGTAGTCTAGTTGGAAAAAAGGGGTCACTGTGGACTCCAGAAATACATTTTTGGGGTTATATCCAGGTTTTTTGTTAATGCTTGAAGTTTCCAGTTGACGATTGTTTTAAAGAAAAATAAAAGTGGAGTCTCATAGGGAATTAGACACAGTTCGGGTGTTGTTCAGTGGACTATGAGTTTGCTGTGTTCAGACTTGTACACCCATTAATGGTATTTTCACCAAGTCTGGTGTCAGCGAATTATGACCTTCTGCCCATGGAAACTGTGGTTCCACCAACTTTAATGTCTGTTACAAAAGATCTGCTCATTATTTACCCATTGTATAATCATTAATTATAGTCTTGGAAAAATAATTGTGTACCCTAGAAAGTATTCATCTTTTTGGAAGTATCCAGTTGACTATTGTTTTAAGGTGTATTACAAAAGATATTAGCGAGTTTTCGCACGACGATGCAAGTGCTCTCTACGGGGTATTTAAATGAGCTCGCCATCCTTACTAGCTCGACTTTCAACCCTAATACGACTAAATACCGTGGTAGGTTTGGACGCTACACATAAATTTTCGGTCTGTGAGTGCGATCCCCCTCTAAGATTAGCATTGTAGAAGGCCGCGTTGCCGGTTGCGAAAAACTCGCTATTCTCATATTTGGGAACGGAGGCGCCTGTATTAAAGCATAAGAGTATGAAGGAATTCACTAGTGGCTTGGTTCAGTTTAATGAAAACTTACAAATGGTCACCAGTATTCTGGCTCCGAACAGAAACAATCTTCTATTTTGAATGTGTATAATGTATCAGTATGTAACATGGAGTTGTTGTGGAGCAATAATGTGTACTAAAAATATCTTCTTCTTTTCTTCAAATATAATATTTTGAATGTTACGTACATATCTATGCACTTAGTATGTTAATAAGTAGATTTTTTTCGTAGAACAATATATGAAATTAGAAATATTTAAAGCACCATTTTTATGCACCAACTTCCTGAATACAGAGAAGTTTTTCATGTTTCTCATAGATATAATTGAGCGGAACCATTCATTTTGGTATGTTTTGGATGTATGGAAGATTGACCATGCACAACTTGAGTGTACTTGAAGCACTATTTTTTCAGATCTGGAAATGGATACAACAAAAGCTATTATCGAAATGAGTAAGAATGTAGAGCAGGTACCAATCACATGTTCGTGTGATGTGAGTTGGTCTAGCGGCACATTTACTTGGTCAGCTCTCTGTCTTTGCCTACAAACTAGCTCAGACAACCCCGGTTCGAAACTGAGTCACATCTTTCAGATGGTGACATAAGAGGTCTGTCCCCAGGCGTAAATAATCATATCTGATTAGGCAGTGTCACACAGAAAATTCCCTTAAAAAATCCCTTGAAATTTTTTTTTCAAGGAAGAATTTTCTTGCTCTGTTATAGGATTTTTTTAATGGGATAATTGATGACAGACAGCAATAAAGAGGATAACTGAAATCCGGATTTTAGGCCTCTTTGTGACACCGCCTATTGATACACGTCTTTAAAATCAAATGACACACACACACACACACACATTTGAAAGGGTTTCATGACAGCAGTGCTCAAAATACACATGAATTTGGGGTACCGCTATCCGTAGGGGAAACTTAATTTGCCCATGTAAGCCCCCTTTTATGCCGCAACTTATCATTCTTGAATTGTGTATCTGTGTTGTTTTATTGGTCCATTTTGTTGATCATCCATCCAATACCATAACATGCCTTTAATGTAACTCTGTTCTTCCATCATCACAAGCCTTTACATGTTCATCTCATGCCCGTCACATGTTTGTCTAATGCCCGTCACATGTTTGTCTAATGCCCGTCTCGTGTCTGTCACTTATCCGTCACATCTTTGTTACATGCCAGTGACAAATCAGTCATATGCCTGTCACACCTTTGTTACATGTCTGTAACATATTAGTTGTGTGACATGTCACAGTTGGGTGTCTGTCACTTATCTGTTTACATGCCTGCCACATGTTTGTTACGTGTCTGTGACATATCAGTCATGTGACATATCAGTCATTTGTCTCTTGTCACTCACATATCCGTCACAGGTCCATGACATTTGTCCGACGATCTTCACCTTATCACACTTGTGTACATGATAATCATGTTCCTGTCATGCATGTCCTTTTGTCTGTTTTAATCAAGAAGGGCGTTATTTCATGTTTTTTATCACAGAGATAATGCTCTTCTGGCTCTAAAAAGATTGTCTCATTTCTGCCTTTTTTTCGGCACATCTTTTGCATGCCCTTCCTATTGAATGTAGATGTTGTCCTTCGTGACATTCATGAAAAGATTTGTCCTTGTCATGCCCTTCATGTTCATGATATGTGTCCTTCACATGTTCTTCATGCAGTGTTTACATTTACCGGTAAGCGTATTACTCTCATATTGTGTCAGTGATCTGTCACTCAACAACCTATCATTTATATACCTTTGCCTCCCCTTACCCAGGTGTTGAAAATGGGTATCTGGTTAAGCGTTGATTCTCAAAATGCTTCTGTTGGTCCATGGTAGCTTGCTGGAAGCCAGGATTATAATGCTTATTGTAGGTGCCTTGAAAATGATGTAAAATTAATAATTTGCATATTATACTTATGGCTATTATTACTACATATAACAGACACAGAACTTGCTTTGCATGCGAGGTATACATGGAAAGAAATGTGAAAAAAAATATGCATGTATGATAGGTATTTGGTATATTACGGTATATTTGGTAGAAACGGGTCTCTCTAAAAATTTGCACAAAGCACATTTGTATATTTAACCAAGTATTCAATTAATCAATTTTGAAATGTCGCACAGTAGAAAGTAATTGTAATTATGTGATTCTCAGCATAGAAATAATGCAATTTTATTATATAATAATCTCACATAAATATATCTATCTCTCTCCTTTGTCACATAAGTTATTGAAGTCATGAGAAATTTTTGACTTAGAGATTTGATTGTATAATGTGACTGTTCAACTAACATGAAGATAATGTTAAAATTACATTCTAGGTTAAATTGCTATTCCATTTTAATATGAAGATGGGATATAAGTGGAAGCGGTGTTGGAAAATATTGATGCAGATTGTCATTATGTCAGTAAACATTTATGTGACTTAATGCCTCTATTATTGAATAAAATTGCCATTAATACTTTTTGCGGTAAATGATACTAATTGATCATGTATTGCTAATGTAATCACTTTGCACTTTAGGTGTGCTATCGTTAGTTTTTATACCTAGTACATAGGAAAAATTATGTTTGTAGAAGGTGATCCTATCATGTACTCAGAATTGAGAGATCATTTCTTTTTTTGGGTTGAGCAACGAATCTTTTATACAAGAGTGATTGCGTAAATTGAATGCATTGTACAAAAATGTAGAAAGAACACCTACAAATTATATATTTTGTTTTATATCTATATATACAGTATCATTTGTAAAATATTAACCATCATTTGGTCAAAGGTTGTTGGCACCAAATGTATGTAAGATGCATGCACTGTTAATAAACATTGTCATATTCTTTCAACTTTGTGCATTTTTGTAATATTTTGTCGAGTGATATGTACAGCATCCATCAAGTAAATGCCATGATCTCAGTAACTTGCAATAGTTATTGTAACTGATTGACAATTTTTATGAAACAGGGCCTAGGAGTTGACCTTCCAGTATTGTACTGACACTTGTGAACACCCTTTCTCTTACTTTCTCCCCCTTTCTCTTTATCTCTCTCTCTTCTCTCTTTGTTCTCTCTTCTCTTCTCTTTCTCTCACTCAGTACATCTGCATATCAATTTTCACCAAATTCTTAATTGATACAGGTCAGTCAGACGTATTGTTGGTATTATCCCACATTACCGTTTTATATCATTTGATACACAATGCATGGTTGAAGTAGGGTTTCTTTCTTCCACTCTCATCCCTCTTTCTCTCTCCTTCTATTCCTTTGCCTCTTGCCCTCTCACCTTTCTTCCTCCTTGTCTCTCTCTTCTCTGTATCTCCTTTTTTCCCCTCACGTTTTTATCTCTTTTTTTTCTTCAAATGATTGATACAGGTTAGACATTCTCATTATTATCCCAAATTACCATTTTATTTCATTTGATACACAATGCTTGATTAATTCAAGTACCGGTAAAGCTTTTTAACACTGCCCTGTAAAATAAGAAAATTATAACAAATGCAATGTCGATAAAGAGCAAAGTGTACTTTGAGTATAGACATGATTGAAAATAGATTCTAAGCTTTGGTACTTGACTTGGAAGGTATATGTTTCATCTTTATATTGTCACCAACAAATAATTCTCTAATTTAAAATAAAATCCCTTAACCCTATCAAAGCAAGAGATAATACATGATCATGATTAATATTTTAAACATATAGAAAGTGGTTCTGTGTATACATCACAAATTTTCGAGCAAAACAGTTTTAAAATATGAGAAAATCTACAAATAATAACCTGAGCACAAGGCGAATATCATACTTTGCTTGTACTTCTATATCTATCTACGTATACCTTTCCTAGTACTGGGTTATGGGTCATTTACTATATTTTCACATTAGTCACAGCGACTGATGTTTCCTAAAGCTACAAAGATAACAATTAAAAAGATAATAGATGCTTTAAACTATTAGAGATAGAAATATAGGAATAGAAGTTAGAGAGAATAATTAAAAGAGCAAAACAATTTCCCAATGAAAGACTACAGTGAGACATTTTCAAAAATAAAATAATATCAGATTTTTTAAAAACACAATTTGACATACCATTACAGAAAATCAAAACGAAGCCCTGTAATAAGACATTTTGATTTATTATTTAATTTCTTCTTAAAAAAATAAAGATTTATCACTTTCCGTAAGAAGGATAACAAGTACATATGATGTTGATAACATTTCAATAAAGATTAAATTTCTCTCCTTAAAACATAGGTCTTTGTTTCTCTGCATAAATACATTTATATATCCGTCACCAAGTTAATCTACGAATAGAATACAGGAATACATTCAGATTTTATCCATATAAAAATAAAAATAAATTGTTTATAAATCACATGATATAATAATAGTTATATGTAGTTATTCATTTCTTATTTCAGTAACACGAAAGACAACTCATTTCATTGTTTTACAGTATAAAGAGATTGGAATGCAAAACTGTGGTTTTATATTTCTTGAATATTCACTTACATGTACAGCATGTAGTATACATTAAAACAGATGGGAGTGAAACAACGATTAAAGTATAAGCTAAACAAATCGTAAAACCAAGATAATGTTTCATATAATTGTTTGGAAATCCAATCATCCATTCCAAAATAATGACATCATTAATCTTAACAATTTTGAGAGAAAAAATTACTCCATTTCATATAAAAAGTAAAATGAGACGATGTATTATAGACAGAATTAAAAAATTAAAAGACAAACGCTGGATTATTATGTGTTGACATATGTCTATCATTTTAGAAGTATTGGATGGATGAGGAAGAGTAGTCGGGTCAGATGACCCATATTAATTTCCCTGCTCTTGTCAGGCAGGATACATCTGTAGAAACAATAGACAAAAGTTAGTATTATTCAACAAAAAGAAGTCATGCTAGTCATAGTAGTAATAGTAGTAGTAGTAGCAGCAGTAGAAGTAGTAGTGGTAATATTACTGGTAATAGTAGTAGTAGTATTATAGTAGTAGTGACAGCATGAAGCAGAAGAAGAAGGAGGAGGAGGAGGAGGAAGCTAGAGGAGAAGGAGAAGGAGGAGGAGGAGGAGGAGGAAGCTAGAGGAGAAGGAGAAGGAGAAGGAGAAGGAGGAGGAGGAGGAAGCTAGAGGAGAAGGAGAAGGAGAAGGAGAAGGAGATGAAGAAGAAGAAGAAGAAGGAGAAGGAGAAGGAGATGGAGAAGAAGAAGAAGAAGAAAAAGAAAAAGAAAAAGAAAAACAAAGTTTTATTAGTACATAATGCCTGACTGTTCTATTTGGCGTGAAAATGAATCAACTTGCACTTGAAATAGTTTAAAGTTGAGTAACAGTAATGAAATATCACTCACCTATCTCATAAGAAGTAGCAGACACTGGTGGATGAACATGTATTGTTTCTAAAGAAGAAATTTGAAAAAAAGACAAACACAAATGTAAGTTTACTGTAATTTTTTTGATATTTTTTGTTTGTTTTACCTGACTGCTAAGAAAGCAACCAGGGGACCTAAAGATTTAATTTCTCTCTGAGGGACTTGGTCATGAGGATCATAGCCTCCTCACCAAAGGGCATTAGCGCATCGACTCAGTTTCTAACCCGGGATCTCCCGGTTACGAAACTGCTGAGCCATCACGCCTCTGTATATATCAAAATATCTTGCGACTACTTTTACAGCATATAGGTAACTAACTGAATATGATGCATGGTATAAGTAATATATTCTGTAATTAAAGGGACTGCGTAACTTTGTCTCAGATTCTGAAACGAAATCCTGGATTTAGCTCATGCTGCAACGATAATTATAAACTTTTAGGTCAGTCACGAACCCCACGACTTTTACAAGCCGATCACTTGTCTGATTATCAAGATATTTCTGATCAGAAATCGAAATCAATTTTGCGTTTTCCTAACGGTTTTCATAACACTACAGTCTATTGGGAAAAACGAGTAGGGGGTATGGTAAAACCAGTCACTTAAAGATTTTTACTTTTCTGAGGCACTTCTTGATCATTTTGAAGCGCAATTCTTATAGTGCTTCAATATTACACCATATCGGAGACACTGATAACACGTACGGCCATGCATTTCAGATTTAACATTGTTAAACAATGCCTTTAAGAAAAAAAAGAAGACTTACGACTGTCTGGACCATGTTGAAACGTTGCTCCCTCATGCGTGCCACAGTGCCGCACACATCGATGTAGTCATTGGGCTTGGAAGTCTCAACCTGCTTGATCAGCTTGTGAAGGGCAATGAACACACCGGTTCGACCAATACCAGCACTGAGAGAGAAAAGAGAGTCATTGTATCATTATTATTATTATCATTTATTCAGCAAAATCAAAGAAAATCATTGAATACAAAACAAGAGTACATTTGGAAAAGAGTTACATTGATGCTGAGAAAAGAAATAGATGAATTAAATAACTGTTTACCCGAAGGTCTTCTTTTCCAATCCATGTGACTTTACAGAAATGGTAACAATAAAATGGTGAGGTATAACAATTTATGAATCACTGTGTAATCAACAACAATAATCATTGACAAGATAAAAATTATTTTAAAAAAACTTAACCTCTTCCCCCCCCCCCTATATCATGTAATTAATGAATGATTCAGTGACTGAATGTTAACTAATTGCCAAAAAGATTCAGATGGTCACTGTATTTAGCCTATAGGAATCAGAGAATTTAGTAGTCAGTGGATTTATCATTGAACGCTCTGATACCAGTCGGCTAATAAAGGCATCATTTCTGATTTCAGAGAGTGGTATCCCGGATAATAACCTGGCTATACATAGCATTTAATACAAAATACCATCTCTAAGTGCTTCTTTATACAGATGTTATTATGTCATGTACAATCTGCACCATTTCCACTCCCTGGGGAGTATTCCTACCATATGGCAATTACTAACTCAAAAGCTTTTGTCATCCGACCAGGTCCCCATTTCTCTCCTGTGTTAGAGTGACAAATATAGATTAATGCCTTGCCAAAGGACATCAGTGCTGTGTCAGGGATTGACCCCATGACCTTTGCAATTCAAGTCAATGGCTTAGACTACTTGACTACGACACCTCTAGGGAAATAAAGCTGGCCAGATGCTTTTTTGCTAAAGCACCACAGTTTTCGATGCCTTAGCACTTTACTAATTAAGCTATAGAAAGCTAACAGAATTCAAATATAGTCAAACCAATCTCAGAGGCTACCTCTCTATAAAGGCCACCTGTCTACAGTGGTCATGCATTTTGTTTCCCTCAAGAAAGAATTGTGAGTTGTAGAACCTGTCTAAAAAGGCCACCTGTCTATAATGGCCATGTATTTTATCTCAATAAAGAAAGAAAGGTATGTTGTCGAGCCTGTCTAGAATGCAACTTGTCTATAATGTCCTTGTATTTTGTCTCAATCAAGAAAGAAAAGTGTGTTGTAAACCTGTCTAGAAAGGCCACCTGACTACAGTGGCTATCTTCTCTGTTTCCTTTTGCTGGCCTTTATAGGCATGTCTGACCGCAGTGACTTACCTGCAGTGCACGGTGATGGGTCCTAGATTAGCATCATGGGCGACGTCTATGGTCCGGATGAATTCAATCATAGGACGAGCATTGTTGGGTACATCATGATCGACCCAGCCCTTGAAGGCGTACTGATGCGTCTCAAACTGTTGCATGCCCTGAGTAACATATGAGAGAAAATTGTTGTCATTAATCATTTTGGTGAATTCAATTGTGTATTTCATTTAGGCCTAAAATAAAAAGATGTTGTATTGCCATTTGCGACCAACCTAACTATCTTGAAATCTACGGTCGGCTTAAATTTTTTCTTTTTTACCGTTTTTTAAAGAGAAACAAATATTAAAGCATTCAAAACTGAGAAATATCAGCCCAAAGAGGGAGAAAAAAAAATTCTGACTGACCGACCAAGATATCTATGTCAAACTTATTAAGATGCCCACTCCTAGATGACCAATGCTGCCTTGAAGACCTAGTGGCAGCAAATGTGAAGTTATTTTGTGTGCAAGAGCCTGGCAGAACTAAGTCGATCTTAGTCTTTGTGAAACACCCCCCCCCCCACAGATATAAAACTTACACGGAAGTATGGACTGGGAAAAGTGAGGATTTCTTTAATACTAACCTTCTCTAGCAGGAATGACCTGACGGTCCATTGTTCCATCTCCTGTGTATGGGTCATGGTGACCGTCACACTGCCGTAGTTCACTGGGGTATCGTCATCTGGCCAGTAGTGCTCACACTTGGTCTGTAAAGATATGGAACGAAAATAATTTTTGTAATTTTTACTCAATCTTTGTCATTGTGATCTCATTGCTTTAATTATTACCGGAACATGTTATTACCTATTTTGTTTCCTGTAATTTTGATGTTTGCTTCTTCTATTGTACAAAACCTGTAATCCGCCTTTCAAGCCACATTTGATTTTTATTTCAATAAACCATTACTACTACAAATAGGAAGCATAGATATATACGATACACCATGCCTAAAACATGCAACACTTATTATCCACCAGTACATATACTGAAATATATATTTTTTACAGAGGGCAAGTTCAGTTGACAAACTTCCTTCACCGAGGGAACTGCGTCATAAGAATTGACATACATGTATAGTATGTATATGAAAGTGCATTATGTGATACTTCAATACTCAGATGACCATAATCAAAATATTTCTTACCTTTCCTCCTTCAACAAGCCCAGTGATCATTGCGATGGTTGTGCTCTTATTCTCAAACACCATCTCCCAGAAATCGTTGACAGAGTCTGGTACGGGGCCCTGGGAAGCAATGTATTCCTTCATAGAGTGCAAGCCCTACGGTGAATGATTGGAGGAAAAAATGCATAGAAAATATGGTCAACAGAGTCCACCTGTATAGAAAGACTACTTGTATAGGAAGAGCACCAGTCCTGTACAAAATGGCCACCTGTCTCTAAAGACCACATTTTTGTTTTCATTAAGTAGAGTATCTAATTGAAACCCATGTACTAACATTTTTAAAGGAACCTACATATACTGAAAACTGCTTATAAAGAAAAATAATTCTTGTCTCCCTTGAGGGGTCTTTACATACAGGTTTCAATTTATTATTATAACAAAAGTTAATCGAAATGAGAATCAACATTTGAATGAAAAAAAGAATATTGAGCCCAAATCACTGACAGAAAGACAAAATGGAGAGAAAATCAGATGGAAAGAGACTGACAGTGACGAAGAGAGATCTGGAATGATATAAAAGGGTGAGACTACGAAGATAAGTGTAAAAGAAATATTAGAGACAGCTAATAGAGAGAGGGAGAGAGAGAGAGAGAGAATGAGACAGGAAGAGATATCTGAGAGGAAGAGAGAGAGAGAGAGTATTTACCTGGATGTAGTTTGCATTGATGTAGTCACTGGTCTGTCCTTCCTCCAAATCTTGTAGATGAACGGCAGTCTCATCAACTACAAACAAATTAAATTGACATGAATGTACAATTCCTACTGGCTTCACAATCTAGAATGTACACATTCTGTTTAACAAGAAAAAGAGATGAAACTTAAAGGGGAAGTCCACCCTGATTGTAATTTAGTTTGAGAAACAGGTGAGAAACAGGTCAGTGAAATTTTGAGCAAAATCCAATTAAAATAAGATAGTTATGAACTTGTAAAGTTGCCAATAAACAAACACAAATTGGCAACTCTGTGATTTATCTTGTGAGGTCCCCTCCCATCTGCCCTGTACTAAATTAAAAAAAGAAGAAATGTCTATTTGTCTAAAAAAAAATCAATAACACATGCGCCTAAAGCATAATTATTGCAACTTTGTTTTTATATAATCCCTGCATGAAAATAACCAAGCAAATGAAAGGTCCTGTGGGTTATGGGTTAAGGAAGAACTAAGAAAGGAGTAAGATACTTACATGGTAGGATGTTCCTGTATCTGTTCTTGGTTGCATTGACAGCAAGCCTTGAAGCATCGGTGCTCTTGTCTCTGCCCACATTTGATAGAGACTAAAATCAAGTAATACAAAAAAATCACAGTAAAATTCATGTCAAGTATAATTATCACTTATTAGCCCTCAAACTACAATGTAAATACAGTTGTATTAACATTAGATTAGGTAGATATTGAAGGCGCTGTACTGTGGCGATCTATTACATGGTATTTGTCTCCAGTTTTATGATTTTTTTTTTGTTGTCTTTTGGGTCATCTTGTACCTTTGGCTACGTTTTCTAGTGCTATTTCTGAAATATATGATTCTTTGTTTTTGCTTTTGTTCTCTGCCAATAACAAAGAGAGAGAGAGAAAGAGAGAGAGAGAAAGAGAGAGTGAGCCAGTGTTACAGGAAGTATAAAATGTAGTTTGACTGCAAAAACTGGCATAATAAGGTCAAATTAATCTTATTAAGAAATACAGATTGCTCTTTTAAAACATATATACATCAGAAATAGAAATTTTTGGAAAGCTTACATTGTACTCTTCCACAAATCCAGTATTGTTGCCAGCACTCATGCGATTGACATGGTCAGGGAACTTCCTCATCTGGACAGGGCTAAACAACAGAAAGAGAGACAGAGAAATAGATTCAATTCAAGTCTCATTTATTTCATTCTCGATTGAAAATTACAGTGATCCAAAATGTACAAAATAATTCATAAACAAATTTAGAAAATGAAATGGGGAACTACATAAATAAAGCCCTTAGGCCTTATACAAGCGTAGTTCCCAAAGCATTCATAGCATATTGTAAAGCAAAGATAACAACAACACAAAAAAAAAAAAAAAAAAAAAACATTAATAATAACAACAAAAATAAAAAGAGGAAGAAAAAAAGTAGAAGAAAAATAAAAGACAAGATGTTAATATATGATTAACGAAACGGACAGTTGGTAATAATAATAATAATAATCCATTCTTGTACAGCACATAACACATTATGATATAACATCCATATGCACTTCCAAAGAGCTTTGGAAATGATTACCATTGCTTTAGCTCTAGTAGCCATGATCAGCGCACAGTGCATTTCAAGGAATAATCCTACCAGGTACCCATTTACCATTTGTTTAGAATCTGAGGCAAAGATATTCCCGTTAATGCAGGAACAACCCTGTTCCTGTAACAAATAATAATAATAATAATGGGTTCTTGTATAGCACTCATGTCAGTCAGATTTGACCCTCCATGCTTTGGTAGACTAAAGCCTAGTGCACACATTATGGTCTGATAACGATCTGAATTTGGAAGAATTTGCAATGATATACTGTTTGTGTCTTTTTGTGCTATAATCTCTCGCTAAGCTACCTTAATGGTTGACGTGAATGTGAAGTATGCATATACAGAGACTGCAGAATAAGAAGTACCGTTACTTACTTGGTTAATGGAGGAGCAGATCGAGGCAGAGTGGCAGGGAGTGGGGCCTTTGGACGGTCATCCCTCATGCTGACATAGGCATTCTCTCTGACCGGTATTGGGCCCATCCTAATGAAAGCATCCTCCGGTAGCGGAGTTTTGTGCATCGAGTCCTGGTTGTGGGCCGAGGGGTAGGCCGCATTCACCAAGGGCAGATGCTGACCGTTACCTCTCTCATACAGGGCGCTGCTCCTTGCCTCACCACAGCTGTAATGAAACACATTGCTTGGGATAAATATCATTTTGGTTGTGGGCTGAGAGGAAAGTAGCCTCTGACCATTTCCTCTTCCATACACACACCCACACACAAGCGCATGCTAATACGCAAACTCACACACACATAAGCGCACACTCCCCTACAAGCGCATGCTAACACGCAAACTCACACACACGCGCACATGCTCACAGGCACACACACACACACCCACTCACACACAAGCGCACATGCTCACACACACACACCCACGCACACCACTACACGTTTATGGCGTCAAACGTGGACGAAGTTTAGTACTTGTGTGTGTGTGCATGGGTAATTGTCTTCAACCGAAAACTACATTAAACCGCGGACGTACCTGCTATGGGATGATAGCAGGTAGCGCGCCTTTCCCGCGCAGTCATCGAAGGGGGCGCTGTGACATTTCGCGATACACATACAACTGATCCACTCGATGTTGGCTACACGCTGTGACATCTAATATTCAAACGCCCCCTACGTCGTAAATTTTATACGGCGAAAACCAGGATCGCAACCGTGGACGGTCCCCCATTGCAGGTACGTCCGCGGTTTGCGGTATTTTTCTATGGAGTGGTCCGCGGTTGATGGCGTTTACCAACGCACACAAACGCTCATACACACAACCACACACACACAAGCGCATGCTCATACGCACACTCACACCCACATGCACTCTTACACGCACACTCACACCCACACACTTGTTGGTTTGAATATTTTTCTCACCATTGACGGGAGATGAGAAGCATGACGAGTAAGAGAACGAGAGTGATGATGATGATGGAAACCACAGCAGCAGCGTACCAAGTGGTGTTAATTCCTGGTCAAATATGAAAATAAATAAATATTTATATTTACAGTCACATTTGCATGGCGCTTAAAGCCTCACTGCACTACTTGTAGCTACTCGCGCCCTCTATATAGCAAACAATGCCAAATCGGTGACCATTGGGTCCCCATTGTCCCCTTTTTCTTATTTTAATTGAGAGCTGATTTGATGAGATAACCACCTGTCAGTGACCATACAGGGAGGTCTAATCGCTCCTGGCCAAACTAGTGCTGATGGTATTTAATACTATGTTTTTAGAGCTGTATACATTGTAAATATTATCACCCTGGTCATTGGATTCAATTTAGAGTCCACACACAATAGTAGATACCCTGTGCTTCCTGGGGAGTGTTTCTGCCAGGCACCACTTTACAAGTGTACACATTCCAATCCAACCACATCAATGTTTGCATATTACTGTGTACCCGTTTAGCACCTGGGTGGACAGTGGCAAATGTAGATTAGAGTTTTGCAAAAAGACAGTGCAAAAATGGGTTCAAGTGCATCATATAGCCAAGTTGGGTATTTTTAAAGATTCACTAATTTTGGTTTAATTACTCCCCCAAAAATATACATAGGAAACAAAATGAAAACTAATTCTGTCAAGTATAAAATAAGCAATTGTAAAAGTGAAGAAATACATTTCTAGAGTATGATGTTTCTTGTACCTGAGTTGTAGAGTGGTGACCAAGCACTGTCAGTGAACTTCCCATCAGACCCGTAGGCACGTAGAGCAAACCTGTTTGAAAAACAAGAAACAATAAATATATGGGGATCATTCCAGCCTGGCGCCATTTTACATACATCCACAATGCTGATCAAATTGCATTAACATTCCCATCCTACCGGGTACCCATTTAACGCCTGGGTGGAGAGTGGCAAATGTAGATTATCATCTTGTCAAAGGACATTAGTGCCGGGTTGTGATTTGAACCCGTACTTTGAGATATACAGTCTGGTGACTTTAATATCCACAAGGCTGCAACACCTCTAATCACCGAAGAATGTCAGTCCTGGGGAGTGTTTCACAAAGACTAAGATCGACTTTAAGTTGGACTTAAATATGGCAGGCCATTCATGCCACTGTTTGCTCTCACCACTTATGGCAATGGTCTCTCAAGGGATGTACAAATCATGGTTACACATCTACAGAAATCAGCTTTTTTGATAGCTCATTATTGAAGGAAAAAATATTATCTAAAGATCATAATTGAGAGACCAATGGCGAGAGCAACCAGTGGCATAAATGGCCTGCCATATTCAAGTCCAACTTAAAGTTGATGTTAGTCTTTGTGAAACACCCCCCTGTTACAGAAGAGGACCAATGCAAAATGTTTACCTGTAATCAGTGAGAGGGACGACAGGTCCGTTACAGTATCCCACTGAATCCTGCGTGCAGCTGTTGTTAGCGCCAACGGTATAGAACCCCCTCGTGTTTCCGTTTGTGAAAGGAGCGTAAGTAAGGAGCGTGGTTTGGTATGGCTGGCCTGAGCCAACTTGCCAGTTGATGGCAGGGTCACTTGGTGTCGAAGGAATGGTGTCTAAGATAAGAACAATTTCAATAACCAGGTTGGTTCAAGATGACTATGGTCGAATTCACAAAGGAGGTCTAACATATACCCATGGTTTAAACCCCATTAAAATAACCCATGGTTTAAAACTTAGCGCAAAATAAGCATACCTTGCCTTGCGCGCGTCTAATATTGGACCTCTGACTGTGTCGCGCTTATTTTGCACTAATTTTAGACCATGGGTTAAGTAAATGAAGATTTAAACCATGGGTCAAATTTAAACCTCCTTTATGAATTCGGGGCTATATAAAGTATAATATTAATATAAAGGCCTTCACTATCAAAATAACATCTATTTTACATGCAGTTAGAATATTTTGCACAAATTCCATCATTGATTCTTTGTGTGTATGACCTTCAGAACAAAAAATCACCTTGTTAAATAGTGGATTCTAAAAAATATAATTTCTGTGATATAAAATGTAAATTGTAAATGCAGATATGACACTATGCAAACGGTTTCACCTTAATTTCTTTGAAACTATTATGAAGCAGCATCCGAAAAAGCCTTGACAAAAAGTGGATTCCAAAAATTATAATTTCTATCCAGTCAGGGTGTTAACTCTTTGTTAAAGTACATGTATATGATACAAAGTCCTTAATTGCCAAAATGCTCTTTTATACACGTATATGTTATAAAGTATGCATGCACAGAACTCGACACCCCCAATAATGGGGATAAAACAGAGGATTCTTAGGCGAGGCGTCAAAAATATCGATACCAGCAGGCTGCCGCCTCACGTATTGGCGCATCGAGGCTGCAATTACGGCCGAAGCCTGGCTGGGGCAATTATTTTTCACTTATTAGCCCAGCCGGCTTGCGCCAGGCTGGGATCTGAGGCTCGGTTTCCATTCGAAAGGCGGCAGCCGGCGCATGCTTTTGTTCGGAGACCATTATGATGACATCATGAGTTAATTGAGGGTCCTACCGCCAGCGGTAGCCGGCTGAGCTAATTTAAAAAATGCAGCCAGGACGCACAAGTGCAGTTAGCTGCCGCTGGCTGGTATATTTATTTTTGACGCCTCGCCTTAACGAAGGTGTTAATATCACTGTAAAGTATGAAATGGCATAGTAGTGAGAAAAAGAAGTGAATAATAGCAAGTGGCTAAACGTTAGAATTCTGATTAGCTCACTGTGAGTTAACGCCCATCGGAATCTCATCAAAAAAAGTAGGGGTGATCTTTTCAACCCCCCCCCCCCCCCTTGATTAAATTTTTTTAAAGGGCAAATAGAGGTAAAATCAGGGAGAATCAGGGGGGGGGGGAATTGGGAAAAAATAATCGAGAAGCAATTTAAATCAGGTACTTATCAGAAAAAGGGATGTTAGACTTACCTGGACTGCTTTGTGCTACCAGGAGGGCATATCTAGTCACAGGACCGTAGACATCGCTGAATATGCTACTGTCAAAGGATACACTCATGGTAGTACCTGTATGAGAAACAAGACGTACCACCCTGTCTGCAGGAGGAGTTGGAGGTGCTACAGGGGGTAAAGATCAAGCAATGAAGAGAGCTCAAATCAATAATAATAATACTTTGTTCTTCTATAACGCATTTCATGTCTGATGACATTTCAATGCGCTTTACAATATTCATACATGTATATACAGTATAACAAGATCATAAAAGGAAGAAGAAACAGAAACATATATAGAAAACAATGAAGTGCTTACAAAGAGAAAATTTACAACATAGCTTAACCTTTATTAAATACTATTGATGTGCTAATTTTAATGCGAGATTGAAGACAGAAAAAGGGTGATTTGTATTACGACTCAGTAGAAGACTCGTTAGAATCAACAACAGAAAGCAACATAGTAGTCAGTGTCCATGTGTATTGCATCAGAATTCGCTGAAACCAGATTTTGTTGAATTACCAATTAATGAGTCTGTGTGTGCAAAGGTGTCTAAAGTATCGAACCCGAAAGTGGCCACACCATTCTTCTTCTCTTACTCCTTCTTCTTCTTCTTCTACTTCTTCATCTAATATTTTTATCACTCTTTTTGTTATTACCATCATTATTATCATCATTATTTAAAAAAAAAAGAATTCTATGTTTTTGTTATACTTTTATTATTATTACTATCATCAATGTTATCATAATTTGTATTATTACCATTATCACCACGATCTTTCTCATCATTTTTTATAATTACTGATATTATTACAGTCAAACCTGTCTACAGCGACCACAAACACAAAAAGTGGTCTTTGTAAACAAGTTTCTTTGGTACATGTTTCAATGAGAAACCATTTTCAAGGGAAACAAGAAATGTGGTCTTTGTAGACAGGTGGTCACTAAAGCAGGTTTGACTGTATTATTATCATTATTATTATTATTATTGTTGTGGTTGTTGGTGTTGTTTGTTATCATGATTATTCCTATAACTAACCAGAATGTGGTAGGTCGAGAGGACCAGCAATCACAGCATCGCTCTGATCAGCACTGTTAGCAGCTTTGATACTGAAGGTGTACGAGCATCCGGTGGGAAGGTTCTCAATCGTGGCTGAAAACACTGTTACTCCGTAGGTCTCGGTACGTGTAAAACCAGCCTGAAAATAATACAACAAGTAATAATACCAATAATTGATTGCACTATCCAAACTGCATGAGAGATAAAGGTCTTTCAAAATAGTTAGTGCCTCCCCAAACTGTAATCTTCATCTACTTTGGGTGGCTAATGAAACATACAGAGAACTGCTACAATTTCTTATCATATATACAATGTGCATGTAAATATATAGTCCAAAACAATGTGGTAGTTTCACATTTTAATCTCTCAACAAGTTGCCAATTTACGGAAAGTACAGCTGATTTTCCTTTAAAAAATTAAAGGCATTAAAAACAATATAGTCATGGAACAAAAAAGGATGCAGTGTGTGCAGAAATGGTTTCCCATTCTACTCATGTATCTGGCATATTTTTTTAGGGCTTTGAAACAAAAGGTTATTGAATTAAACCACAAAATGTGGAATGATTGTCACTAAAGGGTAAATAAATGAATAATAATAATAGTTTGTTCTTATATAGCACTTTTCAGGACCGCAGGACCTCTCAATGCGCTTTACAGATATATATTATTACCCTGGTCATCAGATTCAGGCTTACCCGCAAATAATGTATGCACATTCTCCACGAGTCCCTGGGGAGCCTTATTGTTCATTAATGTATGCATGTATGTATCTATGTATATGACCTTTGACCTCACCTCTCTCCTCTTCCTACTGGTGAGGTCTTCCCCGGTGATTTCCACAACGAAGCCTGTCAGAATACCATTAGGTGAGTCAGGAGGAGTCCAGGTAAGGAAGACAGAGTTGGGTGAGTTGATGGCGACTACTGGGTCTCTCACTACAGACGGTTCTACAAAAATATAACACAAAATTATATGAGGAGGTGTGATAGCTCAGTTGGTAGACCAGTGGTCTTGTAATCTGGCAACCCAGGTTCGAAATCAAGGAGATGCGGCAGTGCCCTATGGTAAGGCATTTAATCCTCATTACCAGGTCTCTCGGCGGAGAAGACCTAAAGCCGCCGGTCCTCTGGTTGCTTACTTTTATGCTTTCTTAGCATTCAGGTAAAATAACCACCACCACAATATATACAGTTTCTGTTTTGTAGGGCGCTGAATCCACTTGATATTGAATACTCAAGGCACATCAGTGCAATAGAAAAAATTAAAAAATCGAAAGAGCAAATACAGAAAAATTTGATGCGAGGACAATACAACATAAACATGGAAGAAAACATTACTGGCCGAAGCAAAGAGATTCAGTCATATACATTTTTAATTATTTTTGAACACTTTAACTGGGAAAGGAAAAATGAAACATTAATGAAGTCATATTCTATATATGGGATGAGCAAAAAACTTTTGGCTTTACTTTACTATTGGCTGTTAATTGACAGGTTTAATGGCCCTATCAATTTAAAAAAAAAATCTCTCTAAGTGCTAATAAGTTCTTGAACCAATCACTTTATTTCTCTATAACTCAATACATATCTCCTTTTTTGCAACAATCATTAATTACAGTCAAACCTGTCGATAGAAAGTCATAAAAGGGAAAACTGGCGGTTGTAGACAGGCAGACTTTCTAGACAGGTTCTACAAAACTTTTTTTATTGGGGAAAACAAAATACATGGCCGCTAAAGATAGGTGGCTTTCATAAAGAGGTAGCCAGGGAGGCAGGGTTGACTTTATTTCTTTTAGTTATCACTTACTTCCTTGGAATGTCGTCTGTTCAATCTCGATGGCATCACTATCCAGACCATTAAACCGTGCAGCAACTGTGATGATGTACTTGGTATACGGGTTCAGGTTCTCTATTGTATAGCTGGTTTCACTCGATGGTACAGTGGCCTGAAAGTAGAACAAAAGGGTTTTAGAAGTAGTCATACAGAATCCTATTAGCAAAGGTCACCGTGCTGTGCATGGCAACACTGACTTTTCTCCAATGAATGAACTATATGAAATATAATAAAACAAAATATGATAAAAATTTGAACCTTTAAAGCCTGTCTACACTAGTTTAGCCAGGAGGGATTAGACCTCCCTGTCAGGTCACTGACAGGTGGTTATCTCATCAAATCAGCTCTCAATTAACATTAAAAAAAGGGGATCATGGGGATCAACGGTCACCAATTAGACATCGCATGCTATATAGAGGGCGTAAGTAGCTATAAGGAGTGCAGTGGGGCTTTAAATTATGAACTTACATCAGCTACATCTGCTCCGTCCTCATCTTTGACGATGATATGATACATATTGACGACATTGAGCGGTGCGCCCCAGGAGACTGTGATGGAATCACTCGTTACTTCATCTTGCATCAAGTTCTGCGGCGGCTTAGATTCTACACAAAAATGAGAAGAATGAGTGGTGTGGGGTTTAATTGCAAAAGTGATTGAATTTCTTCTTTTTTTTGAAAATTTCCTAATTCATTGATTTTAAATGTTTTAATTACTTTTAACTGGTTTCTATTTTAATGTAATCGCATGAATTTCCATTCCTAGATTAATTCAATCGTCACTTTGGATTTCCTATTTGTATACACTATTTTCCTGTCATTGTATTTTATTTGGATCAGTTTTAGTTTCCTCTGTTTGTAATTTAAATATGTCTCTTTTTCAAATATGTAAATTCAGTAAACAATGTGACCATAAAGGTTACGAGTATTGAATCACATAAATCTTGAATCTTGAAAAAAAGCTGACCAGAATACCTCACTTTTTAAGTGCAAAACTGAGACAATTAGTTGAACCAATTGCTAATGGAAATATGTTTGTCCTTGCAACAAGCCCATGGTAGGTAGAGAAATAAGGAGGCAACAGGTTCAAATCATTTTAGACAGCCTTTACAAATTAAACTACCGTACTTTCTTCATACAAAGTTTCTTTACATGACTTAAAATTACAAGGTTTCCTTATATGATTTTCGTATAAATTTTGTAAAGTCTATTAACCCCTGGCTTACTGGAACAGGGTGGGCCCTATACAAAGTCTATGGGGATCTTAAAGAATCTGATACTGAAAGGATTAAGGGAGACTCACTAGTAGTGACAGCCATTATGAGTGCTGCTGCACTGGTCTTGATCATATTAGTCTGTGGTCCCTCGACTACGGTCCTAATACTGATGTCATACACTGTAGCAACGGTCAAATTGGTCAACAGAAGTGACTGCTCTGTCGTGTCTGTGGTCAAGATGGTCGCTGAATCCTTGCTGAATGACACCTGAGATTAAAACAAAACAAAATGTAAAGAATTTGGAGTCTGTTCCAAAAAGAAATGAAACAAATTGAATGCAAGTGATAGAATGTAAAATACAAGTAAGAAGAAGGGAAACAAAAAAAAAGAAAAAAGAGAGAGAAAGAAAGAACAAAAAAAAATAAAGAGAAAAATCTGAAGGAGAAGAAGAAGAAAAGGAAGTCATTTGTAAAAAGAGAAAAAATGTTTTACCTGGAAGGTAGTGAAGTTAGAATTGCCTAGGGTCCATTCCACTCTGAGTTCTGTAGTAGTGACGTATGGTGTGCTCAAGCGTTGCGGCTGCGTCGGCTCTGTGACATACAAGGACATTCAAATTCAAACTGTTTTAACATCGTATGAAGAGGGGTTCCTATGTCAGCGCACCTAACATTTCACTAGAAATTGACAAAAATTTCTATCATTATCCCTTAGTCTTGATCTTATCTTTTTCCTTAGATTCTTGAGAGTAAAATGTGTCAACATTTTTGTCCAAATACGAGCAAGAACAATTTCGTTTTTACAGGAATAGGCGACGGTTTCATTTTAACATTGCATAAAAAAGATCCCATGTCTGCGCACTCATTCGCATTATTTGCAGTTCAGGATTTTTGACGTGAAAGATATATTTTTGAGGCTCGTGGATAAAAAATGCTAAAGTAGGACATTTCTCACTATTTTGACTAATTTTTGGAATTAATACTAGATCACTATAATTGAGGCATATAGTATGTGGGGGGAGGGGGAGGGTTAGAGCCTCACAGGCAGTCGTTCTTCAGAGACTGACGAACTGCAGTGGCTAAACCAAACCAGACAGGACATGTTACTTGAACGTTAATATATAAATAGGACATTCTGCACTTCATGGCACCGTCTTACAAAGAGTTACGATTGATCCAAATCAATCGCAAGTCCTCCAATCAATTGCAAGTTTGCAGTCTCCCATCTCTTATGTACATAGTTGCAATTGATATCAATATCTTTTTAAGAAGGAGCACAGATCTTTTGTGACACACATACCCCATTCACCTGAAGGAGGCAGAGTCAACAGAAGAAAAAGAAGAAGGAGAAAAGGGTTAACTCACCTAGAAGGAAGAAAGCTGACTGTAAAGGTTCACTGTATATAACCTGGCCATTGACATCATTAATGACAGACCTCATCACAGCTTGATATTCTCCGCCAGAGACAAGGCCGTCATGTATTTCCCATTTGTCTCGCGTGCCGTTTATACCTGCGATTAAACAGAAACAACAATAATAATTATAATAATGGATATTTGTATAGCGTATGTATCCACACCACAAGGTGTTTATGGTGCTCTCATATTACTGTAGCGACTCATATACAAAAACAATGCGAATGAATAAGTCGCTACATTACCCAGGCTCTGCTGTGCTACAGCCCACTGTACCCTCTAGAAAAGGCAATATCCATGTATATTAAAGTTCAATTATTATTAACGATTCCTTTTATTATCATTATCTTCATTCTTCTTCTTATCATTATTATCATTATTATCATTAAATTTGAATCATTATCACTTACGTATTGGGAACGTAGGCTCGTTGGGTACCAAGTCTATCTCGTAATAAGCTATTGGGAAGTTGACTTCAGCCGGTAGATTCCATGACAATGAAACCTCCTCAACACCAACATCACTAACAACCAGGTTCTGTGGACTCAGTGGTTCTGTGCAAAACATAAAGTTATGAATCTTATAAATATTCATGAATATGTTAATGTGTGCGTGCACAGTCAGATTTTATGGTGAATAATGGGAGCGAAATAAATTGAAAGAAGTAGAGTTACGTTTGCAGACTTCTTGTTTAATTTTTGCCTGATTCCAGCATCCAAGCGTTGTACGAATACCAAGCCCATTGTCATTTCAAACTGACAGTCCATTTTCCATGACTTTCAAGGTTTTGTCAGGACTGTGAGAACCTTGTTATTATGGCTCCTGTTTTGAAGTTTTTCAATGGTAAACCCTATCAAACCTTCACAAAGTTTGAAACAAATTGAATAGAGGAAGAACTTACGTGTGTATGTAACCACTGTCTCCGGCTCACCGACCTGTTCAAAGCTGCTAGGATCCCCACTCACAGGGGATATGGTGAAGACGTACTCTTTACCAGGAGCCAAGCTTCTAGCAGAAATCTGAGATTCAGAGACCTGATTAGATGACAGTACTTGTGCAGAATCCTCGTTGTTTGGAAAAAGCGCTCCTTCCAGCGGTGCGTATGTTATTCTGTACTGGATGTCGGCCGATATGACATCGCTCCAGTCTAGCGACAGGGAGTAGGGTGTGCGCTGGGTTATGACGACGCCCGTCACTGGTAGTGGAGCTGCATGAGGATGAAATCATTACAATGAAATCATTATAGAATTGCTCTATTTATATAATGCAATCGTTAAACATTGACATTAAATAATCACAATAAATAAACCCTATAACTCATAAATCATTATAGAATCACTCTTTTGATATAATGCAATCGTTAAACAATGTGATTAATAATCAAAATTAATAATGACAATAAATATAATCACAAGATATACATTGATAAAATCGCAATAAAGTCATGAGAGCCCTTCTATAGGTTTGACTACTAAATGTATATCATGTTTCGAATTGTAAATGAATTCAGTACATGGAATAAACAATAAGAAACAATTATTACATAATTTTATTACAGTAAAACCTGTGTAGAAATACCTCCTGAGGGGAACACAAAAAAATCAGTCTTTGTGGGTCTTTATAGGCAGGTTCTTTTTAATAACATATTTCTATGAGGATCATCAATTCAAGCCTCAAGGGAAACAAAAAAATGTGGTATTTCAGTACAGGAGGCCAACAAAAAACACCTGTCACAAAGAGGACCTGTCTATAGTGACAGTGCACTTTGTCTTCCTTGATAAAAAAATGTGTGTCTTAGAATCGGTATACAAAGGCCAGTTTTGCGGTTTCCCTTGGGTGGCCTTTATAGACAGGTTGGACTATGTTATGATCGATCTTACGGGTTCTAAATGATATTCTCCCAAAGCCGTCATCGGTCTGCAAGCCGTTCAGCATCGTCTGCACGTATACGTTGTACAGCTGTCCAGGCTCAAGGCCGTAGATGAGCAGAGATCCTTCCTGTGCTCCGTTCAATGAGCTCAGCGAGATGATGCGGGGAGACTCCTGAGCATTAGTAGGGTCATAAGGATCATAGGTGACTTGGAATTGGTTGAAGTCGCCTGACGTTGGTACGTTCCAGACGACGGTGAACTGGGTACTGGTGTAACCAGCACCAATATCCATCCCGATGGTGGTTCCTACATGTAGACAAGAACAAGACATCACTATTAACTTTTCTTTGCCAAGCATGCAGATCTGCACGAAATAATACTGTGCGTCTATGGACATGAGTCGGTCATAGTTAACACTCCTGACGCTCCACTGCTATTACCCCTCCTTTAGCTTGGCTGCTCTTACGGCGCTCTAAAGGAAACAACTCCTACTGGAAACCCATTTACTTCAGCTGGGTAAAAAGTGGCCATTATAGATTGAATATAAAGACCAGTTCTGGTCATGCCATTGCATTGTAAAATAAACATTGTGGAATCGATCAGAACAGGATGATCATCTAACATATAAGTATTGGTGTGTACTGCAAGGTTCTTGAATCATCAAAATGATAAGAAATTTGGTCCAGTCTTGGACCATGACACCTCCAATTAAACAAAGGATTGCTTCAAGCAGCACAAAAACTTTGCAGAATTACCCATTCCTGGTCTTGATTAGCTACATGAAAACCCTTGTAACCTATGTTAATTTGGAGTAATCTCACTTCCTGTGGTTTAAAGTGTGTCCCATGATTAATGCTATGAGGCACAGGGATATTACTTGCATGGCACTGCGTTGAAAGACCATTGATGCTAGCTCATAAGAAATGATTAAACTTCATGTGTCCTGTCAATAATTTTTTCCCCTCAAATATGATCTTTAATCCTTGACTGTGTGATATATTGTACTGTTTAGGGGGTGATTTCTAACAATATCAAACGATTATTTTTGTTTTAGTCCTCTATCAGCTGTATCCTGGGTAAACAGAATAATTATTATTAATATTATAACTTCTAAAGGTTTAGAAGGAAGAAGAATCGTGATAACTCTACTCACCGCTCCCTCTCGTTACTGGTTCGCTGACAAGCTCCGCTACAAGAGCATACACATTAAATGTATATGTAGTCCCTGGGAGGAGATTTGTGACCGTGAGAGTCTGGGTGATTTGTCCATTATCCGTTATGGTATGGGGAGATGCAGGGCTACCATCGGAGGATGGGGAGTACGTTACTCTATAGCTGTCCACACCACCTGTAAGAGGCTTCTCCCAGCCGATACTGATGGAATTCGTAGTAATTGTATTGAAGAGCAGATTTCTTGGCATGTCAGGCCCTGTATTAGGAAGAAATTTCAATTCCAATAATTTCAATTTCAATTTCTTTGTCAATAAAAATTTGCTTTGCTTACGTTTCACATACATGTAAAGGTATAACTTACAATCTCTATTGGAGGTAACTTCAATGTATTTGGAGCTCTGTGAAATGACTGACCAATTATAATCTACTTCCGCTGGTTGGTGATTCCATACGACATAATTATGATCATTTTCCAATTTCTTTCTTTGACAGTGATAAAATCTCCTGACACAACGATAGAATAATGTTAGTGATACACCAACCATCCATTATTCAATTTGTGCATAATTTTTTTTCTTTTCTTTTCTTTTGTTCTTGTTTCTTTTTTTCCTGTATGTGTGTTTTAAGGGGTAGGCTTTCATATAAAGAATCCCTCCGTTCTGCCTATCCCAAATGCTCTTATAAATTGCCATTGTTATTTGTTATCACTTTCTTATTTTTTTTATTATTCCATTCTGTATTTGTATGTTTTAAATGTTTTCATGAAGAGTGCAGAATAAACTTTGAATTTGAATTTACTTGTATATTGTTCTCTTTCTCTCCTTTGAGTTCCCAGAGGTGTCACAAAGAAGGTGTAGCTAGTGCCTGGCACCAGATTGGTGAAGGTGTATTCAGCTTCCTCAGGTGAGTTGACTGTCACAGTTTGTGATGCTCCGGTCCCGCCTCCTACAGTGTACCTATAATAATCATAATAATTAATAATAATTATGATCATAATGACGATGATAAAGATAATACAAACAATACAGTGAAACCTGTATATAAAGACAGCTCAAGGGAAGCATAAAATGTGGTCTTTATAGACATGATTTATATACAGGTGGTTGCTAAAACAGGTTTGACTGTAATAACCAATAATGAATAATAAAAAACAAAAATAATATCAGTAATATCAGTAATAATAGCGATAGTAGTATTAATAACAATAACTACCACTACTACTACTACTACTGATAATAACAAAAATACTAATAATATTACTACTACTACCGTCCCCTCGCTGCTTAATCACAAGCATATACATGCTTTCTTAGCAGTCAGGTGAAACAAACAAACAAACATCCACATTTAGTGCATTACAAGTAAATTCTCATGAAAAATGTACTAACCTCGTTATGCTATTAATTGCAACCCAAGTGATTCTGACTGAGTTTGTGTCAACATCTTCCAGGGCAATGTTGATATCTCCTGGATCACCGATCACTGAAAATGAAACAAAACAAACAATAGTAAGACATGTTAACCATCTAAACAGTACCACCTTACAATTTTGACAGAAAGTGCCCTTTACTAGTTGGTGCTTTTCTCCAGAATATGGACCACGAATAACCACTTCAATAACCTTAACCCAAAAGTCTACTTTTCTAATGTGCCTCTTAATACATAAATGAAATACAGGTAGATTTTGATATGATTTTGATATGACAAATAATGAACTATAATAAATAATAATGAAGCATAGGGGAATAAGAAAAACAAATAATGTTGCTTCATGGACTTGCATATCGAGGGGTCAGTGACACAAAGACATAACTCCATTTTGGACATTTTGAGACAAGTGGTTTAAAGATAGAGGTCCACTTGGGCCTTAGGGAGTTAAGTCTATGTTTCACTAGCCATTGACCTCAATGGGGTGTTGGGTGGAGTTAAGTCTTTGTGTTTCCTGCAAGCCCACATTTTTCTGAACATTGTGATATAAAATACTCATTTTGGCAAAATATGGAGTTACGTCTTTGTGTCACTGAGCCCTCAATATGTCTCTAGAAAAGAAAAAAAGAGAATATGTGTACGCAAACCAAAAAAGCTTACGTGTCTGCTGTGTGATGGTGGTTGGTTCACTGTAAGTTGATTCTTCACTGCTTGAGACTGTTACAAGATAGTAGGTCAGGCTGTTGAGTCCAGGGAGATTTATAGATGGTGTGGTGCCTGAGGTAAACGGAGAATTCTGAAACAAACAATAGAGCATGGAGAAGTTCAGTGTCTTGTCTGTGATGAATAGATAATTAAGCGGTTATACACTCATGGAACTTTAATCATGAGGATTTCTCATAATACTCACCTGAGTACCACGTGGGTAATGACACACTCTATATCCATCATAGTTCCCTGTAGAGGGTGCACTCCATGTGGCATCTAATGCGTTCTTACTGCGAGTAACACTCAGACTGTCGATGTTGATGGCTTCAGGCACTGTAGGGAAGAAAATACTGGCACGTTAGAGATACTTATTTAACCCTTTATAATGATATAAAACAATAGTCACATTTGTATAGCACTCAGATACACCTTTGCATATTTGGGCTTGCGTATTGCATATTTGGGCTTGCGTATTGCATATTTGGGCTTGCGTATTGCATATTTATGGAATTTATTCCTATTTCTTGATATCAAGTTTTGATTTTCTGTGGTAAAGCAATGGTAATTCTTGATATCAAGAAATTGGAATAAATGTATAAACAGCGTGCCATAAATACGCAGCAATACGCAGGCCAGATACGCAAAGGTGTGATTGAGGCATCAATACTACGTTCCTCATTTAAGCGCTTTAACATTGTAATATTACCCTGGTTATTGGATTACATTGCTAATCCGCACATGAGTGTGCACACGATCTGCTCTCTAGGGAGTATTCCAGCCAGACGCCATTTACAAGAGCACACATGCCCTTTCAACCACTTCAACAATCGTGTCGTACCGGCTACCTATTTGAAACTTGGGTGGAGAGTCGCAAGTGTAGATTCATGTCTTGTTAAGTGACATTAATGCCGCAGAGGGACTCGAACGGCGAACCATAAGTCAAGTCACATATCCGCTACACAACGAAATCCACTACATAATGTGATGATTGAAATTGTTTACACTGTATGTACCCTCGTCCACTGTAGTGTTACCAAAACCTTCTTAACTCACCCTGGTAGTAAAACTGTGGTTTCACAAAACTTGGCTTTAATATTGCATTGTACAGTGTGTTTTATGCATGACTGCTTTTTTTCTTCTTCTCTATAGTCCCATTTATCCATCCTTTGTTTTGATAATTCCGTACCAGAGGAATATTGGCAGTTTGGAAAAGATTTTACATTTAGTTTTCTATTCAGTATAGTATACCATACAAAAACAGAGCATAGTGGGGATCAAATCTGGCACCATGCAAGCTAATATGTAATCTGCAATGTGATGTTGGGGCAAAAAAGAGGGTTGAACTAAGATGGGAGGCAAGTGAAATCACTCCAATTTTTTCAATAAATAATGCCACTGAAATAAAGAGAATCCTTAAATACACAGCACATGTTGTATCACTTGTGCTTCACATGATAAATGGAGTGACTTACGTGTAAGCTGGACATGTGTTTCCTGGGCCGGAGTTTGTCCCTGCTGTTGGACCATGATAGTATAGGCAGTACCAGGTACTAGACCACTTAGATCCAGGACCCTTGGCTCTCCTTTTGCTACCAGCATTGGCGTCTGGGTTGACCCAACAGGGCTGTAGGTGACAAGGTAATTTGAGAAGGAGCCTGTACCTTCCTGCCAAGATACCTTCATGGAGTCTGTTTCCAGCTCATCTAAAGTGATGTCCAGCGGTGCAGCAGCAACTGTGGGAGTTATTGACAAATTTATTGACAATCCTCTTAACATACATCTTCTGTTGAGACCCTCTGGAGCCTCCAAACAACAAGCTTTGATGTAATAGGCTCCTTCATATCATCATTTCCAAGTATACTTAGTCCTTAAAGCCCCACTGTCCTACTTGTAGCTACTTGCTCCCTCTATATAGAAAAATTCCCCAATGGGTGCCGGTTGGTCCCCCATGATCATCTTTTTCTTATGTTAGTTGAGAGCTGAGTTAATGAGATAGCCACCTGTCAGTGACCTCGCTGTGTGGTCTAATCCCTTCTGGCCCAGTAGTATTGACAGTCTTTAATTTATAAGTAACTACAAATAAACAAAGCAGAATGGTCTGCTATGGCATATTTTATTTTCATGTACTAATGTTTATTCAAAAATACAGAAAAAAGGTTTCAGAAAAAAGAGAAATCTAGGGTTCATTTCATAATTATAGTCAGAAGGCCAGAAAAAAAGACTAATTTCTCTGATATAGGAGTGGTAGGCACCTATGCAGTGACACACACCTAGCGATAGGATTTGTCTTTTACCTGTGCTGGTTTGAACTCTGAATGCTTCACTGATATCCAGGCCACTGTACCACTCAATGTCGATTTCATACATGGTGGCTGCTTCAAGTTTCTTGATCCAAATTTCTGGGCAAGCTGATTTAGCGACTGGGATAACCGGCTGTACGACAGGACTGGAGACGCCACCTAGACGAACTCGTACATTGTACCCATCGTATCTCATGGGGTCTTCGAAAGGTGGAGTTATGGTCAGATGAATCATTGATGATGCTTGGTCAGTCACCATAGCGGAAAGCCCGTTTATTTCATGCACTGCAATAAACATTTACAATAATGATAGTAGTTATAATAAATTTTTAAAATAATGAATAATAAATACAAATAATGAAAAATAATTTGATGTTGTTCACAAAGAAAAACCACTCACTATGGTACATATTTACATACCCATCTAAAAATGTTTCATAAAACTTGAAGAAAGCAACAACTAATAATCACTATCTAATGTATATTTTTGCAGAAACAGTCAGATGCATGGATTTCAGTAGCTTATATCAAGGAATCTAACTTGTTCATACCAACATTTATGAATCACTGCACTGGGTCCCATCTTTTAATCTCTTGCAATTGATTTAAAACTGATCGCAACCTGATATCTAACATAGTTGTGTATTCCAATCAATCATAAACTTACGGGTCGACCACATCTCTTTACATAAGACAGGGGCATGGTTTTCTATAGGATACAAAGGATGGTACTTACACGTAGATGCTGTTTCCATGCTATCTCCAACAGCTGCTCCAGCGTTTATGGCCTGCACAGTCACTGTGTACTCTGTTCCAGGTGAAAGTCCAGGGATGACCACCCTCCTATCACTGGACCCATCAACCACGATGGGAGTTGATCCAACGTAAGAGACCTGGTACTCATCAACAGACCCTGATGCCGATGCACCCCATAAGATCTCCAGAGATGTGGTGGTTCTCTCCCCGATCACAACAATCAGGTTATTAACAGCTGCACGAAAAAGCATTAGTGCGAGAACAATTTTTTTTTAAATAACAATAATAACATTAAACTTGAATAGTTTCATTGTGCATATATCCACCATGCAAGGTGCTCAGGATGCTCTAATATTACCCCTGATGATCTGCTGGCTACTAATTTCGGTGCTCACAGCAATAAAGGCATTCCTTTCCCCCAGTACATGTTTAAAACCTGGATGGAGAGTGCCAAATTTGGATTAATATCTTGTCAAAGGACATTAGTCCTGCACAAAGTGCTCTAGTAGTGACTCTGGGCCTGCTAGGCTACCGATTTCGGTGCTCACAGCAATTAAGAAGTTCCTTCCTTCCAGTACCCATATTACACCTGGGTGGAGAGAGGCAAATTTAGAATAATGACTTGCCAAAGGACACTGGTGCTGCCCAGCAGCAAGAAACGATGAACGTTGTATCTCCAGTCAAGTTATGCAACCACTTGACTACAACACGTCTATTGCTTGTTGTTCAACAACATTCAGTAATGGTTAAACGTCAAACTGGTTAGTTATGCCACAGCTTACCTATCTGACCTGTGGTAGTAAGAGGTGGGTCAGTCCTCTCATCTCCTCTAATGCTGACCAAACTGAATTGATACACCTTGTCTGCCAAGGCATTCATAATGCTGAGACTGGTAGCAGCCTTGGGCAGCCTGACCGGTGAAGATGGGTAGCCGACGTCTGGGGTGTAAGATACCTCAAAGTAATCGTAGGATGCTCTCTCAGGAACATCCCATTCCAGGATGATGACATGGTCTGCAGCCTGAGTGTTGGTCACTGCAAAGTTACTGGCCACAGGTATGGTGGTGTCAGCGACTAAAATAAGAAACATTATAGACAAGTATCATTATCAACAATCATCTTCATTTATTACTGTCGGGATTTCCCATCTAACAAGGGTGACTTTTGCACCATGGTGACATTCCCTTCCTCCACTTCTTCTTTTCTTGAGCATTCTCCTCATTTAGACCAACCTTACTGGTTTCTTTCTTCACCATATTTTTTCATGAAATCGTTGGTATTCCTTTCCCTCTTATGCCATCCACTTCCAGATCCCATTGTCTTTTCACAGGTTCATCTTATTCCCTTTCTAACCCATCCATTTCAATCCACTTCTCTTTACTACTTCCACCAGAATTTCTTATTGCTACTACTGCTACTACTACTATTACTTCTCCTTCTACTGTTACAACAACTACCACTACTACTACTAATACTACTACTAGGTCTTCTCTGACTTACTTGTTGTGACAAAGATTGTTTGTTTCTGACTCTTGACCTGTGGAACCCCTGTGAGGGCAGAGATGCTGATGATGTATGTCGTGTCAGAATCTAATCCCTCGAGGGTGTACTGAGTGGTGGTCCTACCCGCGATGTAAACAGGGCTGGATCCGTCATCAGGGGAATAACATATCTAAGGGAGAAAATCAAATTAGAATGAGAGACCTTGCCTAACACAACTGTACAACATGTAGGAATATGTAGGAAGCTAAGTAGCTGTTAAAAGGTGATTGTTATTACATTCACAACTTGACTTGATATATATACAGTAAAAAACTAAATTATTCATACCTTTAACAAGTTTTGTAATTTTTCAAGTATGAGAAAAATTCATTTGTCCTGATATGTTTCTTGTGAGTGTGACATATTGAGGCATATATCTAGTAAAAGGTATTTAACAAAGGCCCTGATTCAACCAGTCAACTTTTATTTCCTGAGTTATGATAAACAAAAACATTGAATCTACGAGGGGGTATGAATAATTTAGTTATTAACTGTACATGTAGATATGATGGAGAGATGCACTCAGACTGACCTCATATCCGGCAACGTTACCATCCGATGATTGAGCCCATTGAAGCTGAATACTGGTGTCCAATACCTGAGTTGCTAAGGGGGTCCCTGGCGCAAGAGGACCTACGAAACATAGACGTCAGAAAGGAAAAAATAATATTGAGTTCTTGTACAGCACATAACACATTATGAAACAACGTCTCTATGCGCTTCCAAAGAGCTCTGGAAGTTATTATCCTAGCTTTAGCTCCGGTAGCCGTTATCATCGCACAGTGCATTTCAAGGAATAATCCTACCAGGTACCCATTTACCTCCATGGGTGGAGTGTGGCAAATCAACATGTGCTTTAATACACAATGACTTCATCAACAGTACAGATCACTGGTGGCCATCTCACCTGAAGACAAGAAAGAGGCTCTTTATAGCTAGGCAGGTGGCTTGTATACAGTTCCTTTTTTAATACTACACAAACCCATTGGTAATCTCACCCATTATACAGTGCGTCCCAGAAAAAAAGAAACTGAAAATTATCAATGTTTTATCATAACTATCATAACTCATAATAACAAATGACACATATTTGTAAAGCTTAGGTCTTCCTCTTTCATTTGATGCAACTCGTATGATGCATATTTCACGCATGAGCGATTAAAAGCAATTTGTAAAGAGGTTACCAAAAAGTCATTTGGCGGGTGGTATCTGAATTTCAAAGAGAAAATCACATTTCTAGAAAGTTCATTTTCTGCCCTTTCATATCAGGAAAAATGAGCCAGTCTGTTTAAAGGAATGCTTGCATTTCCATGATTTGATGAAACAAATTCGTTTTCACTGGCAGCCTGCCGTAGCAACAAACAGAGTTGACAAAAGACTTAACTTTGTTTCGTTCACGATCAGCCATGCACGAAAGACTTGATGCATGGCTGATCATGAACTTCTTTTTTTAAACAGGCCTGTTTGAAGCCAGAAGGTGGTTACTTCTGTGTTAAAGGACAGGAGTGTATGTCCTTCTGGCTCTAGACATACAATGTATGGCATTGAATTGATCTGTGATTTCAGTTTGGACGATGAGTATCAATGACTGGTCTGACTTACGGGTCCTGATCGCGCCTGTCCCTCCATCGACCAGGCTGACCGTATACTCGGTTCCTGAGCTCAGGCCATCCACTACGTAAGACTGAACAGCATCACCCGATGCAGGGACTACGAGCCCTGCTTGATTGTTGATGGAGAGTTCATAGGATGTACGTCCAAGGAAAGGTGTCCAGTAGACTGTGAACCCTGATGGGGTTATCTCTCCAAATGACAGCTCACCTTGTTGGGTTAAAGGAGCTGCAGATGAGATAGAAATCATATACATATATGATATTACTGATAATAATGATAATGGTTATAATTAATAATAATGACAACTATAATAATAATAATAATAACGATACTAATAATAAAAGTAATAGTTAAAGTAATAATAATTTAATCTTAATACTAAAAACAATAATACAACCATAATCATTATAATACATGCGTATACATGCACACTTAGATGAAAAACAAGAAGGTGAAGAAGGAGGAGAAGTAACACTTTAAATTTGTTTATTAATCTATTAATTTTATTTACACAGGGTAGCTCTGTCATTATCAAAACTGTTGTTCTGAGAGGCCCTTTACAAATCAAAGACTACCAAATTGAACGAAGTGGAATACTATACAAACATAACATATCATTTTTTACAACATGATATAAAAACATGAAAAAACAGGACTCATAATATAACTATGACTCATAATATAAACAATTCATCACAAGACTCTGAGCTGTGCAATGAAAGGGGAATGTCACCCTGATAGTTGGTTTTAAGAGAAGCAGGACCTCATTACCCCCAAATCTAAATCAGTTCATCGGCTCTGGAAGATAAATACATGACCCACGTTTGGTGGGAATCTATCAATCGGTTCTTGAGATAATGCGATCACGACAACAGGACGTTCGGACGGATGGTCAAACTGAAAACATGCCTCCGGCTACTTCGTTGCGAAGGCATAAAACAACTATCACACTGTGCAAGAGAACTTATCCAATAGAAAGTATTTACTTAAGTGTTGTGAATGTAAGAATTTCAGTATCACTGGAGGCAACAACGGAGTATGCCAAGCCAGTCACCTAATACTGAGTGTTTGGGATTTTTTTTTCTGGGGGGGGGGGGGATGCAAATAACATCATCACTGAACACAACATATGATTATCAACTATTCTGATAGAAAGTCTTTACTTACGTGTAGTGAATGTAATAATTTGAGGGTCGCTAGAGGCAACACCGGACTCTGCTTGGAGAGTGACCTGATAGTCTCTGTTAGGTATGAGACCGGTAAGCTCTATTTCAGGGCACGCTTCTACTGGAATCAAGACATCGATGTTGATAGGCGTGCCTGCTCCTGCTCCGGTAACTTGAGGTGTAACCCTGATACGGAAGAACTTCAGGATGCCACCAAGCAGGTTTCCAAGAAGGCTGACAGCGGATGGAGAGCGACGGTTAACAGTGAACGTAGGTCGTAAAGGTTCTGACGAAAAAAAAATAGAAAAGAAACCAACAACAAAAAACGTTTGTAAGGCATAAGTATCTGGAGGGTGTCTCATCCTTTGTTCATAAAAAGAGAATATTTGTTGTCTTGTGGTTAGGTTTGATTCAGACCAAGGATATAGAAACAAACTCAAAGCCCTTTTCAGACAGTACTGATATTTGTTTTAAAATCCTTGATAAATGCAGAAAAATTGTAAAACTGCTTCTGAATAAAATAACGAAATGTGGAGTGAAAAGGGTTGCTGTATGCATCACATAAAGCAACGTAAGTGTAATTACTTGGGTACAGAAATATTGTGTCAACTACAATTATGCCGTTACATTTTGAAGCAGCATCTATTTGGAGGTCCATGTAGCATACCAGCTCAAGTGTAAATGAGGGCGACGTGTAATTTGATTAATTCTATTCATACTCTATTAAATTTACATGCCTGATGCTTACACAGATAAGTATAAATGCTCTTGGTATTGTCTCATAAGGCAAATGCATAAATTCAGAACAAATGGAAAATGGGATAGGAAAAAAAAAAACAATAAAATCACAATAAATCAACATCACTTGAAAGAACAGTGAATTTGTATGAATGAAGATGAGAATGATATTACCTGAAATATGCGGGTCATATGCAATATAAGAATTACTTGCAGGTCATATAGAAGAATGAAAATAAAAATGAATTACTTAGAGTGTAAGTGGTGGATGCAATCTGAGCACGGTTTCCTGAGTTGCGTACAGCCGTCAAAATCAATGTGTACGTTTGGCCCGGCATCAAGTTCATAAGGGTGACCAAAGGCGCAACACTAGGATCAACAAACTCAGAATTAGAGGTTGCTCCCTCTTTATCTTCGATGTAGATAAGTTGGTATTTCAGGATGTCATTTCCAAAGTCATTGACCCAGGACAGTCTTAGATTTCTTCCAGTTTCCACCACGTTGATGATCCTTGGTTCTGTAGATTCATGAGGAATACAAAAAGAAAGGCATGAAAACAACAGTGGCAACAAATGCATTATGTACAAAGATATATTATGCCAATTCTATCGGAATTGAAAAAGATACTGTAGTTGCACCTTTAAAGTGTACTGATTGCAAAATTGTATTATTCTTTGTATGTACGGGTTATACATGTTGCCGTAATATATTCAGAATATGAGCTTGTAATATTACCTCTAAACATAGATTTCACAAGTCTATTATACACTCCAAGATAACTCGAAATAGCTATGCGTATTATTTGTTTGTTTGTTTTATTTATTCACCATGTAAATAATTGTTTACAGATAATAAAATTCAGTGGGTTACAAATAATACATAGTAGGAACAATGCATAAACAAAATATTAGGCTTTACGTTATCGGAAAATATATGCTGCAGTTTGGCAGCATCGTATCTGAACGAGGCTTAGGATCTTCACTTACGGGTGGTGAAATTAGTTACTGCAGGTATGCTCCTCTGTTCCAAGTTCTGAGCCCTAACAACAGAAACGATTCTCATAGAATAGTAGGTAGCAGGCTCAAGGTTTTCAAATGTTTCAGTGAGCTGAGAGGGCGGTACGATTTGCGCAGGCGTCTCTGATTCTCCTGCCTGCCTCAGGTAGATGTCATACTCATGCACGTTGCCAAGACCCTGAGACCAGGACACAGTGACGATGGACTGAGAAATAGAGTCCGTAGACAGACTCCTGGGTGCAGTAGGCACTGTGAGGAAGACAGAAGGTCAAAGGTCATCAAATCAAGGTCAGCAATGTCAGAATGTAGGGTTAGATACAATTTGTTTGTACTGACATAGTAAAGGTTGGGCATGATTTAATTATTCAAGTAAAATTTAGATGCAGTCACTAGAGTTTTTAGACAAGAGGGTTGTGATTCACGCACAAAAGGGGTTCCCATACTCATGAAGACATCTCAAAATGAATGCAAAATTTAAACAAATTGTGGTAGTAAAATATATTTTCTGTATGGAATCAACAATGAAGGCTAAATTATTGAAACTTGAGGATTCTCTAACAATGTTGTTTGAACAGTAACTGCCTTGTTGACTATTCACACATGTTGACTAATCAGTTACTATCTCTAGGATTCTTTATACATGTTGACTAGCCAGTTACTGTCTAGTGGTTATTTTCCAGAATTTGACGAACCAGTACATGTCTCTAGGATTCTTCCTTCACACAAGTTGACTAATCATTAAATATCTCTATGACTCTTTTCACATGTTGACTAATCAGTAACTGTCTCTAAGATTCCTGACATATGCTGACTAATCAGGAACTGTCTCTAAGATTCTTTACATATGTTGACTAACCAGTTACTGTCTAGAGGATAATTTCCAAAACTTGAAAAACCAGTACATGTCTCTAGGATTCTTCCTTCACACAAGTCAACTAAATCAGTAGATGTCTCTCAGATTCTTTACACATGTTGACTAACCAGTAACTTTTGCTAGGATTCTTTACATCTACTGACTAACCACTTACGGTCTACTGAATACTATTTGACTAACCTGTAAGTGCAATCTCTGTATCCCGCTCACTACTTCCAGTCACTGTAATCCTGATGGTATAGAGTGTGCCGGGAGTCAGGTTAGAGATGATGATAAACCTGGACTGGGATAATGCTCTGCTCGTGCTATGCACCACGTTCCCTGCGTCTGACGCCTCGATCACGTAACTGGACGCTGTCGGACTTGTAGAAGCACCCCAAGATAAAGCAATACTTGTGCTTGTTACGGTTTCGATCACAATCTCAGCTGGGCTGTAATTCACTGATATCGGAAGAACCATGGAAACAGTGTGATTGCTTCTATTGCGAACCTGGAACCTTTGTACTCATATATCACTGAATATTATGTAAAACAATCATTTGAGCAAATAATAATTTGTTATTAATCTATTCTATCACAATCTAAAGAGACCTGTATTTCACAAATAAAACGTAAATCTATTCTATCACGATATGAAGAGACCTGTAAATCAAAAATCAAACTTTTATTAATCTATTCTATCACAATCTAAAGAGACCTGTATTTCACAAAAACTTACTAATTGAAAAAATGTTAAGAATTGCTGTGATGAACCTCTACTTCTACAGTAGGGGCTTAAAATTTTTTATATTTTTGATCAATCATTTCTCACAAAGTAATCTTGTCTAAATGCCTGATGAACAAAACTGCTATTTTCTGCTATGCTTAGATGATAATTATTTACCTGTAGAGGCTTCAACAGTAGAAGAGCTTATCTCTTGATCACTACCAGAACCGGAAAATGATGTCACGGTAATGATGTACTCTGAGAGAGGACTCAGCCCTGTAAGTCGTATCTACAAAACAAACCATAGTTGCGCAAATAATTTGAAATAAAATTGTAATATGATGTAATTAAAAATGCCTTAAAAATGACTGCATGCTTCGGTTAACTCTAGACTGCATACTTGAAAGACATGCATGCTACAAAAAATGAAATCATACATATGGGGAAGAAAGAAAGAGAAAGAGAGAGAGCAATAGAGAAACATGTAGCAACAGACAAACAATAAACGTGAGAGGGCTAAATCGAGGAGAGAATCTGGGAAGGGAGGGAGGAAATGATAGATAGTAATAGCCATGAAGAGAGAAAGAAGGGCGGGAGAGGAAAAGGGACAGAGTGGGGGATAGTCGGGATAAGGGATAAGAGATGGGGAAGGAATATGCGGGACAGAGAGGAGGATAGTGTGTGAGAGAGAGAGAGAGAAAGAAAGGGGGCAAATAGAGAAACAGAAAAAGAGAGAAGAAGATATCCAGAGCTCTTACCGTTGGATTTGATGGATCACTGACATAGAACAGATCAGATATTTGATAAGGATCCTCCTTGAGTTGGTAGGAAGCATAGTAGCCATCCACATCTCCAAACACAGGATCCCAGGACAAGGTCAACGCCGCTGCCTCAGGCACGACATCAACATTACTCACTGCACTTGGTACTGGGGGTGAATGATAATAATAATAGTTAGTAGTAATGATAATCATTATAATAATAATAGTGAATGTTTGTAATTCACCATGTCTGTCAAAACTTACACTTCTGATGCAATTGTGAGAAATATGGTACAATCGTAGGTATACAAGGTAAAAATATCGTAGGTAAAAATAATCCTAAAACAATCTGAAGAATAGCTTAAAACTCCTGGCACTCAAGTAAATTACTAATGTTTCTTTTTATCATTATTCTTATCATTATTACTATTAATATCGTCATTATTTTTTTATTTTTATCATTATTACATAATATTACCATCACTATTATTAATAACATCCACATTATCATAATTTTCATAATTCTCATAATTCTCATTAATTGCATACTTCAAGAATGTAAAATGGTGAAGGGACATGTTACAACATCCTATAAGTGTTTATCATCCACTGAGAGCACAAAGAGTATTACCTCTGTGTCAAATTATACAAGTTAATTTCCTTCTGCCTCTGAACAACAGACAATCCTTACATGTTCTTTGTTCAACTGTATCACTTTGCCCAGTTCCTGTTGCAGAGACCTCGATCTGATAATTCCTTCCTGGTACCAAGCGATGCTCAGTTCTCTCATAGTCTCCATTGAGGATGGTTCCTGATGATATCTCCACACCCGATGTTACCTCAGACACCTAGACAATAAAAGTAATGATAATAATAGAAATAATAACAATTATAGTAAAAAATAATAATAACAATAATGATATTAGTAATAATATTAAAAATACTATTACCACTAATAATGATAATAACAAAAAAGAAAAATAATAACAATGATAATAATAATAATAATAATAATAATAATAATAATAATACTCATAATGATAATAATAATACTCATAATAATATGATGACAATAATAACAATCATAGTAATATTGTTAACAATACTTCTACCACTATTAATAATTATAATAATGATGATGATGATGATGATAATAATTTTAATAACAAAAATACTACTACTAATTATAACAATCATAATAATAATCATCATTATCATCACCGTGCAAGAGCGTACACTGCTTTGAAGGTTATTGGAGATCAAAATTAGACCAGGAGCCAGGGCCATTAAACTACTACAACAAACTTTAACAGCAGACAAATATACAAAAATAATTCCAGAATACCACTTTTAGATTGTTTGGTTTTGAAATTATTTTTGAAATTAGTTTTGAAATTATACAGAAGAAAGTATAAACTTTCAGGAAATGTTACCATCCTGACCAAACACTTCTTTAATGAGCTCGAACTTAAAGTCACACCATGCGACTTTCTGGTGGTTTTGAGGTGCCTGATCACATATTATCTTACCCGCGTGACGTAGCTTGAGGCTCCAACAGCCGGCTGCCATTCAATGGTAAACGAAGTCTGATTCACAAACTTGGCTACGATGTTCAGACTAGATGTACTCACTGTAATCAGAGAAAGAACATATACATGTATAAAAATAAATTGGCAAATGACTATCTCTCAAGGTATCTTCTCCCTGATCCGGGGGTGATAGTGAGCACTAACCCCCCCCCCTCTTTTTTTTTATTCAAGGGGGGCTTGAGTAAAAAAATATATTAAAAAAGGGTCGGGGGAAAAAAAGGCATCTAACAACATTCCTCCCCTTTTGAGTAAGGATATTGGGAAAAAATAGGGAAAATGAGGAAAAATAAGGGAAAAGAAGGGGAAAATCTGTAAAATATGGGTAAAATCAGGGGGGAAAAAAATCGGGGGAATAAAAATTGGGTTATTATCAGGCCTGCTAATCAGATGTTGATCATAACATTTTCCACACATCTTTCCTCTCTGTGATTCTAGTACATTCTTGCAGCCTCGTTCCACTCAACGTCCTAATTCCCAATCGACTAAAATATGCCTACAATAACCCTGAATTATTAGTAGTATAACGAGCCTGAATTAGTCCCCAATCTTACAGAATTACCCGGGATCACAAGCCTTCCAGGGAACCCTGTAATCTGTTACGACTTACCTGTGGTACCAATTTTTGTCACAATATTACTGCGAGTCGTCACGTCATCATACTCCACAAACGCAGAGATTTTAATACTGTAGGAAGTGCCTGGAGTCAGTCCCTTAAGGGTTACAGATTCCTGATGACGGGGTAAGACACTGGTAGCAGGGGTGCGACCAAGCTCCGTCGAAAAACCGGTCCCTTCGTACTCCAAGATGTATCCAAAGAACTGCTCCTGGCTAGGTGCAGACCAGCTCAGTGTAATGGTGGAAGTCATCTCCTCCGTTACTTCTACATTGCCTGGAGGCTGAGGGGCTACAAAAATACAAAGCCATGTGATTATACATGATGAACATATATTTTCATATATATTTTCAAGACTACACCCACAGTCCTTTTAAGGACTACACACCCTCAAGAAAGGTTACCGAGAGTCCTTTTCAGGACTTCTCAATCCTCCCTCTCTCTCTGACATGGTGCATCCGCAAGCCTACTGTAAATATATTTTCATGTACCGGTACATGTTAATATGAAATGAATATAAAGGTCTATTTGAGTTTAAAAAACAACAGCCTGACTACATTCACATTAGATTAATTAATGAATGGATTGCTGGAAGGTATGTGGAAGGTAGTGGCGCGTAAAGAGGCGTCCGGAACAAAAAAATCATGTTTTACCATCACACACTTTATTGCACACAGGTAGGACAACATCTTTATCCAGATTACCGGTAGGCACAACAGTACCCAAACTGTGACTTGGATACAAGTACAATTCATCTGTTTAAAGCCAGAACGTTATTTATTCTGTGTTACAGTTTATAAGTTATCGCTTTTCTTGCTCCAAACCGACAAATTTTAATCCAATGATATCAATGCCAATTTGGGTTTAGAAATCTGAATGTCTCTTTAAGTGCTGCTGTATAAAGCTACCTTCATTAACTGTAATATGCCAACGTAAAGAGAATAGATGAGAATGCTTACTTGTGACATGGGAGACACTGCTAGACAGGAACTGAACATTGTTGGTAAGGACCGAGAACAGACTGAAGGTGTATTGAGAGCCAGGCATCAGTCCTGAAATGGAGACGGGGCCAGGTATACCGGTCTCGATGGGAGAGATTGGGTCACCATTGTTGGGCTCATAGGTCAACCTGTACCTCTGGATAAATCCCACTTCTTGGTCCCAGTCTAGGGAGACGTCGGTCGTGGGATTGGGTATAGCTTGCAGGGCTAGGAGAGCAGACCCTGGCATGTGCAGAACAAAAAAGAATGAATTATCTTCAATTCAATAAAATTATCTTATTTTACTTAGCTGCATAAAGATAGGATTTTTTTATATTACAAAAAAAAAAAAAAATATCATTAATATGATACAGATGAATATTGTGCTGGATACGACAGCAACCAACAAAGAAAAAAATGCACTTTTTACAAAAGAGCTGCGATAAACAACTGTGGTAAATAAATGGCAAGTGGGGATGACAGCTAATGGCAGCTAGGCTAAAGCCGGGTAGTAATTTCCAAATTTGGAAGCATATAGAGACGTTTAAATGTGACATGCGCTTTACAAGAACTGAATATTACTTGTACACTCTGTCTTTCATAGGCATTGACTGGGTATAGTCACTAGCACTCACTTGTAGTAACAGTCAACTCCAGAGGCTCACTGAAGGTGTCTTCGCCAGCCTGGGTACGAAGCAGAATGACGTACTCGGTGGCTGTAGCTAGGTTCTCAAGGACCAAACTGGTCTCATCGGTTGCTATGTCAGGCAAGGTGACCTTAGCACCATTCTCTGGGGTGTAGGAGAGTTCATAGCTATCAAAGTTGCCTGATGGAGGACGAAGCCAGGAGAGAGAGATCTCATCTGCTGTGACCAGAGTATCCACGAAGCTGGATGGTTGTCGAGGAACTGTAGGATAGTAATTATAATAACAACAATAACAATAATGATACTACTACGAATAGTAATGATAATACAAAAAGAATAATTATAATGAGAAAAAAATAATGATAATAATAATAATAATAATAACAATAATAAATTAAATTTATACAGCGCTTAATACAATGTTTGTAAGCGCTGAAAAAAATAAGGTACAACTTAAAGTAAACACAGCAATAAGAATAAAAACTCTGATAATAACAATTACAGATAATTAGCAACTTACAAAACATAACTGCCCTATAAATAACTATTAAACAATAAATACTTCAAACGACTCTACGGATGGGGATTGACGGATTCTAATAGTGGGTAAACTATTCCATAACTTAGGGGCTGCAACACCAAAAGCATGATCACGGTATTGAACGGGAATTGGTATTGGAAATTAGCATGTGTTGTTGACCGTAATGAACGTGATGGAACAATAGGTTTGAGAATGTCATTTAAATATGATGGAGCATACCCACGTTTAATTTTGAATACTATCAAAAAAGAATAATGATCATGATAACAATTAATACCAATAATAATAATAATAATACTAATAATACTAATAAAATTACTACTACTACTAATAATAAGAAGAAGAATCTCTATTTTTGTCTGTATGTTTGTACATGTATGTATGTACATACATTCTAGTAATAAATAAAGAATATAAAGACTTACTGGTTCGGATATCCAAAGGATCCGATGTAACGGAAGAACCTGTGACCTGTACCTGGGCTCGATACAGAGTCCCGGATGTTAGACCAGTAAAGACGAACTTCGTAGAACCGGCTGTATAGATTAAAGTAGAGGTTCATTGATTTTTAATATTGATTTAATCAGGGGTGATAGTGAGCACTAAAAAAAAATAGGTTTTTTGTTTTCCCCTCAACCATGCCCCCTTGAGTAAGAAAAAAAGAAGAGGATTCGCGGAGAAAAAATAGCATCTAACAACATTCCCCCCTGTCGAGTAAGAAAATTGGGAAAAAATCGGGAAGAGATAAAAAAAAAAAATCTGGTAAAAAAAAAAAAAATCGGAAGAAAAAAAAATCAGGAAAAAATCGGGAAAATAATAAAAAAATCGGGAAACCGATTTAAATCGGGTTTTTATCAGGCCTGTTTAATTTGTATCATTGCAAAAGGGAAGGTCGAATCGAACAAGTATACTAAAATTCCCCATTTGGAAACATTCAAAGTAACAATCATTATCAATTGGATATACCAGATTTGTGAGTTCACTCAAGAGACAGACTTAGCATGGGCATCTGTTGTCCCATAACAATGCAAATATTTTCAATGCCTATTTCATCGTCTCCTCATCATCTATTGTAACTTACTTCACCAGCATCATTGTAACTGTTTGATCTGTTGCCTCACTCTAAATTTCGGACATGGCTTTATTTGATTAAAAAATTCGGTATTATGAAAAGACATCAGTATTAGCTCCATTGTGGCTTGTAAGAAAGATGCCATTGTACATTCAGCTACATACACAAACCCATGCATGGCATGTGCAGTATTTCAAACGTACACAATCCTTTCTAAACAGGAATGAACAACATCCATTTCATTGTACTGATAAGTCCTATAGTAGAACCGTCACTTGTCAATTATTTGTTTTAAATGGAAGGATTGACATATTTCCATCAGGAACACTGACATGTCCTATAGAAGGACCATTACTAGTGTATAAATCTTACCAACAGGTACACTAACAAGTCCTATGGTAGAACTGTCACTTGTCAATTATTTGTCAGAGAAAGTATAGTGTATAAATCTTACCAACAGGTACACTAACAAGTCCTATGGTAAAACTGTCACTTGTCAATTATTTGTCAGAGAAAGTATAGTGTATAAATCTTACCAACAGGTACACTAACAAGTCCTATGGTAGAACTGTCACTTGTCAATTATTTGTCAGAGAAAGTATAGTGTATAAATCTTACCAACAGGTACACTAACAAGTCCTATGGTAGAACTGTCACTTGTCAATTATTTGTCAGAGAAAGTATAGTGTATAAATCTTACCAACAGGTACACTAACAAGTCCTATGGTAGAACTGTCACTTGTCAATTATTTGTCAGAGAAAGTATAGTGTATAAATCTTACCAACAGCGCTTTGTAACTGCAAGGAAAAGGCGCTATATCAAATATCTTTTTGATTGGATTGGAACAGGAATATACTGACATGTCCTATAGTAGAACTGTCACTTTTCAATAGTAGAACTGTCACTTATCAATTATTTGTCAGAGAAAGTATAGTGTATAAATCTTACCAACAGGAATAATGATGAGTCCTATAGTAATACCATCACTTGTCAAAGATAAGGTATAGCCTGAAGGGGCTACAAGTGCTGGTCCAAATGCTACACCGATTGTCGTCTCAGTCACAGAATAGGTCTCCAAATCCAGAGCGTCAAGAGATACTAATAACAAATATAAGAAAGTAAATAAATGAATGAATGAATAAATAAATAACTAACTAAACAAATAAATAAATTCATGATAATAATATATTTAAAAACAATAATGATCACAGTAATAATATTACTATTAATGATAGTACTGTCTGGTGTTTAGAAATATTGAGAAACTCTTTACATAACCTGTGACTGCATAGTGATACATAAAATCATCTGAGCAACATCAAACCAATTTGATCTGCTTGCTTGCATAGGGGCTCTCTAATACAGGGACTCCTAGGTCCTGTTTCATGAAACTTGATATCAATAACAAGTTACAAGCTACTGAAATCATGGCATCTGATTGGCTGAGAGCACATTTGTCATAGCAATTTAGCCGTCGTTATAGATAACAAGTTTTATGAAACAGGCCCCTGGTGTGACCAGCTGTCACCAATAATCTGTACATACAATACCTGAGCCATGCTGCATAGAACTTCAACCACTGATTGTAACTTTGACATCAATATTAATTACCATAGCAATATCTCTCATCCAACAGCCAATAAAATTAAGGTCTCCATGGAAGTTTAATGGCAAAGTTAACATCGATGCTAAGTTTTATGCATTTGGGTCTTGAACTGGTCATTGATCGTAATTGCACGAAATATGCCAATTAAAAAAATTATAAATCTCTTTCACCTGTTGAAACAGTAGCTTCAGTGACTTCGCTACGGACCTCTGAATCCTGCCCGAAACCGGCAACAGCGTAGACAGACACGGTGTATTCCTGATTTGGGTCCAAGTCCTGTATCAATCAAACAAATGAGAGCATCAGCACAGACAGTTATGACTATTCAGTCGAGTAACCTCTCATATTGATGGCATTAACAGACATAATGTACATGAATACTGGATTAATGAACAGTTAAAATATCATCATCGTTATCATGATTTGGCTCTCTCAGGAAAGCGAACAATGACACTGACAACTACATAATCATATGGTTACAACTAATGTATATACATTGTTTAGGAATCAGTAATTTTGATGGTAAACCCACCTCAATAAGAAGTTCTGTCGTATCTGGATCGTCTAGTCTAGATGTTAGTCTTTCTACATTGTCTTGTCCTGCGATATACACGGCATAGCCATCATACATCCCACTCGCTGGTTGGTTCCAAGAAATGCTGAATGATATAGCGGTTGGTTCCCCAGTCAAAGCTAGATTTCTGACTACGAAAGGAACTACACAAGAACCAGAAAAACACACGATTTATTAGAAGTGCATGGGACTATGCAGGAACAGTGAGAAAACATCAGATGGATGTTGGTACTAATCATGGATAGTGAAAACAGGGTGACATACATGTTGGTACTAATCATGGATAGTGAAAACAAGGTGACACATATGTTGGTACTAATCATGGATAGTGAAAACAGGGTGACATGCATGTTGGTACTAATCATGGATAGTGGAAACATGGTGAAATGCATGTTGGTACTGATTATGGATAGTAAAAACACGTTTGCATGCATGTTTGGTACTAATCATGGATAGTGAAAACATGGTGACATGCATGTTGGTACTAGGCATCAACATTTGAGACATGTTAAAAGCATTTGGAACTGAGGAAAATCAATACAACTATGAATAATTACAAGTGGGAAGATGCAGGAATAGTGAAAATGCAGTTATGAAAATGCATGTTGGTACTAGGCATCAACATTTGAGACATGTTAAAAGCATTTGGAACTGAGGAAAATCAATACAACTATGAATAATTACAAGTGGGAAGATGCAGGAATAGTGAAAATGCAGTTATGAAAATGCATGTCTGTAAAGCACTCAGAGATATTGTCATTTAATAAATGCTTTAACCTAGAATATCAGTACCATTATTATTTTTGGACTGAGAAAATTAATAATTATTACGTATTTGCATGTGCAACTAGAAAATTCAGACACCAATCAGTTTGAAGTTTATATATTTATTCAAGATGGTGCTTTCCCATTCAATAAACCATCAACTTCTTTATATTGTTGAGAAATAAAACAATTTTGAGATAAAAATAAAGGTATTTTTTAAAGTGGAGTGGTTCGTAAACAGCCTACAATTTTCGTTATGGGATTGACTTACTTGTCCTGACATTTAAAATTCCAATATCTTGCTGGTAGTTTTCTGCCACTACAAAAACATTGTAAAGCTGACCGGCTACCAAAGATGTTTCTCTGATGTTTCGGTCCTGAGTGATGAGGGGCGTGGTATCGGTTTGTACTTCAGTATTGAAAGATACCCGGTAGGGCCCTGGGTTGGATCTAGGACTGGCTCCCCAGGCCACCTCAAGACTATCCGTGGTTCTGTCTATGTAGATCACCTCTAGAGCTCCAAGAGAATCTACAAAGCAGGACAAAAAATAAATCCATCAGTTGCTGATATTAACATCAATCACTATCAACAATCTTACAATTTAATTTCTTATCTAGTGTGTTTTCATTATAAATTATCATATTTACCATCCATAAATTTCAATTTTTTGAATGCTCACTCGCTTGCAAATTTTATAAACAAATATCTCCATATGATGCAAAATGAATATTCTTGAGTGAATTTGGGGTTGGGATGTGAAACTTTTTATTCCTTAAAAGGGTGCCGTGATTATAAAAAGGTTGTAAAACACTGGTCTAGTGGATAAGTCCCAGACCACCAGGCTCAAGGTTCAGGGTTTGTATCCCTGTCACAGCACTACTGTCCTCTGACAAGTCATTTATCTACGTTTGCCACTCTCCATCCAAATGAAGTCAATATTGCACTAAATATCAACCAATATTATATTTACCAAACACATAGGCCCGAATTCACAAAGGAGGTTTAGATTTAACCCATGGTTTAGACCCTCATTTACATAACCCATGGTTTAAAAATTAGCGCAAAATAAAGGTACCTTGCATTGCCCGCGTCTAATATTGGACCTCTGACTTGTGTCGCGCTTATTTTGCGCTTATTTTAAACCATGGGCTACGTAAATGTGGGTTTAAACCATGGGTTTAATCTAAACCTCCTTTGTGAATTCGGCCATATCGTATGTAACTTCGATTATTATGCACTATAGAAATATAACTTAACAGTTACTAACATTATTTTGTGATTCCATATTTACTAATCATTAAGTTATTAATGTAAATATATATTGAAATTATGAAAATAAAAACCTCGCTTGAGGATAAGAGGAAAAAAAATACTTACTAGTCATTCCCTGAGCACTAGCCGGTTCACTGCGGATCAAGTCTTCCCCAGTCCCCACTGTGGCATAGACCTGGATGTCATACTGGTTTCCTGGAAGAAGTTCCGTGACTTCTCGGATGAAGTCATCCGGTCCGAGGGCGATCTCTGGTCTCTTGGTGCCATCGGAGTTAGTGATGACGAGAAGGAAGTTATGGTAGACTCCTTGCGGTCTGGTCCAGATGACTTCGAACGAGGTGACGGTGGGATTTTGTGTCAGAACGGTGGCAGGAGCTACAGGCTCTGTTCACACAAAGAAGGTATTGTAAATTGTAAAAATTTATATAAAATTATAGATAGTCAAATTTTGTTCATTCATCATGATAAAACATTTAGATAAAATAACATACAATATTGCATTACATATACAGTCAAAATAACAAAGATAATCATACAATATGATATACATCATCAAGGTAATCTGGACAAAATATAGGGAAAAGTAAGTATTTATGTGAATGAGGAGACAGCTAGAAGGGAAATGCCTGATTAGTGCTGCCACCTACACAAAAAAACTGAAACTTAAAAATATGAAATTAGGATAAGATGGAAAATAATGTTTCCCATATGTGACGGCCTCCCCATCTCCTGACAATTTCCATTACGTTTTATGACTTTGGGAGATTTTGTAAGTTCATTTTCCATGACTATCCAGAAGAATTATTTTGTCATGATTTCCAAGTTTTTCCCCATGACGATGGGAACACGGTCAACTCTGCAATCCAACTTACTAGTCCTCTGCTCTATATTCGTGTCTTCTTGTGAATCGAGAGTGATCTCATAATTCACTCCGGGATTCAGCGTGTCAAAGGTCACTCGAGAGCTCTCCGAGGGTAGCAAATCGACTGTTACTTCCCTGGGAGCGTTGCCATCGAGGTTTCTCAGGGTGATGCTGTAGCCAGTAGCGTCTTCCCTCTTACCAAAGATGACTGTGATTGAGGTGGATGTGAAGGCAGTCACTACGATCTCATTTGCGTCCAGAGCATCTTGAAGGCAAATAGTGATAAAAAACATAGATAAATCATGAAAATGGAAGATGTGAGTTGGTCTATTGGTTTATTAACTTGGTCAGCTCTCTGTCTTCACCTACAGACTCAAGCAAGCCCTGGTTTGAAACTGAGTCACGTCTTTTGGATGTGGCATGAAATGTGAGTCCCCAGATGTAAATAATCAGATCTAATTGATACCCAATGTACACACGCATTGTCGTTCTTTGTGCATCAGTTTGGAAGATTTTCATAGAAGAAATGTCCTCTGAAACGGATCTTTCTGCAAATTCCCCCGTATTTGAAATAAAATGAACATTATCTAACACTTTTGGACCAAACATTCATGGACAAGTGCTGTAGTAACATATTATACTCATGTGTGTATGCATTGCATGTGACATTCAGCAAGACTTTGTCAATGTCTCATTAACGTCATCATTCCAAATCCTCACAGTAGACATCAAATTTTAAATCATACATAATCAACCTTTCCTTTTTGCTTCGGCTTCGGCAGTTTCTTTCATATTGCCCTTCTGTAACCAGTATTCAACTTTATCTTAAAACCCCACTGCACTTCTTATAGCTACTTGCGCCCTCTCTTTAGCAAACAATGCCTAATCAGTGACCATTGGTCCACCATGGTCCTCTTTTTCTTAGTGAGAGCTGATTTGATGAGATAACCACCTGTCAGTGACCTTGCAGGGTGGTCTAATCCCTCCTGTAAACTAGTACAGATGGGCTTTAAAAAGACACACAGTTAAAAACATTGAAAACATACCTGTTCTGACATCTAGTGTTGAGGTCTCACAGCTGGTCAATTCTTGAGTTCCAAAGAAACTGATCGTCTCTATACTGACAGTGTAGAGGACATTAGCATCCAGCTCAGTGATAGAAAGACGTCTTTCCTCAGTGGCGGAGATTGGTGGATATGCCTACGTATACAACAATAGAGGTGTTGTGGTCTAGTGGATAAATCAGTGAACTATAGATCACAAGGCATGGAGTTCAAATCCCATCCAGGTACTAATGTCCTTTGGCAAGATACTAATCTACATGTTGCCACTGTTTCTGGTTTTAGAGTTGCACCCTAACTGTATCATGTATTTACTACAATAAAATAATGCCATATTACAGTATTTATTAAATGCTGAAGAATCAATTTCAATTTGTGTTGAGGACCCATACGAATCAGAAAGTTTACATTCATTAAAATAATCATATTAAAACAAGAATCCATATACATATTAATTTTATTCATATTCTTATTCATATGTAGGTATATACATTCATGATCATAATCATAATCATAATAATATTCAAATTCATATTCATCAACTAATGAATATTCATATTCACACACTTATTGGTTGAGGACATACCTTTGGCAGGCCGTTTTCAGATGTGACATAGACACGATAACTGTCAAAGTTCCCTTGGGCTGGAAGCCAGTTGACATCAATCGTCGTAGTTGTCTTGTCGATGACAGTAATAGCGCCAGCACCGCTTGGACCTGTGTACAACAACAAAAAACAAAAGCATTATAATGTGTATCTGCAACAACACATTATTTTAAGAGTCTGCGTGTATGTCTTCAGAATTCTAAATCATATGGAACCTGAGTATCTTATTGACATCCTCCAAACATATACACCAGCTCATAACCTTCGCTTAGCAGCTGACAAGTGTAAACTAATAATTCCCAAATCCAAACTCTCCCGAATAACGTTTTTAATACCCTACTTTCCATGAGGGATTTATGTTCAAATGCTCTTTACAATTGTTATTAACAGAAGAGGAAAGTTTTGAGATAAGTTTGAAGGCATTGAGAGATTGCTGGTTGCAAAGAAATCTGGGTAAGTGATTCCACAGGTTGAGAGCTGCAGTTGTGAATGCTCCGTCACCAAGTGTGGCTAGCATCCTATTTATTTATTTATTTATTTCTGATATTTATACAGGGTGGCACATATCACCAATTTAGTGGTCTTCCATGAGGCCTTGTTTGGTAAGAATAAAACAAATAACAGCATCAACAACAAAATAGATGAATACACAAGCATATAAACAGGTAAAATACAAATTAATTGGTATCCCCATGAAATAACTGAACATTCAAGAATCATCCTTGATCATTAACAAGAAATAGGTGAATGGCATTTTAAAATTAAATAGATCTTGGGCGACTTTTGCAGAATTTTATGAAAATAATAAGCGAGATCCAGAAACTTACGGGTCTGCTGAATGAGGGGCAAATACTCAGACTGAGAATTAGACTCAAAAGCTACAACAGTGACTGAAATGGAGTAAGCAGTGGCCGGGTTAAGCCCTGAGAAGATGTACTCCGTAGTTCGCCTGAAGTCATCATTGGCTGGGCCGGGCTGGATTCCTATGCGGTACAGCATGTCGTCCGGGTCAGGTGCCCAAAATATCTGGATAGTGTCACAGGTGATGGCGGCCGCTACAACCGTCAAGGCTGGGACAGCTCCTAATGAGATTTCATGAAAAGTATGGTATCAATGGAAAACTGTGGAACCAACTACCTACTGATGTGCAGACGGCCTCATCTGTTGACCAGTTCCAGAAATTACTCAAGTCACATCTATTCTAATATAAATTACTTTCTTACCAGCCTACATATACTTGAATGATCTCTGAGAAGTGACTAAATTTTGTTTTTAAGTGGCCCAAACATTGTGAAGCGGTGTGTGTGCAGCGCTATATCAAATATTTTTTTGGATGGATGGATGGATCAATGGACTGATAACAATATATACTGTTGTTCATAAAGTTGGAACAATATTGTCCTACCACTTTTCATGAAATGATTATGACTGTATGGTTTACAAGTATTTTTCATTGGTAAAGTGTATATCTTCTCAGAACTGTATTGATCAATCTAAAGATTCAGAGAGTTTGTTCAACAAAGTTCTGAGAAGATATAAGCTCTATCTGTCAACAATAAATCATACAGTCACAATCATTTCAAGAAAAGAGACAAAGAAAAATGTTAAAACTTTATGGGCAACAATGTAAAAAGGAAGAATTGTGAGACATACAAAAAATAACAACAATACAAAAAAAGAGGATAAGCAAGTAGAAGTTTGAACGGAAAAAACATATGTGTATATAATGTACATACATGAGATGTACATGTGTAGATTTCCAGTTGGAATAAGCTAATAAGTTACACACTGTTGGCAAGTTGACCATGAGATGGCACTGTGCAACAAAATGTTAATACCCTGGGGTAGAAAGTTCATAATTTCATTATTGCTTTAAAAATGGGTTGCCGTACTAGTAGGCATATTCACGCCTTGTTCCTTTTAGTTTCTGTTTATATTGATCCATTTCGGCTTTATGTACATTCTTGCGTTTTACTCTGATGAGTGCAAGACGAAAAGCTTAAGTATGGCTCTTTTCAACGCGATTCTCTGACTTACTAGTAGTGAAAGTGTCCTCTACTGCCTGGCTGGCCGTGAACTCTGTTGGCGTTCCGCTTTTAGCCGTCAGACTGAAATCATACGATGTGCCAGGCTGTAACTCTTCAACGGTAACCGAGTCTTCATTACCTGCTATGGTCCTCATGTTGGGTGACTGGAAGAAAAAAAATGTTAACAAAATTGCTAAGTCGACGATCATGATAGTTGTAATTGTAATTGATCTTTATTTCATTCATCATCAAAAACATTTAAAATACGAAACATAGTTAAAGGTAAAGACCAGTATTGGAATCGCCCCAATTTCAAAAAATGAAATGGAAGCTCTTATTACCAATCATGTGAAAGAATATGTTTTGACTAATACATGACGATAAAAATTTTGCCGGGAAACTGCCTACTAAATGATATATTTGGTAAATTAGTTTATCTACATGGTCTGTGAGAGATAAACGCACGTGTCACGCACATGTGCGTATAGTCTCATATACATCTTTCTGTGTACAGTGCTTGTAACTTTACGAAGACTGGGCCAAATTTCTTATCATTTTGATGATTCCAGAACCTTGCAGTACACACCAATACTTATATGCTAGATGATCAATCTTTTCTGATCGATTCCACAATGTTTCTTTCACAATGCAATCGCATGACCATAACTAGTTTTTACCTTTAAAGAGAAACATTTACAAAATAATACAACAAAAATGTTAGATGAATGTGGAGACAGCTAGGGAAGCCAAAGCCTTACTATCGACTATCGCCAATTATCTGTTGATACCTGAAATGGCCTTTGTTTGCATTTGCACAACACAAAATACAATGACGTATACAACAAAGAAAACACAGAACAAAATCAGGCTGAGGGAAATGTATATGTACAAGTTTTTTTAGATAGGAGGGACTCATTCATATCTAATTGTGAAGAAATAATAAAATTTCAAATAATAATTTTGGTACCTTTTTTGCTTTATTATTATCTCTTAATTCACATCCATATTCACATGACTTATAAAAAACAAAGAACAATGGACAATCTGCTTCCAAAGCTACCTCAACAAAAATACAAAAGTAACACTTGGAGATTGCGCTTTCTGTTGTGCAGCTTGAAGCTTTGGGAAAACCTACTACTAGACATTAGAAAAGCCTCATCTGTTGCTATCTTCAAAGTTTTGTTGATGATGTACTTGTCTTCAGAAACCTTTGAATAGTTTATGATTGTGTATCCATAGAGTAGCACTGTCATCACAGCGCAGTAGAGTATATTTATATAATAGCTGTGCTATATAAATTGATCTAATTATCATTACCAGGTCACTTCCATCTGACTTTTCGTAGGTGAGAGTGAAGAAGTCAAAGCGACTAAGGGGAGCCTCAAAGGCAAGATCAATTTCGGTGAAATTGCTCCTTGTTGAACGGAGGAATGCCGGTGGATCTGGGTCTGAATAAAAGAAAATATATAGCAATACAAAAACATCATCAACAATACTATAAGTGAGGTTTGGGCAAAAAAAGCATTAATGAAATCCATAAGGTATCTTGAGGAGAACAGAAAGAGCCATAACATGGAAAAATCCCAAGTGAGCTCATTGAAAGGCTGGGTCTGGAAGACACTGTCGTTGAAATGGTAAAGAGAAGTGGACAATGTAAGAGTTAACGGAAGACCAAAGATTTCATGGAAAAATATGGTGAAGAAGGAAAGCAATAAGGTTGGTCTATATGTTGAGGATGCTCGAGACAAGAAGAAGTAGGGAGTGCCATCATGGTATGAGTAATATATTGTCAAGTTACGAATATTCAATTATCATGTACTAGCTGATATCAACTTTTAAAAAACATCATCGTTAACAGAAATGATTTTTGTTGTGGTTACATTCTTTATGTTAAGCATAATTTTTTCAAAGTAGTCAATAAATGAACTTAAACTTGAAATATGGTCACATTATGATAGTGGCCTATTCTGAAACTGGAGGCGCAATAGCTCAGTCGGTAGAGCAGTGGTCTCGTAATCCGGTGACCCGGGTTCGAAACCAATATGATGCGCTAGTGCCCTTTCGTAAGGCATTAATCCTCATTACCAGATCCCTCGGAGAGGACCTAAAGCCGTCGGCAGTCTGGTTGCTTACTGACAAGCATTTTTTGCTTTCTTAGCTGTCAGGTAAAATAACCAATTATCACAACATACTTGTCCTCTGTACGACCGTAGACACAGGTTCATCTAAAGTGGTCAGTTTGAGTTGAATTGAATACTCCTGTCCCGGTATCAATCTTTCGAATGTAGCTCTAAACACATCTAATCCTCGAATCTAAAAAAAAAAAAAAAAATATTCATAACAATAATAGTAACAATAATCGTCAAACCTGTAAATAAACACCACTCAAAAGAAAAAGGAAAGGTTTTTTTTATAGGCAGGTGGTCTTTGCATAGGTTCCTTTAGTACAAATTTAAATTAGAAATTTCTTAAAGGGAAAGGTAAATGCGGTCTTTTTAGATAGGTGGTCTTTCCATAAAGGTGGTCGATAAAGCAGGTGCTGTCATGCATGAAGTAAATATGTGAAACAAAATAAATGAAATGTAATCTCTGACTGAAATGTGTCTCAATTATTAAAGCGGGAATGCACTACTTGTAGCTACTTGCGGTCTCTCTATAACAAACAGTGCCTAATCGGTGACCGCTGGTCCCCCATGATCCCCTTTTTCTTACGTTCAAAATTGAGAGCTGATTTGATGAGATAACTACCTGTCAGGGACCACGCTGGGTGGTCTAATCCCTCCTGGCCAAACTAGTGTAGTCGGGCTTTAATTATTTAGCAAACTTGATGTTTCCTTGTAATGTGCTTTCCAAAACCCACTGAAATCATCACCAACAGCAGAACGACTCAAACAGAGTTTGAAGATATATCCATTCTTAAACTGTATGCATTTACTGAAATGACACTGCCACAAATTGGTAACTTGTATTAACCCTTGGGCTCCTGAATTTTCTTATTCCCATAGACTTAACACAGAGACCTGGTTCTTGTAAGCAGTGGGTTAACTATAACTCTAACTGACTTCAGGATGGGATGACATCTCAAGCGATTTGTATCCAGCGGAAAGGGCATTATATAAATTGCATGTATTCGTATTACTTACCAGAGATATTGCATCTTGAGGCGTGATGCTAAGTTCATAATTTGTCAATTCAGGCAGGTTGGCACGATCCTCGTAGATTCCCCAAACTAGAGCGATGGAGGTATTTGAGACCGTTGTGACACTCAACTCCAATTGGTCAAAGACTCCTGTTAAAGAAACAGATGAATAAAAATGATAATAATACTTTGTTCTTTTATAGCACATTTCATGTCTGTTGACATTTCATTTTTACAATATACATTTATAAAGTACAACACTAATGATAGTAAAAATGCAAATAATTATAATAATAACAATAACAAAAAATAATAATTATAACGATAAAAAATAGAGATTTATCAATTTACTATGTATTCAAGATTCAAGATGTTGATTCATTGTTTGAAACTATTATACTTGGTATGTGAACTCTTAAACTAAATCTGAAATATTAATATCCCCTGACATCATTAGTGTCACGTGACATGATTAATATCACCTGCCATTTCTTGTGTCACATGACATACTGTACTGGCATGCGCACTCACCTGTGGTTAGTGTCCTGGTAACTGGTTCACTCTCCAAGCCTCCAGACAAGGCCTGGACACTCACAATGTAGTCTGTACCAGGATCAAGGTCCTACAAATAGGGGAGGAACACAGGGATTACTATTAGGACCTCTTTTGTTTTCAACATGCATATTGAAAGAAGAAAACAAGAAAAGGAATAGGAGAAGAGGAAGAAGGAAAAGAAGACGTAGAAGACAAAGGACAAGGCGGAGACGAACGTTCTGTTATACAATATGTAATTTTCATAATAATATCTATAATGTTCTCTCAGTAACTGTGTTAACTTATTATGGGCGTTCCTAACTCAATTAAGCTATGCTTTTCTGGTTTTTGCCTCCTTCCGTATCTGAACCATTTACTTTAGGCGAGGCGTCAAAAATATCGATACCAGCAGGCTGCCGCCTCACGTATTGGCGCATCGAGGCTGCAATTACGGCCGAAGCCTGGCTGGGGCAATTATTTTTCACTTATTAGCCCAGCCGGCTTGCGCCAGGCTGGGATCTGAGGCTCGGTTTCCATTCGAAAGGCGGCAGCCGGCGCATGCTTTTGTTCGGAGACCATTATGATGACATCATGAGTTAATTGAGGGTCCTACCGCCAGCGGTAGCCGGCTGAGCTAATTTAAAAAATGCAGCCAGGACGCACAAGTGCAGTTAGCTGCCGCTGGCTGGTATATTTATTTTTGACGCCTCGCCTTAGCGGTATACTCTATGTTGAAATCATTGTTACATATACAATTTATACACACTGCGTTTCATAACGTAATGTTGAGAAGGAAATAAATGTAAATAAATACAAAAAAAATTTCAAGAAAAATAAGGAAAGAAGAAAAATAGAAGAGGAAGAACAAGAAGAAGAAGAGCAAGAGTGTTTACCCTGAGAGTATATCTGGGTGGTTGACTAGGAAGGTCAGGTATTACAGTCCTTGTACCATCTAGCGTGTATGTAATACGGTATCCATCATACACGCCTATGGGTGGACTCCACTGCAGCTCTAAGAACAACTGCATCCCAACAGACTCTAGATTCTGTGGCATCTCAGGGACTACATTGAAAGACAAAGACAAAGATATTGACCCATTAGCTACTAAAATATTCAAATACTTTTTGCTTTTGTACAATACTGTCAGGAAAGGAAAATACATCTTATTCCTTTACATTTGTTTTCTACTATCATCCAGCTTTCCATTGAAATAAAGTTGTATTATCATCAGATAGGGTCTTTAAAGACCATCTGCACTAGTTTGGCCAGGGGGGATTAGACATCCCTGCCTGGTCATTGACAGGTGGTTATCTCATCAAATCAGCTCTCAATTAACATAAGAAAAAGAGGATCATTGGGGACCAATGGTCACCGAGTAGGCATTGTTTGCTATATAGAGGGCTCAAGAAGCTATAAGTAGTGCAGTGGGACTTAAAATCAAAATCACAAATACTCACGTGTCCTTTGACTTGTTGAATTGACATTGACTGTGATAACATACTCCTGGCCTGGTGTCAAACCGGAAAATCTATACGTCGGTGATTGAGCGTAGAGAATGTTTGAGCTAACAGCTACAAACAAAAAATCAAAAGCAGGAACAAGATATTATGAAATTTGCTGAACAATTTCATCAAGATGGTGATTCGGATGATATATCTGAAAGAGTTCACAGATCCGTGTAAATAATTTTGGATGTGGCATAGAACTTTCTTCCTTATTAAATTGGTTGCAAACTTTCTTTAATACTTTAGATTAATATGCCACATGTCAAGAAATATAAATCAGAAACAAATACATTTTTCAAAAATTTAAAAGATAATACAAAACTTGGTAAGAGTAATGAATAGTATAGAAGTTAATTGTAACTGTATCACTCAATACAAAACAGTTATGAGCATCAAAGTATTACCCTGCTTCTGCACACGAGTGATTTTAGAGTATTCAGTGCAAATCCATGGCAAAATGACCACACTACATTTAACATAAATGCCCCCAAAAAAGGAAAGTTGGTCTGATAGAGTATTATTTTTTTTTTCTTCATTCATTGGGTTTAAAAACAGGACACGTAAAGTTCAGGAACTCATAATGGTTGATTTATAATGAAATTGAATAGATTAAACAAAGTTAAACCAAAATATATACACTTAAGACAAACATGTTGGTTTTACGCACATGAAAATATGGTTACCACACAATATTCAACGGCTGGCTAGATGTAGCAAGGCCAAAGCGAGAGATGACGAGGAAATCGAGAAGCAGAGAAATGATGAGGGAGAGAGAGAGAGTGGCGAGAGGGAAAGAGAGGGATGGAAAAAGGGAGGGTAGAAAGAAAGAGAGAGGGGAGAGTATCTTACCAGGAACGGTTGTTAGGGTCCAGAAATCCACTCCCTCTTCAGGGCCCCACACAATCTCAATCTCTGTAGTAGATACATCACGTACAGCTATCTCGTTCACTGCCAAGGAAGCTAAAAAATTATTTTAAGGAAGAAAAAAACAAACATTAAAAGTGACAAAAATAGAAACAAGGCATAATGTAGAAATATCAACAACATCAATAGTAATGATAATAATAATCATTAAAAAAATTAAAAAAATAAAAAAATAAAAAATAAATAATATATGTCTCTAAAATGGAAAATAGATAACTCAAATTCTATTTATGTTTGACAGTTTCTTACTTCTATTAAATGCCTCATCCCTGGAGACTTCGGAAGGTGCAAGATAATAATACCATGGTGAACATGTACATCATGGAAATACTACAAATTGACTGTTACTTACTTGTAGTAAATAACTGTTCGCTGGCTTCACTCTTGAGGGCAGCAGACAATGTTACCATGTTGAACGTGTACATTGTGTTCGGGTCAAGGAACTCTATCCTGACATTGGTCTCTGAAGCCGAGATGATTTCCTCCTCTCTGACGGTACCCTTCAAGTAGGACAGCTCATAGCTGTCATAGTCTCCAATAGGAAGTCCCCATGTGAATAATACATAGGTGGTTCCAATCTCGATGGGGAAAAGTCCACGAACAGGAGCAGGAACTATATTGAGATATAACAGATTCAAGTCAATTTAATTCAAAGTAACATTTATTTTCTTCTGTTCATCATCTGTTTTTGAAGAGAAAATACTCATGAAATAGATGTATACATATAATGGCATACTATTAAGAGCATATTACAATGCCTGCTTTTACAACTTATCCTGAAATGTACAGATATCGCTAATAATTTTACATTGTGTTATATGTTTGTGATAAGTTTAACAGGTTTGTACTATAATAATTCAATATGTTTGGGATAAATTCAAAATGCTTGTGAACAAAATAAACATGTATTAAAATGGTTGCCATAAACTTACATGTTCTGACATCTTTAGTTGGATAAGTGCTCGTAATTCCAAAAGCCTGAAGGCTTACAGTGTACAGCCTGCCTGGTGTTAATCCCTCGAACGTCACAACAGAGAAGGGCTCTGAAGTCGGGGCAACATTGAAGGACTGGAAACAAAGAAGATCAGAAGCAAAGTATAAGAATATTGGGGTGCGTTCAAGCAATTTTTCGAGGCTAGAATCACAAACATGATTCACAAATCAAAACGCCGTTAAAAAACCTGGTTACTACGGGAGAGCGTTCAAGCGATTTTTCATCAACGCTGATTCTCGCTCATTTCAAGCCCAGCCACTGCTCATCACATTGTGCAGTTTGACCCAGGAAGTATAGGTCAACTTCGCAGCATACTTTCTGTCTGTGTTTACGGCCGACTGTCGGTCGAACCGGAAGCAGGCCACGAAAATGACATTATAGAATCATGATTGAGATCTCCGTTCGTTCCAGCAAATTTTAGCGACCGTGATTCTGCAGAATGATCATGATACAAAACGCTTCTTTTTCAGCGTTTCATGTTTGCGGTTTTAAACACAGTTATTTTTACGACCGAAGAAAAATCGCTTGAACGTGTTTTAAACTAAACGTCTTTGAAAACCGTGTTTCTAGGGTGAAAAAGTGTCGATTTATTGCACCCTATGACACTAAAAATTGGGTCTGACAGCTCAGTGGCTAAAACGATGGCACTCTGTGGAACACAATTAGAAATGTTGCGAAACTATAATGTAGGATGTTCATGGTTTTTGCAAAAGGGGTAGGTTTTGTTTTAAAAAGCAAGATATTTCCCCCAGAAGGATCATGCATTTCAAAATAGGACTGGCACTTGTATGATGTAAGGCCAATAAAATTCCGCAAAAACAGGGTACTTTTGAGAAAACATGGGAGCACCAGAGATATCGGGGGCGCCTGAGATAGCGTGGGAGCACCAGAGATAGCGTGGGGGGACCAAAGATAGCGTGGGGGCACCAGAGATAGCGTGGGGGGACCAGAGATAGCGTGGGGGCACCAAAGATAGCGTGGGAGCACCAGAGATATCGGGGGCACCTGAGATAGCGTGGGAGCACCAGAGATAGCGTGGGGGGACCAAAGATAGCGTGGGGGCACCAGAGATAGCGTGGGGGCACCAGAGATAGCATGGGGGGACCAGAGATAGCGTGGGGGCACCAAAGTTAGCGTGGGAGCACCAGAGATATCGGGGGCGCCTGAGATAGCGTGGGAGCACCAGAGATAGCGTGGGGGGACCAAAGGTAGCGTGGGGGCACCAGAGATAGCGTGGGGGCACTAGACATAACGTAGGGGCACCAAAGATAGCGTGGGGGCACCAGAGATAGGGTGGGGGCACCAAAGATAGCGTGGGGGCACTAGAGATAGGGTGGGGGCACCAGAGATAGCGTGGTGGCACCAAAGATAGCGTGGGAGCTCCAGAGATAGCTTGGGGGCACCAAAGATAGCGTGGGGGCACCAAAGATAGCGTGGGGGCACCAAAGATAGTGTTGGGGCACCAAAGATAGCATGGGGGCACCAAAGATAGCGTGGGGCACCAGAGATAACGTGGGAGCACCAGAGATAGCGTGGGAGCTCCAAAGATAGTATGGGGGTACCAAAGATAGGGTGGGGGCACCAAAGATAGGGTGGGGGCATCAAAGATAGCGTGGGGGCACTTAAGATAGCGTGGAGGCACCAAAGATAGCGTGGGGTACTCACAGTAGAAGCTCCTTCCTCTGATGTGAGGGTGACCCCGTACTGAACGACACTAGAGCTGAGAGGCGCTGTTCCAAAGAGAACCTCAATAAGGGTGGTAGTCTTATCCCGGAATTCAATCACGCCCTCCTGAAGGGCACCTATTAAAACAAAGGGGGGGGGGAGAGGAAAAATGTGTCATCAACATGGTAAGCATACAGAGTATATGGTATGTGTTCGGTGTCATAATTGTTTGATGTAAAAAGCTTGAGAAATCCATACATTTAAACGTCCCGATTTCATAATGCATTTGTGAACAAGTCACCTTATAGAATTAACTGTTAAAGAGATGGTTCATTGAAATGAGGAAAATGGGCAAATTACACCTCTACAGATTGCTGAGAACATTAACAAAATGAGCAAAGTACTTTTGAAGCCCTCACTGTTGTGAGGAATAAATTAAATGCAATTTTGTTACCCTTTCCTGAACCCACTCACTAAGTGAATTGACGGCGTTATTTTACATGCGAAACGATGACGTCACAATATGAACAACCTACATCACACATTCAGGACAATGTTGGATACCCATTGCAATTTTCAGATATGGGTTAACGTTGTTTGTATATTTACCGCCAGTGGTGATATATATATTTTTTTTGGCATTTTGAATGAGATACACTGAATAAATGATACTTTCTACAAATGTTTGTTTGATTTTTATATATTTTTCCGTCACATTTGAGCATAAAAATCGGGAAAATAATCACATTCTGAGGGCACTTCAGCGTGTATGTGTCTGATCTGGGAAGGCAAAGGACATTTTGCAAGCTGACCTAACGACTCTTTTGGAGTAAAATAGGCGATAAATTTACATAGAATAGTCCAGATATTCATTACAAAAATGTGTGATTAGGCTGATTAATTTACATTTTTGATCAATTAAGTCGTATAGGACCTGATAAACCGAGAGAAACAGATCAGTCCGGTTCGCGATTCACGGCTAGCTCGAGCGCCGGGCTACAGGCTAGGCTGGCTAGCAAGCTGCGCTAGATGTGATGCACGCATGATAGAGAGGTCAGTGTATTGCACACATAGTACATGCACAGAGTAGGCCTACGCATGCACAGCTACCAGCTACGGGAAACTTGAACGCTACATCGACGATATTCACTCGCTTTTTGGAAGTTATATACCATTTATCTAGACTAACGTCAGATTAAGAACCAAAACCATATCCATATTTCCAGGGGATTTTGATGAAGGTAAACAGTGTTAGGTATAAATGGGTATGGTACTCGAGAGTCAATGCAAGTCATGTGTATCGCACGCAAACTGCATCTCGCACCGTCGTCAATAATTTCAGCTGAGCGGCCCGCTGTTCATATTGTGACGTCACTTCAAAAATCAGCTGACTTACGATGTTTTGGGGGCGTTGAGTGGGTTGATTTTTCGTCAAGTTCAATCCACTTTTATGAATTTCGCTCGAATGTACAAGTTACACAAATGTAATGATTTTACTCAGTGTAATTTTTCGATTGCAATGATACCAAATTCAGTCAAGTTTGAAATCAATAAACCATCTCTTTTAGTTTAGTCCGTATTCAATCTTCTGTTTAAAAACATACAAACATTAAAATATACACACACAAAATCAAAGGGTTTGATACAAGTTACATTAAATAAATTCATATAAAAAAGGAGAACAAAAGGGAACCTCATTTAAAGTCTATTAACCCTTACTGTACTGGGCTATTTTGAGCACCTCCTGACTGGGGGGGGGGGGGGGGGCCTGGGAGGCCCCCCCCCCTATGATCTCGGCCGTCGGATGTCCGATGAACACAAAAATTTGCATGTTTGTAGATATTTACGTAACGAACAAGATGGTGTAATTAGTTTTTTGCGAATATGCAAATTTTTGTCGTTATAGCCTAATTAATTATGCAAAATGCTAATTTTATGCATTTTACAGAAAACGTGTCAAACTTCACTTTTTGAACGTTGAAACTCATTATTCATATGAAACTTCTTTTCTTACACAAAATATTTATTTGGATGTAATTAATAATGATAATTTATGCAAATTTGATGCGATTTTCAAATATTTATTTTCTTATGTATTTTATTGTTTTTTTATTTCTTATTATATCTATTGTTTTTATTTCTTATGTATTCTTTTGTTCTGGAATACATCAAGTTACTTTGAGAAACATATAAAAGCAATTCGATATCAATTCATATCACCCACTTAGGAAGGAATACATCTAAACCTGTATTCACATTTCTGCTTGTACATGAATATATGCAATTATAGCATATTTTTGATGACATGCGCATACTAATTGTTATGTAACACCTCACAGGTATATCTGATTGCGACGAAAATGGTATCAAAACGTGCGTAAGACTTGAGGGAAAAAAGTCATGAAACGACAATTCAAAATTTCAAGTGGTTGCGGCGCAATCTCCGAAAATGTCGAGGGGGGGCCTCCCAGGTCCCCCCCCCCCCCCAGTACAGTAAGGGTTAAGGTTTAACAGGTTGATGGCAACAAGAATTTGGCAATTAATAACATAACAAACTACCGGTAATGACCTACCTGTGGTGAAGGAATCCATAGCTGGTTCACTTTGTGATGTGAGTTCACCACTTGTAACCTTGCTAAAGATCCGAACATCATACAGAGCAGATGGATCCAGACCATTGAGAGCTAGTGACTCTGTAAGACCATCCACCTCACCAGCTAGAGTATAGTCATTGATAGAGTCGGTTTGGCGGTACCAAACCTCAAAGTTATCCACGTCATGGCCGACAAATCGATTCCAAGTGACGGTGGCAGACGTTGACTCGATAGACTCGAAACTGATGCTGTTTGGTGCCACAGGGTCTGCGGAATGGAGAAAAATGCATCTTTAAATGATGTAAATATACAAATATTTCTATGGAGAAAAGAAACCTACATGTCAATTTTCATGACCGAGGTATCAAAGGTCTGTCCTAATGTGTGGCTGCAAGAGCTGGACGTTGAATAAATACTTGGACAGCAGAATTCAAGCAGCAGAAATGTGGGTCTGAAGAAGAATGCTGAGGAAACCTTGGACTGACAGAATATCAAACAAAGAAGTGCTCGATAAGGCATGTGTCGATATTAAAATCCCTCCTTAACATCATTAGACAACGACAACTACAGTTTGTTCGGCATATTATGAGTAGAAAAGGAATAAAAGACATGGACAATTGAGGGGAAGAGAAGCAGAGGGACACAGCGCATCAAATACATTTATAAGTTCATTTGGCTGACCCGTAACAGAAGTAACGTCACATTGCAAAAAAACAGAGATAGAAGTAGATGGAAAGCATTGATCGCCAATGTCTGGAACAGACAAGGCACCTGTATGCAATGTATGCTGTAAGCAATGTATCAACTGTACAACATTAGCCAAGTTTTCAGTTCATAATAATTATACAAGTAGTGTTAAATTTTCTGAATTTTTGATCAAAATCTTATTTCATAAAAAGCAGAATGACTTATCACAAGTGTTCAGCAGAGAATGCATACAAAATCAATGTCAAATTTGAAACATTTAAAACAAATCTACAGTCTGTTTTCATCATATGATGGTTAAATATTTGTTTAAAAATCCATTTTCTCCCTCTCTCCTAACAAGCAAAACATCCTTCTCAATATCCCTCCTCTCAAAATAGTGTCCTAGATAATATTTCAAATCATAAATCTGTATTTATTATATTTATCATTAAAATTCTGAAATTCTGAACAGAACAGAACAGGAATCAGACCACCAGAAGAAGCCAGTAGGAACCGGCGAAAGAAAAGTGAGTTGAAATATACTTCCAGTAATAGACATACAGTGTGTCCCAGAAAAACGAAACCAAGAATTATCGACGTTTTATCATAACTTAATCACAATTATAATTAATAAATTTCACATATTTGTAAAGCTTAGGTATTCCTCTTTCATTTGATGCAACTCATATGATGTATATTTAACGTGTGAGCGATTAAAAACAATTTGAAGAGAGGAAACCAAAAAGTCATTTTGCGGGCGGTATCTGAATTTCAAAAAGAAAATCACATTTCTAAAAAGTTCATTTTCTGCCCTTTCATATGACACCTCAATCAGGACAAATGAGCCAGTCTGTTTATTTAAAGTAATGCTTGCATTTCCAAAATTTGATTAAACAAGTTCGTTTTCACTGGCTGCCTGGCCTAGCAACAAAAACAGTTGACAAAATACTTAACTCGGTTTCGTTGATGATCGTCAACGAAACGGATTTGCCATTAATTTCTACGATACTGGATAAATCATGAAATTGTTGAGGAGTAAGCATACCAGTTAGTACATCAATAGAGCTGACGTCATTCCCTTGCTCGATGAGTCGTATGGAGTAGAGTGTTGCCGGGTTCAGAAGGGTAAAGTCCACGTTCCTCTCCTCGTTGTTGACGAGCACGTCAGCAATGTCGCCTGGAGTGATTCTTACGACGTAGTTACCCTCAGGTATGGTATTAGCAGTGTTTCCAACACCCCATGTAACACTGATAGTAACGGTGGTCTTACTTCGCAGAAGTAGCTGACCAAGAGGCGCAGACACTATCAAGAAAGACAACAACGAAATGGGGTTATACAGTACGCTTGCAGGTGCACCATGTGAGAGAGAGAGAGAGAGGATTGAGGAGTCCTGAAAAGGACTCTGACTCTTGGTAGTGTGTAGTCCTGAAAAGGACTGTTTGTTATCTTTCTTAGCTTATAGTTCAAAGGAGAACTATAGCGCTTGGAGAGGATGATTTGCTCGACGTTTCGAACAGGTTGACTATCCGTCATCAGAAATGGGGTTAATGGAAAGATTCTTTACTATTATGTAACTCGATGAGTTCTCTAGGCCCATTTCAAACAATCATCATCTTCATCATCATCCCGTGGGTCCCCTCTGTGGGGGATCAAGGGGGTGTTTCACAAATATCCTAAGTTGAACTTATCTCTTAATTGGACTTAACAATTATGAAAAGCCAGCATCCTTGAAAATATTTTGTAAAAGTTTTTTTAAAAGACATAAAATGTTGATTCAAATCATTCATATTTTCTATTATCATGCGGAATTTCATGTTCTTGATGTGCAATCTAAGAAAAGTCTAAAATACTTGAATTTTTGCTTTTGAATTTATTTCAAAATAAGGCTACAAATGGCTCTCCATAATATTTAAGTCAAACTTAGAGTTAAGTTTGACTTCGAATCTTTGTGAAACACCCCCCCCCCAGGTCCCCTTCTTACCACTCTCCATCTCGTCCTGCCTGTAGCAAACTCAAAATCCGTTTCTCTACCGTTTTCCTTAATACTATCTATCCACCTCTTCCTAGGTCTCCTTTTCTTTCTCTTTCCTTTCTCTTTTCTCTCTGCTGCTCATCTAATTGATTCATCTTCATCTGTCCTCTTCACGGGCCCACACCATTTCAGTCTCCTCTCTCTAATGTTCTCCCTTATCCCACTTCACTTTAACTTCCCTTTGCCTCCTCTCTTTTCTTGTTACCCTCTCACACCTCTCAGAGATCTTATCTATGCAGCTTCCAGCATCTTTGTGTGGTCTTCCTGTTAATACTGCCCAGGTATCTCCTCCATATTCCAAACAAAGGGAAGTGTAATTAGCAATCAAGTGAAACATACACATGTCTGACCATGTACTAATTTACATTTTAGATGTGTCTGATTCGCCTAATAAAACATCTTCAGGACTCTTGATTTTGCTTAAAACAGTCTAAAATAACAAAAAATATGGCTGAAAGTCATATTTGTTACAATGCAAATGACCACTTACGAGTTCGTTGAGTCATTTCAACCTCTGAACTCTCCGTTCGTGTATCGCCCTCTCCAGCCACAGTCTTCATTCTGAACTCGTACGTTGTGGAGGGTGTGAGTTCGCGGAAGGTATAGAACTCGTCGTTGGCCTCCAGCACGATGAACGACTCACTCAAGCCATCGGCTGGACTGTAGGTCAACTCATACTGGTCAATTGCAGAGGGTACCGGCATGCTCCAGAGCAGGAGTATGGAATACGTGGAGCCCTCAATCGTGGGCTGAGTTTGAAGGTCCCTCGGTGGAAGAGGAGCTGAAGGAACAAAAAACAGGTATTGGAATTAAAGGAAATAATAATAACTGCATACATGGGTATGTAAATGATGATTATAGTAATGATTGTAACAACTATCCATTCATCAGTTCATCCATTCATACATTCGTTCAATCATTCTTTCATTAATTAAGAATGATATAATTCATACAATAGTAACTATTACAAGGGTATGATTACTCTTTAAGTTTATCCTGCAATAATCCTTAGGATTGAAAGCAGAAGAACCTAGAAGAAGAAGAACTGTTACCTGTGCGCTGCTGAATTACACTGATTGGATCAACCTGATCAATCAAGATCAACGAGATAGTCTGGAGCTGACCGGGTATGAGTGAAGTAATCGTCGTTTCTCTCGGCTGAGTTCTCTGGACCTGGTTGTATATTGGGTTCCCAGAGGGGGGCTGGAACTGGATGATATACTCGTCAAACGTGAGGTCTTCCACTGCTCCCCAAACCACGGTGATGGAGAAAGAGTCAAAGTCAATGACCGATAGCTGACCAGCATCCAACGAATCTGAGTTAAAAATGGAGAAATTATAAACAACATTTTTAAATATTTAAATCAGTTTATTCCATATTAAAATTAAATAAAGGAACACATATATATACAATTTTATGAGGATATTAAACATATAATACGCAAAGGTAATGCAATGGTTAATTACATGCTTTCATTATATAATTTCATATGGCAATATTATGCACACACCAAGACGCGCATTGTATATGTATCTGGCTGGGCGTGTGCACTCAAGATGTGACATCATTCAATAAAGCAAATGGTGGCCTCCATGATTGGGAAAATCTTGGCTTTTTTAAATTCTGTATTTTTTAATTTCTCAACTTTATGTTCATAGTGTAGACCTGTCTAATTAAAAAAATAGTACATGTTTTTAGCTCGTGCATTAGTGATATCCACTGCACTTGTCACAATGAGTCACAATGAGATGGAAAAAAAACATAATTATAATAACGAATATGAAGAAAAAAAACTGACAAATACATATAAACAAAAAACAGAAGTTTTACCAATACAAATAATCATGGTTTCAAATGAAATTGAAAACTCAGAAGACAGGTAACAGTAATTCTTGACGAATTGATCAATGAACCTACCAGTGGTAAATGAATTTTGCCGCGGGGGACTTCGCTTCTCCAGATTTCCGCTTCCAACGACAGCAAAGATGCTTACAGAGTAGCTTTCACCAGGCCTCAGAGCATCGAATGTAAATGAGGGTAGCTCTCCAGCTTCGATCTGATCACCCCTCAGAGTGCCTTGAAGCTGTTCGTTCAGATTCACTTCAAATCTTTCATATTCACCGACTGGAGGATCCCATTGAACCTTCAGGGTGGAAGTTGAAACTTCAACTTCCACAAGATTATCTGGCGCATTGGGATCTGTACATGTAATAAAAATCATGATAATGATAATAATAATAATAATAATAATAATAACAATAGTTACAACAAAAACATAAATGATAATAATAATGATAATTACAAAAATAATATAAATGATTAAAAAAATACCTATGATTGTTACAATAATTATTATGATTTTAATAATAATAAGATTAATATTAATGATAATAACAATAACAAAATCAATAATAAAAGTGGAGTCTACACTATAGTGTTTGATGAGCAATGAGCAAATACTGCAGAGGTTCCATAGTTCTGTTCTACTACAAACAAGCAGGGAATATTTGATGTTCAATAATTAACAAGCCTATCGAAATGCAATTTATCCTCATAATACATAAAGAACGTAAAGAACGTAAAGAACAACCAGGGTACTGTACTTGTATAGATGTAGTCTGTGGCGTACGATTCTGTGGAGCCGGTATACCCCTGATACCGATAATGTACCTCTGACCAGGAACCAAGGAGTTGAAGGTGTACTAATGTACTACTACTGTTATTACTACTACTACATGTATTACTATTACTACTACTATTACTATTAATGTTACTACTTTTATTATTATCATTATTAATTCATGTGTGTGCAATAGTACTCTACCTGTGTAGACGGAGTCTGTGGCGTACGGTTCCGTGGAGCCGGTACCCCTGATACCGACAATGTACCTCTGACCGGGAACCAAGGAGTTGAAGGTGTACTCAAAGTTTCCACCTATGGGCACGTTCCCTGGCGGAGCGTTGGCAGAGTTGGGTTCAATGGTCAACTCGTAGCTATTGACGACCACGGCACAAGATCCCCACTGGACGGTGATCTCGGTGTACGTGGTTTCGGTCACTTGGATGGAGCAAGGAGGAAGTGCAGCTGAAAGAGAAGCAGACATATTGATAATAAAAATAATATTGATGCTGCTTGTAAACATCAGCTTGCATGGTGATGTAGATATATACAGTAGACTTGCGGATGCACCATGTGAACCAGGACTCCTTTTCAGGACTCCTCAATCCTCCCTCTCTCTCACATGGTGCATCCGCAAGCCTACTGTATAATATTGATGATGATGATAGTGACAATATCACTACTAATCATAATGATAATGATGGTTATGAAGTGATAAAACTGCCTAAAAGATGGCTTAAGCAAAATTAAAACCAATTTATGTGTTCTGGTATAGGGGGAGAAAAGATTAGTACATGTGCACCGTAAAGGCCTCTTAGCTGACCACCTTTCCTGTATTGTATAGCATTGAGTAATGTGAAGTGCACTACATTGATTTCCTTTCACCTCATTGGGTTTTTAGGCGGTTTAACCCATTGGCTACTGAATTATCTCATTCCCATATGCTTTAGTACAGGAGCCACCAGGTTTCCATAGGCAATGGGTTAATACGTCAAGTGTGAACGAGGCTTAGAGAGGAGAACACTTACTGGTTGTAGCCGGGACGGACTCTTCTGTACTTGTTGTCTCATCAGCATCTGTTCCACTGCTGGTGTAGACAGTAACCACGTAGGATGTATCAGGGAGCAACCCATCTATGACTGACACTCGGGTACCATCGCTAGGGATGCGATCCGCATAGATGACCGTCGTGGGTTCATCAGCGAGAGTGTAGGTGACAACGTAGTCGTTGAACGAGCCTGTAGCCTGTTGCCAGTTCACGGTGACGGATTGGGAGGTCGTATCAACCACAGTGAGTCCAGAAACTGGATTCGGTCCTGAGAGCGGAGAGAAATCATTAAAAGAACATGATAAACAGGAAGAATCATCTTCACAGTTTTTCTCCTTGTCGCAAAATTACAACCACAAAATTACAATTACAACTTCATTCTATCCTACCTTCTGAATTCGAATCTTCAGCAACAAACACTACCACCTTCTATCAAAACCTACATGTACATATGCCCCAGATCCCGAACCATGACGTGTTTATGGCAATCAAACCTTTCTTCTCTTGCCCAAAAACTATGAGACAATCTTCCCATCGAAATTGGAGAGGCCCCCACCATGGATTCATCAAATACAGTTCTGAAGAAACTCAGGGTAAACGGCTGCTACACGTATTCAACTTGGCGTTATGTGAACAACACTTAAACTCAATGACTACTGAATTGTCTATTTTACCAATAGACATGTATAGCGCTTAATACTATGTTTCTAAGCATTTCACATTGTAACTACTATTATCCCGGTCATTGGGTTCATTTGAGAGTGGTAATTAAATGTAGATTAATGTTTTGTGAAAGGACATTAGTGCCACGGCAGGACTTGAACCGTAAACCATGTGATCCACAGTCCAGTGACATATCCACTAGACCACGACACCTCTACAAAATTAGTGACAACCCTGTTTCTATTGCAAATGGGTTAATAGATGAATGGGAACAACCATCACTTACTTGTTCTTTGAGATACAGTCCTAGTCACCACTGGATCAGAGCCTTGAAGGATGTTACTGACGGTGTACCTAACACCTGGTATCAGGTTCTCAAAGGTATGCATCCTGGGATCCTCGGGAGGTATCACAGCAAAAATTGGGGATCCGTCGCCCTCTGGTGTAGCCTGGAGGCGGTAGTTCTCAAACTCGATGCTGACGACCTCGCTCCATTCCACAGAGATCGAGTTGGAATCGAAATCTGTCACGTTCAGCTCGCCCTCGAGGGCCTCACCTGGAAATAATTATAATATAAATCATTAAACAAATCCGGAAAGTTATAAAGTCATTAATTGGTGCATGCCTGGTGTGATACAATGTGATATTGAATTTTGCTTAAGCTACAGGAACCAACTCCTTTGTCACCTCTCTTCTTTTTTAATAATAGCCTAATAGTCCACTCCAAATTTTATTATACCGAAACAGAAATTCTTTTTGCCCAATTGATCGTGAGCCCGGTAGCCACTGAGCAGCGCCAGATCGACGTTGCTCAATCCCTTATTGTTGAACGTCAAACAAGGAAGCAACAACTCCCATCTTTTAACGTCTTTTGGTATGACGTGGCCGGGGTTCGAACCCGCGACCTCCCGGTTGTGAGGCGGACGCTCTACTGACTGAGCCAACACTCCGGTTTTGATTCTTGTAATTTTCTTCTTATCAATCTCTCCCAAAACAGACATCGCCAAGCTTCAGCAAATTCAAAATTCAGCTGCCAGACTAGTTTCTCAATTACCAAGGCAAGAGCACATCACTCTCACCCTTCTAACTTTCAAGGCACTTCATCAACTCTGTCCCAGCTACATATCTGAACTTTTTACACCTTACGTACCCACTCGATTCCTCCTCTCTGCATCTCAACACCTCATTGAACCTACGAGCAACAGGACAAAGTCATAAGGATCCAAAAGGTTCTCATCTGCAGCTTCGCTTCTTTGGAACTCTCTCCCCACTACCTTCCGAACTCATACACTTTAACTCTATAACACCCTTCTTGCTCAGAGCAGCACATTCGCGTCCACTTACTGAGTGTGATGAAGCGGGTGATTGCGTCGCTTCTGATAGTCTTAACGTCGTCCCCTACACCCACCGACACCACAGCATACAAGGAGATTGTGTATTCCACATCAGACTGCTCTAACGTCAGGAGCTCCTGGGTAGCATCGGCAGTAGGACTTCGAGTCTGGCTGGAAGGAGTCCAGCAGAGCTCGTAGGAATCAACCTGAGAGTTCCTAGCAGGCCATGCTAAAGTGACCTCTTGACCTTCGACTGTCAGGAAGGACAGGCTACCAGGGGTCAGAGGTGCTGTGGAAAGACATGTACATGAATATCATTTATTGTTTAAATAAATTTAATCTAATTTTTAATTAATATGAATATTTCAATTTGTAATGTTCAAAATCTAAAGTAACAGGACAATTTTGAGGTGAATTCTAAAAAAAGAGAAAATTAACAAATACAGATCTACATGTGAGTGGTAACATACTGAACAGAAAATCGCTAAATACCTTAAACTTGCCTTCTTATCAGTCTTCTCTCCATATTAAAGGGTCTTCTTTTTTTGTTTGTTGTTGGAATAATTATTTTATTCAATACTTAAATCACCCGAAAAAACATGTATGCGCACATTTAATAAAAATAAAGTCCAGGTCAAGCAATCGTTATTTACATGAAGGGCAATAACAATAAAAATATATCATATTATGACCAAACATAAATTATATACAATATATAGAAATTTTTATTGTAAGTGTTCAAAGTTTCAGAACTAAATCAAATTTAGGAACAAAGGGGTATTGAGGCTGTTGAGAGCCAGAAGGGTGATTTTACTCAGATTGATTCAATAGTTCACGCCCTTTGGCCCCACAGCAGGCAGCAGTTTATGATCAAGCAATATGAAATATTTTGTCTTATTCTCAAACTAAAATGTACTCTGTAAACTTATTTCATAACGAACATACTTGACAGTATTTTGTCACTTGTATAATTTACTTGTTCTATTATATATTGTATTAGTGTATGGTTTATATATGGTATGTCATTTAATTACAGGACCAATATGAAAAACAGCCTTGGTTGATATTGTCATCCTGTATAAATATTTTCAAATAAATAAAATAAATGAATAAATAAATTTGTGGATATTTGAGTGGGAAATAAATCAGATCAATAATAAAAATCAAAAAATCAAATCAAATCTAACCTGTGGCAGTAAGTATGGTAGACTGTGTAATTGCATCTCCTTCCACGAGCAGATTCAGGGAGTACTCTGTGCCTGGCAGCAGGCCCTCAAATAACACCTTACGTTCCTCGTTGATGCCCTGTGATTGGAAATCGGTCCGAGTATTACCAAGAAACAGGTTCAACACATAGTTGGTGAATGTTCTATCGGTGACTGCACCCCAGACTACTTCCAGAGACGTTGTGGTTCGATCATTCACGTATAACTGGCCAGCAACCATGGTTTCTGATATATAATATAATAATAGTTATAAAAATTATATGAATGATAATAATAAAATCAATACTACTACTACTACTACTTAGAATAATAATATCAATAATAACAACAGCAATAATAGAAATAAAAAATGAAAATTAATAATAACTATTTAAAAAAATATTAATAATTATCATAATATATTAATATCAAAATGAAAAAATAATGATAATGATATTGATAATAATGATAATAATAACAACAACAATAATAATAATGATAAAGTTTATCGGACTCAATTGCCCCCATATTCGATATATGGCTAAAAAATTTGGACCACACATTTGTGTACGTTGAGTCCCATGTACCTCTTTCTGTTTGCAGTGCATGTGATTTTAGCTCGATAGAGCCAACTATTTGATGATACCAAATTATCCAAACCTCAATATACATGAGTGAACCAATTCTTATCTACTACATAAACAACTTGTCCTAATTGCTACCAGACTGTTACTTTCACAATCTAATTGCTTGACCAGAACTCAACTTCATCTATCAGTACATGAATGTAGAACTGTATAACCATGTATTTACCTAAGGAGACATCCATGGATGAAACAGCACTATCCGTCTCTCCGGACACAGCTACGACCTCAACGTCGTACGTTCCTCCAGGTACCAGGTCTGTGATGAACACCTCAGGACAGGCCTCTCTGGGGATATTGAAGCTAGCGACACCGTTTTGGCCGACGCCCAACCCCGTCTGTCTGGCTGTCACGCCCACGCGATAGTAATCCAGGACCCCTGCGGAGGCTGGTAGGATCTTGATCAGAATGGTAGTTGGAGAGAGGATCATGATCTCTATAGTCGGTGCAAGTGGCGCTGAAAGAGAGAAAACAAAAGTCCATGAAAGTCCTTGATTAAGCTTTAGTTAGTTGTACGCAGGTTTCCTAGGAGAAAAATCTACATATATATTTGTCAATCTGTCGGTCTTACTCAGTGTACTGTTTTAAAAGGGAAATAAAACTAGATGGATGTTCGACACACGCAGTCGACAATGATGCCTCTGTCATAGAGCAATTTTTCAAATTCTAGTTTGATTGTAATTCATTAACAGGTTCTCAGAATACCCTGATTACAAGCTATTTATTATATACATGTATATACATGTATGACCCTTTGAGCTTTGACCTTAGGCCTAAAAAAAAACTTGTTGTATTGTCCTTTGGGTGCCAAAACATGGGTCGGTCGGTCGGAAAAGTTTTTTTTTAAAACTATTTTTTTGTCGCCCTCTTTGGGCCGATATTTTTCAGCTTTGAATGTTTTTGTGTTGTTTTTTCCCGCCCTCTTTTGGCTGATATTTTTCAGTTTTTAATGCTTTAATACATGTGTTTCAGCATCATCATTCCATTGATATCTTTTTCACCTCTTAATTATCCTTGGTTTACACAAGGAAGGATTTTGGAATAATTTGATTTTATGCATTTATATTCCATTTAAACAAACAAAATACTTGTTTTTTTATTCATTAATTTAAAAAAAATCTAAAAAGCGGTTGAAAAAAAATACTTTATTAAAATGCTGACCATATATTTTCAGATTTTTGGGTCGGTCGCAAAGGGCAATCTAATCAGTTAATTGGCTGTGCAAGATACATACATCTCTCGAGTTCCATAGTAATCCATCCATCGGTTCTAATGATAATGTGATCACAAACTATAATGAGCCCTGTGACCTTTGATCTTGTGACACCCAAGTCTAAGCAGTTCATTAGCTCTTCAAGATACATACATGACCTTAGTCTGGCAGGAATCCATCCATCGGTTCTTGAGATAATGCGATCACAAGCTATTTTCGCATACACAATGAGCCTGAGACTTTTGACCTTTGACCTCATGACCCCAAAATTTAATCAGTTCATTAGCTCTGCTAGATACATACATGACCCAAGTTTGGCAAGAATCCATTCATCGGTTCTTGATATAAAGCGATAACGAGAACGGGACGTACGGACGGACAACCCGAAAACATAATGCCTCCGGCTACTTCCTAACGGAGGCATAAAAATCCAAAAGGGAGGACAGCAATGGGTAACTTTGATTTAAGATATGCAGTCATTATTCTCTCGCGTTATATATCTTCATATAAAGAAAGTGCAAGTGAGAAAAATACCACTCCTACTTCTAGACATGTTCAAATAGAACCTGTCTCACTAATTCAAGAGCAATATAAGGCGCGATAGCTCAGTCGGTAGAGCAGTGTTCTTGTAATCCAGGAACCCGGATTCGAAACCAAGGCGATGCGGTAATGCCCTTTGGTAAGGCATTAATCCTCATTACCAGGTCCCTCGGATAGGACCTAAAGCCGTCGGCCGTCTGGTTGCTTACTTACAAGCATTTATGCTTTATTAGCAGTCAGGTAAAATAACCATCACCATTCATAACAATAAATCTCACCTAAGACATACGTTGCCCTGACTAAACTCTGTGTGCCAGTATCAGGAGTGCCAGAGGAGAGAGCGAAGTTGTAGATCTGTCCTGGGGTGAGACTATTAAGGAAGACACTGTCCTGGGTGGTAGGAACTGGAGAGGGCGGCACACCATTTGAGGGATCATATTCAAGATAGTAATTGGAAAAATCTGGTGCATTAGGCCAGGACACAGCCACGCCAAAGGCATCGATTGTGATGAAGACCAAAAGCTCCATTGCTGAAAAGAAAAACAGGAGGGATTGATATTATGTACAGCAATAATCCCCTCACAGCTCCAACAGAGGAAAACACATTCTGTCAGCAGTAAATATATTTCAGACCTATTTTGTCCATATAAACTGAAAATGCAAATCAGCGAATCATTTGGGCATTTGAATCAGTAATGGGAAAAGAATATCTATAGACTACAATAGACATCAGACAATTCAACAATCAACAGGTTTAACTGACAATAATATGATATCCAAATAAATAATTGAGTAATATTGACTGCCTTCTGGGCAATACTACATATATCGCCCGAACCAAAGGTGAGGGTGATATATGACAAGTCGTATTGCCCTGAATTAGGCAGTCAATATTACTATTATTAACCACATCAGACATCTAGAGCAAACAAGAAACTCTTACTATTTTATACTCTTAAATTATGTAGCCTACACTGCACAGGATTTCCTAGCATTAGAAGTTGCAAAAACATCATCATGATTGTTACGTCACAATAGAGTTTGCGCATACTACGCATAGTGCGCATTTTCTTATATCGTAATACCAGTAGCTGATGCGCGATGAAATTTACAACTGGCTCTATATTATTGCTCACTAGTTAAACACGAATTTTGCCATTGACTTTTCAGATCGGGCAATAATATTTGTTCATTGGTTTACTGTATAACCGTATTGACTGGCAAATTACACACAAAATCCAATTGACTTTTCAGATCGGGCAATAATATTTGTCATTGGTTTACTGTAATATTTTTTTCGACTGTAGTTTTGTTGGCTTATCCATCAAACCTTGCGGGCAATAACATTTAAAAATTGCCCTGCTCAGATGTCTGATATGGTTAATAATATATTTTATTCATTGAACTTAATTGACATATATATCAATATTTTTTCCAATATACACCGTTACATCAATAAATGAATTACAAATAACAGAACAGTGTATACTATAGATAGAATACCAGTAATAAACAAACATACTTGTCTTACGATTCATCATCTAGAATGTTTTTTTTCATATCATATGTAAATAAATATATACTACATGTACATACTTTAAGTACAAATGGACCATAGTGAAGTTACAATATAAGCCTCTAACTAACACTTTAATTTATTACACAAAGGACCAAAAATACTCATACGTTGGATAGAAACATGTTTAACCACTTGACTGCTCATCACATACATGTACGTGCTTAGTGCATCGCACTTTTACGACCGTAGCAGTGCATAAGGCCTAGCCCTACTGTGTAATTAGCACTGCAATGATGTTATACAGGTCTCGAACAGTAGATGGCGCTCTTCCAAAAAAATACCGGCTTTTTTGTGTAATGCTGTAGCACAGGCGATATGAACGCATTTTAAGCCAATAGTAGTCAAGTGGTTTAATAAGTAAATTACAAAACAATATAAGCTTACCAGTAGAAGCAGTGGTTTCTCGGAGAGCACTGCGTGTAGTTCCTGTGACAGCATAGATCTCTATCCTATACAACGTTCCAGGGGCAAGATAGTTCTTGGAGACGGTAAGGTCGGAGCCTCTGGGAACATCCTGCAGGAAGGCAGTTTGGGAACCATCAGGGTACAGATTGATAGAGTAGCGATCAAAGTTTCCTCCGGCGCTGCCCCAGGCAAAGGTGATACTGGTCTGCGTGGTGCGAAGGATCTGAATGGCACCTGGGGTCTGAGGGTCTGTATAAATAAAAATAATGATAAATTATAATGTTGATAATGATAATAATAATAATAATCAAAATAATGATGATTATGATGATGACAATGATGATACTGATGATGATGATGACAATGACGATGATGATGATCATAATGATAATGTTGTTAATGATGATGATGATGATGATGTTGATGATAATAATAATGAAAATAATGTTGTTAATGATGATGATGATGATGATGATGTTGATGATAATAATAATGAAAATAATGATGATGATGATGATCATTATTATGATCATGACAATGATGATGATGATGATAATGATGATGATGATGATGACGAATGATGATGATAATGATAATGTTGATAATGATGATAATAATGATAATAATAATGATGACAATAATAATGATGTTGATGACGATGATGATGATAATGATGATTATGATGATAATGATGATGACAATGATGATGATGATGCTGATGGCATAATGACAATAACAACAACTTGAAAAAATAATGAGAATGATAACAATAATATTGGGTGGTCCTACCTCACTTTTAGACATCCTGGCCTTAGACATTGGTTACTATTTTTGCTTTTTCTGCTAAAGATCGAATGGCAAGTACCTTTTCTCCCCAAATAGCCCTTAAAAATGGGTTTGGGGGGCTTTAGACCGCACATCCCCACCCAAACCAAATCTGAGTACCCCCCCCCCCCCCCACCCTCGCAACCCCCAAACCACACCCAAAGGCAATGATTAACTTACATGTCGTAACTGGCAATTCCTGTGGTGCTTCTGACAGCCCAACAATCTGCAGACTGATGATATAGTTTGTTCCCGATTCCAAGTTCATAAAGTTGTAGGTGGTGATTGCTTGCCCCAGTGGGAAAAGGATGGACGTGCCTCCTTCCGGTCTGATCCTCAGCTGGTATCCGTTAGCCAATGCATCCGTCGATGCACCCCAGCTGATGGAAATGGTGGTAGTCGTACGTTCTACAAGTACCGGGACTCCCTCTGGGGCTCGACCTACAAGAAGATACCATGTTAAAATGTAATAGTAGTTATAATCATAACAACAGTTTTGGTTTGAAGAAGGGACTGCATGTTCAAGTTAATTCCAGCCCTAAACATTTTTAGGATTCTTTAGAGCATACAATGGCTGGAAATAAAGATATTGTTAATGCCATGGATTTTTTTTTTTTTAAAGAAGCTTACATGTCTGAGAAATCACATTTGAGGTTAATCACCTGTTGAGTTGATCCAGGGAAATCAAGGGTTCAGTGAGACAAGGACGTAACTCCATATTTTGCCAAAATAAGTATTTGATATCAAAATGTTCAGAAAAATGTGGGCTTTCCAGGAAACACAAACTTAAGACTTTACTCCACCCAACACCCCATTGAAGTCAAGGGCTAGTGAAACATAGACTGAACTCCTCAAGGCCCAAGTGCCCAATGACACATGAACCACTTTTTCTCAAAATGGCCAACATGGAGTTACGTCTTTGTGTCACTGACCCCTCAAAATGATTGTTTGCCTCTCAGCAGTGGAAATCTTAGTAAACTCTAGTTCAAAGTGTGGATCATATTAACTTTGATGCGCCACCAGTGCAAACTGGTACAGTCACAGAGTTGCCATGAGTACCATTTGGCCCCAATAAAAGGTTACAATTAACTCTTATCGTGTCACAGGGCTAACCCCCATTGTGCCAGGTTGTTTTGGAGATAATCTGATTAACGCGAAGGTTCTATGAATGGTGAGTGCAAAACACACAGCACAGCCCAATGAGCATGAACAATAACTGCTCTCACGAAAGCGCCCTTGCACGCACATGGCACTCAATAGGTAGCGTGCATGCAGCCTCATGGCAGGCTATGGGTTTAGAGAACTATTATGTGCGTAATAACCTCATAAAATTAAAAATTTCCAATCTTAATCACCTACATTAAATCCCATTTAATACCTGTTTAGCTTATTTTTTACATATGACTACCCCAGCGGCAGTAATTTTGCACAAGGAGATCATTTGCATGGCACACACACACAAAGGGTTGAGCGAAATCTGGGACCCGTTTCACAAAGCCTTTTTTCAATGACAAATTACAAAAATCAGTGACAAATCTGCAGATAACCAATCAGAAGCAATGATTTCAGTAGCTTATAACAAAAACTGTCATTTGTCACTGATGACAAGTTTTGTGAAATGGGGCCCTGGATGAACGATGAAAGGAAGTTACCTGTGGTTCCTGATGTCTCAGCAGGCTGACTGTTGATAGTTCCTACGACCGAGACAACCGATACAGCATAGGACGTCTCTGGCAGAAGGTCGGGCAAGGTCACAGAGGGTGCATCACTCGCAGGAACAGGTATGGTAGTGACCTCACTAGTTCCAACCCGCGAGTAGGTTAGACTGAAGGAGTTGTAGAACCCTTCCGCCGGAGGACTCCAGGATACGTCCAGTTCAAAGGCAGTAGTTCTGGAGATGGCTACATCCATGGGAGCATTTGGTACTGTGGAAACAAAAAAAGATATCACACTCAATTCATTTACTGACACCAAATCCAAACTGACTCCTGTCAACAAACAGAGCTAGCTGTTCCAAACGTTCAGACTTTCCTGTAACAGTTCGTTTCAGAATTATTTATTGTCTGATTTTGTTCAAACATTCACAAGTCTTTCTTTAAGAGTTTTTACTTATTAACCCTTTCAGAACAGAATTTATTTATAAAGCTTGATTGATCACATTTTGTCCACCAAATTGGCAAAAATAATATTTTTCTTTTATTGCGACATTGTTAAAATTAAATGGAATGTCTCTAAAAACAATATACATGGGCGGGAATGTTGAAACATTGCCAATTTGGTTCGAAAAACAATAATTTTAATTTCTCAATGTGTTGCCAATTCAAGGATTTAAAGTTTATTTTCCTTTATAAAAATTCCTGACATCAACCGCAAGATAGCCATGAAATGCAAATAAATGCAGTATAAGCAGAAATGTTTGCCCTTTCTACTAATGCGTATTTTGTTAGGCTCTGAATCTTAAGTTATTGAACCAAACCAAAAAATGTGGAACAATTGTTGTGAAAGGGTTAAAGGGATTGGGTAACTTTCTCTCAGATTTTGAAACAGAAATCCTGAATTTAGCTCATGCTGTAATGATAATAATAATCCTTTAGGTCAGTCAGGAACCCCATGACTTTTACAAGCCGATCGCCTGTCTGATTACCAAGATATTTATGATTGGAAATAGAAATCAAATTTTGCGTTTTCTTAACAGTTTTCATAGCACTACAGTCTAATGGGGAAAACGAGTATGGTAAAACCGGTCACTCAAGGATTTTTACTTTTTTGAGGCGCTTCTTGATCATTTTAAAGCGCAATTTTGTTAGTGATTCAATATTACACAATATCACAGACACTGATAACAGGTAGTGCCGTGCATCTCACATTTAACATTGTTAAACAATGCCTTTAGATTTTGATTTCCCTTTAATTATTTAAGAAACAATCTGACAGTAAAGCACTCACATGTATACTGTTGAGTGGGGGGACCTGAGGAACCACCAATCTGTGTCATTATCAGAGTGTAGAGCTGGCCAGGGGTGAGTTCTTCAAAGATGGCGGCCTCGGTATCCAAGATCCTGGTTGTCCCTTCATCTGGTGTGATGGTGGGGATGTAGGTTGCACCGAGAGCACTGTTCCATGTGATACGAATGGACGTCTCAGTCAGCTCCTTGATATTTACACCACCAGGCACACCATCGGCTACGAAAGAGATACAAAACGTAAAGATAATTTAAAATTATTAATCATAATAATAATAGGCATTTCTTTAGCGCCGTCTATCTAGATAATTCTATTCGAGGCACATTTATTATGACCCCGGCTTTAGCCTAGCTGCTGTTTATACAGCGCTCCATCATTTTGATAGTAAAATATGCACAGTTCAAAGCTATGTTGCAACGCATGGTTGTTTTTAAAATAAATACCACTTGACAAAAATCAGTGAATTAAAAGCCCGTCTGCACTAGTTTGGCCAGGGGGGGGGGGGGGGGTTAGACCACCCTGCAAGGTCATCTCATCAAATCAGCTCTCAATTAACATAAGAAAAAGGGGATCATGGGGGACCAACAGACACAGATTAGGCATTGTTTGCTATATAGAGGGAGCAAGTAGCTATATGTAGTACAGTGGGACTTTAACAATTTTACTCACATGTAAGATGTATAAATAAAAAAGTGTACCTGTTGTAACTGAAACATCTTCTTCAAAGCTGACTTGTTGGGTGCTTCCTTGTCCAGACACAGACACCAATGTAACCATATATTCAGTCCCTGGTTCAAGACGCGTCAGGAACAGTGATGTCCGAGTCTTATCAAGTAACAGTGGAGACTCAAGCGCTCCATCGGCAGGGGTATAGATCACGCGGAACCCGTCAAAATCAACTTCAGCTGTAGAGGGGGCTAGCCATTCTAAGGTGAATGAATTTTCATCGAAGTCCGTCACTGGACTAATCAGACGAGGGGCAGAGGGTCCTGAGTAAAAAAAAGAAATATACAACTCATGTAATAATACTGGAGATGGATCAGACATTCATTTCAATCACTAGTTAATCCAGCTCAATGATCATTCATACCACTAATAATCACGGACTGAATAACTCAGGTCGAGTCCAAGAATATACTTTTTATAAGACTTTACTTGTGCCTCTTTAATCAACCATATTACATAGGGAGGCGCGATAGCTCAGTCGGTAGAGCAGTGGTCTCGTAATCCGGTGACCCGGGTTCGAAACCAACGCGATGCGCTAGTGCCCTTTGGTAAGGCATTAATCTTCATTACCAGGTCCCTCGGAGAGGACCTAAAGCCGTCGGCCGTCTGGTTGCTCACTTACAAGCATTTATGCTTTCTTAGCAGTCAGGTAAAATAACCACCACCACCACCAAAGTACATAGAACACACCCATTTCTCTGCACGTTGTGTGTTATCGCTAGTCTTATATCCAGACTCTATTCTAACTTGAGGATATTACACAAATGGAAACAGATTCAACATAAAACAGTAGATTGACATGTGGTCTAATCAAAGCTTACTTGTTCTAGCCTGGATCCGATCAACTTCGGTGTAGATCGATCCTATTCGTGTGTCCAGCGTTATCTCATACAGAGCACCTGACCTCAATCCCTGGATGCCGAACTGAGACGTTCCCGAGTCAAGCGGCTCGTAGGTGATCGTACCAGAGGGAAGGGCACGGTATCCATAGCGGTAATCATCAAAGATACCAACGATGGGGGTGAAATCGATTAGCAAAACATTCTCCACGGCAGAGAAGAGTCTCATGATGATTGGTTCTGTATGAAATTAAAATTAAAATTAAAATCATTTATTCACTCAATATAAAAACAGATACATAGAATTGCGAATAAACGCATACATGTATAACAAATATAAAAAGATGGACATAGTAAATTAGTAGTTGACAGGACAAGTAACATAAATTGAGTGGGGATCAGATTAAAGATCTATTTAAAGATCTTGTGAATTTGAACCCAATAGTATACATTGCATTGTATACTGTTGCATGTACAACAACAAGAGGGAGAGAATACATAAACAGCTGGGTCAGAAAGAAACAAGAGAGGGAGATAGAGATCATAGAGAGAGAGAGAGGAAGAGGAAGGCAAATTACAGGAGAGAAAGACAAATTGAGAATGTAGAGTTAATACATAGGATGAAATTAGACCCAAGCAGAATAATAATACATACAAAATACAAAATACAAAATAGAAAAAAAACAAAAAAACAAGGGAAACGCTCACGGTGGTCTCGCCTGCATTACGCAATTTGATATGATGAAAAATTGAGGTTGGAACATTATTTATAGGCAGGGTGGCCCATTAGCAGGCCCCCAAAAATGAAATCCTCTGAACATAATCACATTTTGAAGTGAATATTGACTAAGAATCATCAGAAGAATTATTTACTATTAATTGTACCACAATCGATAACTTGAATGAAATATGAACAAATTAATAACAAAAATTATTAATTCTCATATTACGTTGTGAAAACATAATCCAAGTCTACTGACCTGTGACCTTGTGACCTGGAATTTGTGCCATATGATTTGTGATACTTGATAACCCTTGGATACAAGTTTCATGGAATTTGAACAAACAATTTTGAAAATATGCTAAAAATTGTTGATGCCGAAACACAGTCTAAGTTTGTTGACCTAAAATGACCTTTGACCTTAACTTTGTGACCTGAAATACTACTCACATGATTGGGAATACTTGATAACCCTACAGTTCAAGTTTCATTGACTAAGAACTTATACTTTCAAAATAATATCAAAAATTCAAAAACTTAACCTTAGGTTAAGTTTTTGATGTTGACGCCGCCGCCGTCGCCGTCATCGGAAAAGCGGCGCCTATGTCTTGCTTTTTGCTACGCAGGCGAGACAAAAACAACAACATACAAACCAGGGATATAACAATTAACATTGACATAAACAACAAAGGAGATGGGTAGAACGATCAAAATTAGACAGAATTACAAAGGTTATGGATAAATCAACAGAAAATTGTAATTTGCACAGGATGTCGATCTTATAAAAATAGAAGGTCATCTTTTTTTGCAGCATGACAATTTTTCTGAAAAAATTAAAAAATTAAATACAGAAGATATATCAATAGGGGGGGGGGGTGAGAGAAATGAAATGACAATTTAGCTAAGCATCCTCTTGTTTGATATTCAAAACAAACTTATTACTTAACGACCTGACTACTGAATTTTTTTTTTTTTTTTTTTGGGGGGGGGGGGGGGGTTAGATTTAAGGCAATTCAGTCAAAATTGACTATTGACTCCTTTATTACTGGAGGTTTTTATACAGGATTCATCCGGTTCTTGTAGGCAATTGGTTAATAATACAAGTTCGATACACATCAACTTGGTAGACAGTTTGAATCAAGATGAATAATGCAAATCAAACAATTAACAAATCATTTGGCTCATGAGATTTTACTGGTGATACATTTTCCTGTACTTGGTGAATCACCAGGGGGGTGTTTCACAAAGATCCTAAGTAGAACTTAACTCTAAGTTGGACTTAAAAATTATGGACAGCCATTGGAGTCTTAAAATGAAATATATTCAAAAGCAGAAATTCAAGTATTTTAGACTTTTTATGAATTCCACATCCAGAACATGAAATCTCCTTGATGATAGACAATATGAATGATTTGAATAAACAATTAATGCCTTTCAAATTAACTTTTACAAAATATTTTCAAAGATGCTAATGGCTTTCCATAATTTTTAAGTCCAACTTAGAGATAAGTTCACCTTAGGATCTTTGTGAAACACCCCCCTGGATTAAAGAACCTATCAGCCCATGCCCGGGGCAAGCAAGGTAATCCCAAATGTGCTGAAATCTTTGGTATGACAAAATTAAGAAATCCGAGAGAGAGGAAGGCCGAGGACTTTGGGGAATTTTTTGAATTTTGTTGTTGTTGAGGGAACTAAATCTGACAGCGGCACAAACAAGGAACAGAGAAGAGTTGAAATAACGCATTTGGGCAACCAGCCCCTGCTAAGGGACAATGGTTCATGGAATTGTAGAACCGGGGGCACATGAGAATTTAGTTGTTAACGGATTAACGGGATCCGGTAACTTTGTCGCAGATTCTGAAACAAAATCCTGGATTCAGCTTTAATATGCTGTAATGATAATTATAAACCTTTATGTCAGTCAGGAACTCCATGACTTTTACAAGTCGATCGCCTGTCTGATTATCAAGATATTTATGATAGGAATTACAAATTTTGAAAACCGTTTGCCAAACGGTTTTCATAACACTACAGTTTAGTGGGGAAAACGAGTATGGTAAAACCGGTCACTCAAAGATTTTTACTTTTTTGAGGCACTTCTTGATCATTTTGAATAACACTTAGGGCTGTGCATCTCAGATTTAACATTGTTAAACGATGCCTTTAACAGTGAATTCTCTTCTCCTACCTGTTGTTGCACTTGCTGTGATAGCAGCACTCTTCTGCAACGAATCCCCACTGCCGCTCACACTCGTAATATCAAAGACATACTCTGTATCGGCTAACAAGCTATCTATATCAACGCTGAATTGATCCCTTGGTATGGTCATGGCAGTCGAATCTGTCGAGTCAGCTGAGGGGTAGAAGGTGACTTCGTAAAACTCAAAATCATTTGTGGCGGCGGTCCATGCCACCCTGATGCTCTCTGCGCTGAGTGGTGCAGCAGCAGCATTCATAGGTGGAGACGGCACTATGATTAAAAAGAAAAGACATCACATTAATAATAGCAAGCTGTACTAATGGATGGTTCCTCCATTAGGCTTTCCAGTGGTGATGTACAGAAATAAATCCTGGACATACAAAGATATCATATATAATAAAATTGAGCATGGGAAATCGCATTGAAACGCCAGTGGCTTGTAATGAAACATAGTGATTTCCCTTGCAATGATAGTAATAAACAAAATAAATACAGAATACAAACAAAGCACAAAACAAGACGAAAATCATTATCACATTTCAAAGATTAAAGAAGTAAATACAGAAACTTATTTCAAAACAATATATATTTGTAAATTTTGACACATTTGAAATGTGGTGTTGGTGGAGAATGCTAGATAACAAATGGCCACCTAGAGCACAAGCAAATTAGAGATTGATAAGTTACAACTCTGCTGTTCCTTGAAGGCTATAGCTGTGAAACAGAGACTTTGCTTCTGTGGACACATTGCAAAATTGAAGGGTATGAAGCATTTGTTGAGTTTTCAATTTCATTCTAACAACATCTCTACAGAAGAAATATTACATGTATCTTTAACAAAGAAACGTTCACCAAAAAAGAAGTACACTCTTTAATATATCTTTACCTACAAGATCTCTAACACATGATATTATTACATAAGATAATTTCAGAGAGGGAGAAGCTATTTCATAGCTCTTTAAGGTCTAGAACGACTTATAACAGATGAGATTTATCGTGTTACCTCTTATATGTGTACTTTATACAATGACATTGAGTGATTTCATGTTGGGTGTTTGGGGCTGGTATTAGTGTTTAATAAACACTAACACCACCCCTAAACACCTAAATGGAAATCAGCTAGTGTTAAGACTTTGACTTCTGAATATCGTCAACTTCTGGTAGCTAGTGTTATCGATTTTACAAAGTTGTCGTCTGCTGAACCGACCTTTATGGCTGGTATAATTATTTTACGTACAAATGTCCTATTCATTAACACTAGCCCCTAGGGATTTAGCAAATGTTGATTTCCAGTTCGGTGTTAGTGTTGTACCGCACAACAGTCTACGCACCAACGACGCTAAATTATTAGCTCGGTTTAAGAGCTCTTGACTGCTCTCAACACTAACACCCAACTTGAAATCACTCATTGTTAGTTTGGAGCTAGAGGGATATCATATTGTTTTACACACATCTAGCTTCAACAGACGATATCATTCCGGAAGAAATTTTCAGAGGGAGAAAATCATCCCTCTGACTCTAGTATGACTTACAGGTTCTCTGACTGACACGGATTGTGTCTTCGCTTTGATCGTTGCTTCTGACGATGAGCTCATAATTTCTTCCTGGAACCAGGTCTGTGTACCTGAACGACAGGATGGTGGTGGTCGATGATGACGACTGGACCAGGCCTTGGAAGTCCTCTCCAATTTCCTGGCCTACTTCAATGAACTGCGCCAGGTAGTCGACACCTTCTTTCTTGCGCCAGGTGACAGAGATGGTAGTGCTGTCATAGCCAGTCACGAGCAAGATAGCTTCTGGGAATGGAGCTGAGGGAAGAAAGAAAAAAAATGTTTAAATATCATTCATTCATTCATGAAGTGCCGTCCCAGGCCAGAGTTGGTGGCTCCGCACATCAATGGGCTTTGATCATAAGATCTTATTCTAATTAATCTCTCAATAACAGAGTCCAGTCTTGCTTGATGTTGTGAAATCTAGTGATTCCTTGTTCACTTCTTTCATGTTTCCCTTCTATAGTTCTTTCACGTTATATGGGACTGTAATGGCAGTTATTATGATGGTATATGTATTGGAAATCTGTATAGCAGCCCTTAAAGTGTAACAATCGCCAAAAGACATTTTTCTCTCTATTTTAGGGGTTCCATGTCACTTTACTTAACTCAACATATGAGCTATAAAGAGAAGGTTGAGTTCTGGGAAGGGGTGAAAATAATTTGTGAGCGTTATCATTGTATTATGCAAGTGTGGAAGAACATCAGATAAAAAATGTTCCCTGAAGAGCATGACTCTTCAAATGCCTTTTGAAGAGTGACCGCCCATTTCCCGTAGGTAAAGAGTTAAATTGAGCTAACCAGTTCTGCCCATTGCTTCAGTCGGGTCACTCGTAGATGAAAATCCTTCCCCTGCCGAGATGGTCCGCACCTCCACAGTGTAATTCACCTCTGGGAGAAGGTTATCAAGCAGTAGCTCTGTGGTAGAACTATCAACGACGTCCCAAACGGTGGTCAAGACTTGATCAGCCGGGCGGACCCTAACCTCGTATCCGCTGAGGGAACCAGCTGGAGGCGCTTCCCACTCCGCGAGCAAGGACGAATAGGGCACCGATGTAAGTTCTACTGACACGCTTCCTGGAGGGTTTGGGTCTGAAAAGCAATAATAATTATATGATTTGTAACATTCCTATTATTATGATTATAATATTATAGCAAAAATGACGGTGGTCGTAATGGTGATGATGGTGATGTATTAATGATAATTATAATATCAATAATAATAATGTATAAATACCTATGAATAATAAATGATATCAGTACTACTGCAACTAATACTCCTACTACTACTACTGCCACTACTTCTACCTCTACTACTACTACTATTATCGCCACTACTACAACTTCTTTACTAGTACTACCACTACTGCCACTACGACTACTTCTTTTACTACTACTACTACTACTATTAATACTGTTACTACTACTACAACTACTAACAACAATGTAATTCTATCTTATATGTATCTTTTATAAGGGACCCAAAGTTTGAATAATTTACATTTGCATATCAAATATTGTTGTTCATTAAATGCCTTCAGATGGGAAAAATTAATGATATTAGAGCATTATAATACTTTATAATTAGACCTTACTATTACTTTTGTTTAGGTTTTTTCATGTATTTGCTCTCTCCTGTTTCCTCTGTTTGAATGAATATAGACATGCACAGTACATTAAATGTATTTAATGTTGAATGAAATGAAACAATAACTTGACTAATACATAAAATGGCATTGGTTGTTATCCTGGTTGATCTAGAGCAGTGGTCTTGAAACTCAAAACCAAGTGATACGCTGGTGTCATTTGGTAAGGGATTAGAATCTAATCTTCATTACCCAGTCCTGCATAAGGGACTTAAAATAGCTGGTCCCCTGATTGCTTTAATACTTAATCCCGTCTGTACTAGTTTGGCCAGGAGGGATTAGATCACCCAGCGTGGTCACTGACAGGTAGTTGTCTCATCAACTCAGCCCTCAATTAGCATAAGAAAAAGAGGATCATGGGGAACCAACAGGCACCGCTTAGGCATTGTTTTCTATAAAGAAGGAGCAAGTAGCTGCAAGTAGTGCAGTGGGGCTTTAACACAATGCTTTCTTAGCAGTCAAGTAAACTAAACCCTCATCACCCCAAATATAACCAACAGTAAATCAGAAAAAGAAAATATACCTGTTCTGACTTGAATGGTATCCAAATCTCCTTGTGTACCAGGCACACTTAAAACAAGCGTGTATAACTGACCCGGCGTGAGTTCGTCAAACTCTCCTTCGACATTTGGAAGTACGTGGGGATTTGCAGACTGTAAGTCTGTGCCTATGTTCAGCTGAACAATATACTGGAGGACACTGGGCACTTCACTCAATGTATAGGTGATGGTGTCGGTTGTGATCCTGCGCAAGATGATCTCTCCTGGCTGCGCTGGCACTGAGGTGAAGGAGAAGTTGAATTTAAATTTAAATGAAGAGAGTAGTATTATTATAAAGCAATATTCACATGTTCAAGTGCATCTCCATTTTTCACCGAACACTGCGAGACGTAGAAAAGGTCAATTCAGATATCCAGGACTAAAAAGAGTCATGTTTGCGAGTTCCTAAATATTCACTTTATGTCATGACTAACATCAGGAACTGAAATATATGAATTAATGAAAAGCAGAGCTGCCTTGTGCGACCAAAAAAAGGAATCATGATGGCAAAAAAAAAGGAATTTCAAGCAAAAAAAAGGAATTCATGAAAACAAAACTTACATTCACGCGCGACACACTTCCAATGCAGAAATGTTCATTCCTCATGCTGATTTTCCAAACAAGTAGGGTTTTTTGTTTTGGTTATTTTGGTATTATCGGCATTTCATTCTTTTTGAGAATATTTTTCTCTTCAAGTATGTTTTAAAATTAGTTTTTCTATTGAATTTGTGATGAAATCACCATTTTAGGGCAGTTGGTTGACGTGTGGTATGTAATAAAAAAAAAAAAGGAAAAAAAAAACAAAAAAAAAACACATTTTATAAAGAAAAAACATAATACCGTAATTTGGAGGAAAAAACAGAGTAATTCCGGCAAAAATGGAATGGCAGCTCTGGAAGAGGCAATGGCTGATTACTATTCAAGAGCTTGGCTATACATTCAAACGTTAAACTATAGTCACAAAAGAAGGACGCTTTCAAATCCTTTCACTAATACATTGTTGGACAAGATTGCATGACCATGAAATACAACGTTTTGGTTTGACATTTAATAGAAAATTAATTCTAATCTATTGAATGATACTTTGCACATTCAGGGCAGTCAGTTTTATTCCCTATTGTGCAACTAGCTTTACAAACATTTACCATAAATTAACTTGTTCGATTCATGTACCAATTTAAATTCTTTGTCACATTGTCCTTTTTACTTTTAAGATATCCTGTGAGAAGAAAAAGCTTCATAATAAAAGTGAACTTCTGGAAGAAAAAAAAAATTGTTCCAGAGTTTTGGTAGAGCATGTTGCTGTCTAGTGAATAAAGTGTACAGGTGTTGCAGTCCGGTGGATAAGTCTCAAGGTACAAGGTTCAAATCCCTGTTGCAGTACTAAAGTCCTTTGGCAAGACATACATCTGAATTTACCACACTCCACCCAGGTGAGGTAAATGTGTACCCAGCAGGAATTAATTCCTTACAAGGCTCAAGCGCTGTAAAGGCAACTGTCGGAAAGCCGGAGTAATAATAATGGAGCGCCAGGATTGGTAATGTGCTAGGCATGAGCGCTAGATAAGTCTCCAATATTGTTATAATTATTATTAGAACATGTGAATTTTTATGGAATTTAACACCCTCAGAAGCCTCAGAAGGGGTTAAAGCATGTGTCAATAGATTCTGTCGTCTTACATGTTTCGAACATTCCGCTTACGGCTTTACTGATGCTGGGCATGTTATCCACTCCTGTCACCGCCCTAACGAACACAGTGTACACCTTCTGGGGTAGAAGAGTAACAATGTCCAGAGACAGAGGTCCACTAGCGTCTATCCTAGAAACGGCCGGAGTGGTACCATCGGGAGGAGAATACGTTACTTCGTAAAAGCTGATAGACCCAGGAGAGGCGAACCAAAAGATTGGAATCACGGTGGATGTGGGGCTTCCGAAAATAGCAGACGGAGCAATGGGTCCTAAAGGGATGAGAACATAAGCACTTGATTATTAGACCCACTCATTCACTTATTCAACATGTGTCTTACTAAAGTGACAGGTGTCACTATCGTTGTACAGTCAAACCTGTCTATAGCGGCAACCCAAGGAAAACACAAGCGGTCTTTGAATACAGGTTCCTTTAGTACATGTTTCACTGAGAAACCATATTCAAGGGAAACAAACAAATGTAGGTGGTCAGTAAAGCAGGTCTGGCTGTAGTTATGACAGCAGGTTTGACTGTTGTTATAAAACCAGTGTTTTTCCCCTCCTTTTCAAGCATTATCATTCATCATTCATTACATTTGTTTTACAAATCAGTGCAAAGAAAAAACTCACTTTTGTGAATGTCGTGAATCTGTGTGATATCAAAATTTATTTGACGCTCTATACAATTGCAGAGGGGCAACTCAGTTTAATATATACCAACATTATCATTCTTTAAAAATATTTTAGTCATGCAAAAGATATGAGAATTGTAACTTTTGCAAATGCACAGAGGCATCTCACTTTCTGTAAACTTTCTTGATCCGTTTAAAATCCCACTATAATTCCGCATTATATCAAAGCTTCTTTCATTTTCCATACCAGTAGGTCTAAAGAGAGGCAACTCACTTGTGCGGACATTGACAGTCCTTGGAATAATGGTGTTAGTTAATTCCGTGATCCGTATCGTGTAAAGCGTTCCGGGTACCAAGCCATCGAATGTCTTCTTGACTACAGCTCCGGTGACGAAAGAATTGGATCCTACTTGAGCTGGTGTTCCTGCAAGGTAGATGGCTTCAACGAATCCGCGCCTGTTACCGGTGGCGTAGAAGATGGTAATGTTGTCTGTCGTGGTCTCTTGAACAACGATCTCGTCATCAGGCACGTCATCTACACACAGTCAAGGACAGGGATATAACTCTTTAAATGCAAAACAATTATATCTTCCTGTGCCATACTGTATACTTTATTATGGGATACATGGTATTAATTTCCTAATCAAATGGAAACGCATAGAGATGTTATTTCATAATGTATTATGCGCTCTACAAGAACTGAATATTATTATTATTATTATACATGCACATATACATGGTACATGAATCAAAGCCTTCAAGATATTTAACTGTTTCCATTGCAAGATTAATCTTTACTTCGTCCTTGTTTTCACGAAGTGACGGTAGAGAGGAAAATCGTAACGCAAAGTGAATGCAATTTTTTTTCACTACCGTCACTTCGTGAAAACAGCGACGATTTGTGTTGAAAGGATTGTCATGGAGCAAGTAAAGACCAGAAATGGTTAATCCTGTAAAGCTGATGTGTTTCCTAATGCAATTTTTCTGTCAATTGGTGCCAACTGTTTTGAGCAAAACTGTATCTGAGGCAAACAACCAATCGTGCTGAGAGGCAAAGAAAGCAACTACGGTAAAGTTTTAAAAAGAGTTAAAGACCAAATCTGGATATAAGGAAAATAAGATATTGTACTTGTAAACATAAGCAGGTAAAGCTCAAGACAATTTTACATTTTTATCATTTCAAACTGGTACAGGCTTTAATAGATATCGGTAATGAAATTTGATTCCTTTATGTGGCTGCATGTACTGTATCAAGCCTGATGACAGCTATTGATGCTCACTGTTCTAAATTCTTCTGCAAACTAATCTAGAAAGACAACTAATCTCTCACAAACTGTGAATTCTGCATTCGTCCCAAGAGTTGAATAGGTACTGGAAGGAAAAAAAATCAGTAGCCTAGCTAGGGCTGGGGTAATATTCAAGTGACTTGAGCACCTCAGCGTGGTGGACAAGAGTGTTATAATCCAATATTACATATTATACAACTCACTCCCAGATCCTAATCAAATGATTGGTCATGCATGGTCACGTGTGATTCATTTACTGAGCCTATTGCATGCTTTTTCATGTTTTCATTCGTTCATTATATGATCTATCCGCTCTCGTTGACGCTGTGTGTATCTATCGCTCTCAGCCTAACGGCTTCATGCAATAGATACACACAGCCTGCTCAACTCGAGTGCGGATAGATCGTATTATGAACTCATGCGCATGCATCATTTGTTTAGTATCATATCACATTTTATATTATAATATATTATTACTATTATAATATTATTATCATCATCATCATCATCAGCGGCAGCATCATTCTTATTATCTTACCTGTAATGATGCTACTCTCTAAAGGTTCATCACCCATCTGCTCTGCAAATTGGCCATCCATATCCAGACAAGACGACACGGTTACTAGGTACTCTTTGAGATAGACCAGTCCCTCAAGCTCGTAGACCAGTCTCTCGTTGGGGTAGATGACATCGTTGAAAGAACAGGACATATCTGCGCACTTCACATCAACTTTGTACTGACTGACCTCCGACTCGGCTGCTTCCCATTCGATAGAGAACGAGGTCGAGGTCTTGGAAACCTCCAGATTTGATGGCGATGCTGGGTCTGTGTAATGTATAGTAAACGAAAAAAGTTTACAATGACACAAGTAATTGTTTTATTTTGTATTAATTTATTCTCTCTGCTCTAACATCTTTTTTATCATTATCGCACAACTACTTCCCAATATCTAGCAAAGTGTTAGCCACGTCCCTCCCAGTCCACACGTCAGCCGACATGTCACACATCAATAAATGGTCCATGGTCTGAGGGCCCTCCAAGCATGCACTCACAGTCTGCTGAATGTGTGTCAATGTATCTGGGGGGGGGGGGGTTTCACAAAGATTCTGTGATGAACTTAGCACTAAGTTCGACTTATCAATTATGGAAAGCTGTTAGCATCCATGAAAATATTTTGTAAAAGATATTTTAAAAGTCATAAAATGTTGATTCAAATCATTCATATTTTCTATTATCAAGTAGATTTTTGTTTTTGATGTGGAATTTATACAAAGTCTGTGCAGGTAAACGTAACAAAGGCGAACATAAAAATGATCATCTTCACTTACTCGTTCTAACTTGAGTCACTAGGTTCTGCGATTGACTCAATGAGGTAATAGTGTAAGTAGTAGATGGGTTCAAACCGGTGAAAGTATGAACGGGCCTGTCACCAACATTCACGTTCCTTGCTTCATCATCCTGGGGTTCAATGTTCACTATGATATTGGTGTTTGTGTCTCTCCAGGCCACAGTAATTGAAGTTGAGTTGTAGTCCAACACGACAAAGGCGTCGGCAGCAATCGATACTGAAGATGAAAAAAGTCAATAAATAAATTGTAAATGAAAGAAGATGTGTGGAACAAAAAAAGAACACTTATTATTACTACGTTTTGATTTTTGAAGGCAGTACAAGAGGGTATCTTGAGGAGAACAGAAAGAGCCATGATATGAGAGATGTGTGGTGTGAAACTGTTAGATAGAAAGATCACAAGTGAGAACATGGAAAGATCGGGTCTGAAGGAAACTGTGGTGGAAGTGGTATAGAGAAGTAGATGTAGATGGATTGGTAATGTGTTGAGGAGGGAAGATGATGAACCAGTAAAAAGAGTGTCAGTATTCATTGCAATTCTTTGATTTTGTAGTACCAATCATCTCTTTAAAGCCCCACTGCACTAGTTTGACCAGGAGGGATTATATCTCCCTGCAAGGTCACTGACAGGTAGTTATCTCATCAACTCAGCTCTCAACTATGATAAGAAAAAGAGGATCACGGGGGACCAACGGGCACCGCTTAGGCATTTTTTTCTATATAGAGGGAGCAAGTAGCTACAAGTAGTGCAGTGGGGATTTAAAACTTACATCATCACACACTCCTAGCTTAATTTCTTCCCCATAATTAGATGTTGTATTGCCCTTTAGGTCAGAATTTTTTTTTCCTTTTTTTCCCCCTCCCTCTTTGGGCTGATATTTCTCAGTTTTGAATGCTTTAATATATATTTTTGTATTCATTAAACATTTTTACTTTGTTTAAACGGTAAAAAAAAAAAAAAATTAAAAGCCGACCGTACATTTCAAGATTTTTGGGTTGGTCACAAAGGACAATTCAACATTTTTTTTTAAAACTTCTAATGTAAAAACTCACATGTGGTGGTGTTTATCCTCCTGGTAGGTTCACTGTAGGTGGTGTTGTGTTCTCCACTCACCGCAACGACCTGGAAGTCATACGAAACGTCCGGGGAGAGGCCTTCGACCTTCCATGTCCTCACATCTTGGTCCACCTCCTCCACATCCATGTACGTAATGCCCTCTGTGGGTTTGTAGCTGATGATGAAGCCGGTATACTCCCCAGTCCCTGGAACCCATGTTAAAGTCACTGAGACATAGTCAACAGCGGTAACAGCGAGGAGACCTGGACTTGAAGGCACTAGAAAACAGAACAAGTCAAACATAACACAGGGGTGATAGTGAGTACTAACAACAACAACAAAAAATCCTCAACCACCCCACTTGAGTAAAAAAAAAAAAAGGAATCTGGGGAGAAAAGAAGAAAAAAATCTGGAAAAAAAAGAAGAAGGAAAAAAAAAAAAACAATCAGGAAACCGATTTAAATCAGTTAATTATCAGGCCTGAAAACAACACCAGATCAGACAAATGAGTTCCTTATTAGCAGATTGGGATGAAAATGCACTCGAAAACAAAACAGGGTGGATATTTGCGCTATATAAATATCCAATATTATTATTATTATTATCATAACAACAACAGATCAGACAAATTAGATGCTTGACGTTAGCAGACTGGAAGAGGTAACAATAATAGCGACTTACAGGTACGAACGAGGCCCGTTTCCTGCTGATCTCCTGGGAGAACAAAAACTGTGAGTTCGTAGAGACGTCCTGGGATAGCACCAGTAACATCAGACTGTCTGATGCTGAGGGTATCAAGCTTGGAGCCATCTGATGGACTGTAGGTGGTGATGTAGGTCACATCTGGCACAATGGATGGACCCCACTGGAATCTAAAGCTGGTCGGAGTTCGGTTGATGATGACGATCTCTCCAGGAGCTGGGATTTCTAGAACGGTAAGAACAAGTAAAAACAGTCAGACATAAATATTGCATAATGAAGTTGAACTGTGGAGTGGAAGTATCATAATTATAACCACAATGCTGAAAACACCATACTGTTAGCCATAAAAGCATTTTATTATCATTATTATTCCTCTTAAATATCTGTTCGATAATTTCACCCTCCACACAATGAGGTGAAAAAAGGAAGGAAGATATAGCAGAACTCAAAGAGGATAAAATGTTTATTTCCCCCATCATCAAACCGACAATAAGCCAGAAAGACTCATTTTGGAGTAGATAGGAGGAAAACCGAATTGTGTAAAAAATCTAAGAGACTGAAATGTGTCATCTAAAACCAAAACAAGTTGCTCTTACAATTATCTCAAGCCACTGGGTTTACAACATGTTACATCCTTCGTATATAATATGATTTTCATGAACTTGAATTGATTGAATTAAACAGTGGCGTGAAAGGTGACATGATAATAATATAATAATGTTTTATTTACCCAGGGTAGCCACTTCAGTTATGAAACTGCTCTTCCAGCGTGCCCTGCATAACATAACTACTACCCTTCTCCAATCTAATATGCTGAGCGCCTAGCTAGGAGGCAGAAGGTCCCATTGTTATAAGTCTTTGGTATGACTCGGTCGGGGATTGAACCCACGACCTCCCGTTCATGAGGCGGGCGCTCTAACCACTGAGCCACCATGCCCGTCTATGGGATCTATGGGAAAATCCCAAGAGATTGAATAGTGCCATCTGAAACCAAACAAATATAAATGCTCTTCTTACCTGTTCGCCCCTCCCTAGTAATCACATCGCTGCTCTGGGGGAAACCTCCATCATTAGCCTCGGTAACGAGGTAGATGTTGTAGGTGGTAGCCGTGTTTAGGTTATTGATGGTTGCAGTGGTGACATCGGGTGCAAATCGTCCAACCTCCGTCCTGATTCTATCCCCAATGCTATAGGACAAGATGTACTCATCGAAGACTCCTCCAGCCCTTGGTGGTGCCCACGCCACGTCGATGGATGTTGGGGTACTGTCGGCGACATCGAGATCCAGTGGAGGGTAGGGGGCTGTAGAGAAAGAAGGGAAGCATGCTAAGCTGAACATACATGTACATATGTAACACATTGCATGGGATACTGTAGATTACAGAGATCATCATTTGCTTCTCAACGTAGGGCCCTGCATCTCAGATTTAACATTGTTAAACGATGTCTTTAAGATGACAATTCCTTATCGCACTAGGCTAGGGCACAGTGCCCTTACACAAGACATGTTAGTTGTAAAAGAGAAGTCTACTCTTGGTGAGTGACAATACCTGTTACAGGGTAAACACTCAAATGATGTCAAATTCTCCATGCAAACCGACTTACTATGGACCTTTAAGATCTATTATAGAGTTTCTATACTTATTGTGTTTTCAATTTAATTTTTTATAAACTTTGATCAAAGTAAACCCCTTCATAGCAGAAGTTTCTATTCTCTTTGCTTTTTTTTAACGAAATTAATTTACTTTGTTCAAAGTAAAAATCTGTTTCTTGCAGGATTTAAATGTGATCTTTCGACTTCAAGCAAAAAACACAAGAGCAGAATTTTATGGTATCTTTATGCACAACAAACAGGAGAGTTATCTGAGACTACGTCACAATTCAGTAACCAGATTTCTGACTTGGAGATTGGCATAGGTATAGTGATATCACACTCATAACTTTCTTCTTATTTGTCCGATTTATCTCAAACTTTTGCCATTCTGTTTCTCTCATTTTCCGCTTTAAATGAAATGGTTACAAAGGTTGGATCACCCTGCAAAGAGGCTTACATGTCCTGAATTGTTGATCTGGACCGGTGGCCGTTGTAGTCTGAACGTTTGCAGTATACAGACTTCCAGGTGTTAGCCCCTTCCTCACAGACAACGGTGTTTCTCCTTCCGGAACCGTTTCTGAAGAAGGGATGGGGTTCGCACCACTATCATCCACGGTGATGATGTACGTATCCTCTCCAAGAACTAAACCCCAAGTCAACTGGGCCTCGGTCTCGTTCACAAATCGCACAATGACTTGCAGTGGTAGGATAGGAGCTATATCAAATGAGGAAAAAACAAATTTTCAAATTATCAGGGGTGATAGTTTTGTTTTTTTCACTCAACCACGCCTCCCTTGAGTAAAAAAAAAAGAAAAGAGGATTCGGGGGAGACAAAATGGAATCCAACAACATTCCCCCCATTTTGAGTAGGAAAATTGGGGGAAAATAGGAGAAAAATAGGGGGAAAATAGGGAAGAACAGAAAAAAAATTGGGAAAATAGGGATAAAATCGGGAATAAAAAAATAATCGGGTAAAAAAAAAAAAAAAAAAAAAAAAAATCTGGAAAAGAAAAAAAACAATTGTGAAGAACAAAAATCAGGAATAAAAAAAAAGGGTAATTATCAGGCCTGAGTTGTTTCAATACAAGGTTAACTAGCAGATACAGGATATCTTTCATGAAAGATATTAGGAAGAATACAAATCAAATGTTTTCCATGTCCTTTCAATACAAGTTTTAAAAGCAGAGGCAGAGGTTAGTATGGTTAAAGCAAATCAGTAAAATGACGGTAGGTTGCAGTTGTTGGATAGAGTCTTCATGAAATAAAACAGATGTTTTAAGGTTACTCTAATACAATTTTAAAGGTTACGCAAAGTTTTGGGAAATTTTGAATATTGGGTGGATAGTAATTCTTAAAATTGTTGATATATTTGGATGCCCCTGTGGATGTTTTATAAGCAATAGAAAATGTAGCCTCTAAAACACTTCAGCTTTCGAGAAATTGAATAATAAAAAATACTGGTGCTCCTGGTAAATTTCAAATATTTCAAATAGTGCCTAAGCTTTTTGGTAGCTGCGTACATGAAAATCTCAGAATATGCAGTTTTGATATATAATTTCCAAACAGAAATAGCAAATCGGTCGATTGTAGTCAAGAAACTAACTAAGCTAAAGGAATTTCAGTCTTGAGAGGGAGCTACACAACATAAAGAGATTATTATTTACAATTTCATCACTTTAGACTCAATTTCAACCTTGACAACGATCGTTGAATATTTTAAAATCGCATATGCTTCCCATGTATTCATTTGAACCAATTTCATGACCCCATACCAAACAAAACTTTGTATTGCCTATAACAGCAGACACAATACACCATACCCATATATATATATTTCATTGCGTCTTAACTTTGTACATGGCAGAGGCACACAAATATGTATCATGATATTAAATTTGTTTGCGTAATGTTGTCATTATGATCGCTATCCTTATCATCATTATTATTCTCACTGCACAATAATGATTCTAGATTGTATATACATACCTGTATCAAACATGACTGAGAATGGTGTGCTTGATGTAGCATCTTCACCGGTCCCAGACCACGTTACCACGGTAACTGTATATTGAGAATCAGGGAACAATCCTGACAGGGTAAGGGTGCGTGGTTCATCTGCCCGTACATCAGTGCGTCTTGGAGAATTGCCATTGGGAGGATCATACGCGACTTCGTAATACGACACAACACCAAGGGCGCTATTCCAGTTGAGTGTGATGTTGGTTGATGTGGTGAGGGACGACGTCAACTGAGTGATAGCATTCGGCCCTGGAAACAATTAAGAATATTAGATAGCTTAGACAGATACCGAGATGTGATTGGTTCAGGGCTCGTCATGTGATATCAATTGCGAGGATCGTAATTGTTATATTTTCCTGGCCGGTCACTTTCGATGGTTATGTTCACCAGCTGGTGAAATAAATAAATTTTTAATCAATGCATGTCGCCCTCTTGAGGAACGTATGTCACCAATTACACCAATACCAATGAGGGTCAATTTTTTTTTATCAATATATTTTTTTCTCCAATTTTTTTCTTTCCCCTTGTAATTACCTTTTCCACATTTTTTTTTACCCCCAAAATACCTTTTTTTTTCATAAGAATATTTTTGTTTTCCCCTTGAAATTTTTAAAAATTTTCTCAAATTATATCTAATATTTTTTTTCTCTCACAATTTTGTCTAAAATGTTGTTCATCCTCTGCCAATTCCGGCCAAAAAATTGACCCCCCTCCATCCCTAAATTTTTCAAACCAGGGCTACCGGTATCTAATATAACAGATATTGACTGGCAGGGGGTATATAACATTCTTCAGCAGTCCAAAGAATGTTATATCATACCCCCTGCCAGTCAATATCTGTATAATATTAAACAGTTGGAAGCGAGGCTCCTTACAAGCTTTCATTATGAATTTCATTGTAATGTGTTCATTCAAAATACCAGCTGTCAGTGGCCTTGCAGGGAGGTCTAATTCACCCTGGCCAAATTGGTATAGATGGGCTTTAAGGTTGGATTTTCTTTCAAACATGCCACATGATTTTGGGCCGAGATTTCAAAATCGTACTTACGAGTTCTCTGTGTGATCTCATCGTTGAGGTCGTTGTCACCATTCTGTATTCTAATTGTATAGAGCTCCCCAGCAGTCAGTGAATCCAGAGTGTACTCAGCATACACGATTTCTGGTGATACAGACAGAGTTCTCTGTGTCTGTTGTGTTTCATGTGTAGGTTTGTAGCTGATGAAGAAAGCCAAGGAATTCAAATCAGTTGTCAGCCATACCAGGTTGATGGTAGTAGTCGTCGTTTCACGAACGTCCACGGTTCCTGCGGGGAGTTCATCTGGTTTGAAATAAATAGGAGGAAATGAATTACAAATTGCTATAGAGACTAAACAATGACATTCATAATTAGTGCTTTAGCATTACGTACATCTACAATACAGCTTTAGCAATAATAACAATAACAAAAAGAAATTTAAATAATGATAATATTTAAAACACAATAATAAAAACAGAAAAAAAACAGTTGAATTTGAATCATACATGTAACTGTTTACTAATCCTGTTTTTGAACACACAAAGAAACAAATGGTTTAGTTCTAAATATTACCTGTGACGACGTCGACAAGCTGTACTTGATTGCTCATTTGGAGGGGAAAGCCATCTGCAGCATTGAGGAGAGAACTGATCTCATACATGTAGGTTGTATTAGGATTCAGACCTGTGTCTTCAAATGACAGTGGGGCAGTGGCAAGCAACGTTGCAAGCAACACCCGGTTGCAACACGATGGATTACCAAGGACCCTTGATGTTCCATCACCCTAGACAACATAATGACAAAAATAAAAAAATATTGAAAAAGTCACAGGTACATATACAGTCAAACCTGTCTATAGCAACTGCCCAAGGGAAACACAAAGAATGGCCTTTGAAGACAGGTGGTCTTTGTACACAGGTTCTTTTAGTACATGATTCAATGAGAAAACATTTCAAGGGAAACAACAAATGTGGCCTTTGTAGACAGGTGGTCTTTGTAGACAGGTGGTCACTAAAGCAGGTTTGACTGTAGCTTCAGTTTCGTAAAATTCTCACCTCAAAGACGGACCCTCAGGAAATCCCATATGAGATGCATGTAAATATGCTTACCAGAGTTCTCAAAACCCACCTTTTAAATCAGTTATAGTTTACTGGAGGCGCACACAAGTAGTTAATTCCATTTAACTCAATTGTATTGTATTGTATTAGTAATATTTTATTTTATTTTGTTGCTTTGGGGTATAGAACATGTTGAATAATTATACTAAGTTAGACAGTACCACCTGTGCGCTTAGAAACGTCTGTATAAAGCGCCCTATAAATGTAATTATTATTATTATTATTTATTGGTATATTCATAATATTCTTTACTTTACTCTAAAAGAGCTCTAGACAAGAACATCATGGTATTTTATTGCACTCTTGATTCCATAATCATCATTTACATCAGTCTGTATTCTGTATTTCTATATACATATTAAATTGTACAGGAATGGATTTGTATGACTGGTTACTTCTTATAGGACCAATAACAATTCTGATTCAAGCAATTTTTACCCAATTCTCTGACTCTTCTTGGCTCGCAGTGAATACATACCTAAATACATAAAACTGCTTACATGTACTACAAAATTCTGTGAAATATTTCTCATTGCAATTTAAAAATAATGCTAATGACAAACAACCAACCTCAAAAAGGGAGAGAAATGTACATATTCAGTTAATATTGAAGAGGTGTGTCTTAAAATTCTTTATAGAAGAGTCAGTCAAAGCTGAAATGCCAACAAAAGAAGGAAGTGGGTTCCATATTCAAATAATAACAGTGAAGTAATACTGAAGCTTTTCCTCTTAGACAAAAAAGACAGAAAAGATTAGACAAACAGCATTTCATCCGAAAGTTAACTATCTCAAGCTTTAGACTCAACCCTTCAGAATGTCTTTATTCACCGCTATTCTTTAATGTTGTACCAATCATCTCTTCACTTTTCAATGACTGGAGAAAAGGAAATTAATTTGCTATTTTTCCTAATGGACAGGATCTTATGGCTAAGGACCATGGTAGGCAGACACTAAGGAAGTTACTACAGTAATGATATTAAATATATGAATAGTGGAGTCTTGTATAGTACTCATATTTGGCACATTTTCACTCCTGGGGTTCCATCATTATTACCCCAGCATTAGCATGGCTGCCTTTATAGCACTCAAGCATTTTAAGGATTTTAAGGATTCGAACCCTCAACCTTCGCATCTTCAGTCAAGTGCCTTAAACCACTCAACCCCGACACTCCCACACGACAACCATGTTAGTAATAAACCTCATTACCTGACGATAAATCTGATAAGAGTTAATGGCTTCTGCAGGAACACCAGCACTGAAGCTGAATTCTACTGCAAATCTTCCACCCTCAAGCGAAGTCACTTCACCAGGATTAGGCGGATCTATGTCATAGAGAGAATCAGATTTTCGCACTTAGCATTTCCAGTTCAATGATTTGACTTGATATAATTTGAGCATTTATCACAAATTAATGTTGCATAGAAACAAATAATTCATACATGAACAGTATATACAGACATATTTTGGTGAACGACACAGTAGGTTTTGCTATTAATTGGAGGACTTACAATAGATCTGGTTCCATTTCACAAATACTCTTGTTATGTGGTGAATTATTAAAGTAACAGCAATAATAATTATGATAATGATACTAATCATACTAACAAATAGTTATAATAATAGTAATGATAATGATAATAATAATATCAACAATAATAATAATAATAATAATACAAAATAATTAATTATACTAATAGTATAAGACAGCGCTTACTTGTCCTGACAGAGTCACTGTAAGCCTGATCCGACCTGTAAACCTCAAGATCATAAACAGAGCTAGGTGACAAGCCAGTCAGGGTAAAGGTCAGGGGTTCATTGTCTTGAATGGTCAGATCAGCTCGCCCAGGTACAGCGACACCGTACGGACCGGCAGCGCCACTGATGGGGGCAAACCATGCTTTAATTGACGAGTCTGTCGTTTCAGCAGCAAGGATGGTGTTTGATGCCAGTGGATCTATCGGGGAGGTAGAGAAATCAATATACTCAGGTGAATGGAAGAATCTTTAAATGGAAAAATCCAATCCAAATAGACAACTACTCTAAAAGAAAGCAGAGAAATCAAAGAAGAAAACTGATCTTGAAAGTTTCAATTAAATAAGACTAAATATTGAAAAGTTACGAAATGTCGAAAATTGTAATCGCTTTACGTAAGGGCACTTCAAATTGGCTGAAGCGGCAATGTCAATGTGATATATTGCTGGAATACTTTCCCATCTGTTCCAATATATAAAATGACTAAAAATTAAATTTAAAAAAAATCATGGCTCAGGAGGGATTATTCTTTTTTTAAAGGACTAATAATAATATGGTACCTATAATATATATTTTGAGTAGTGCCCCAAGAGAGAAGGAACTAACAAGTAAAAAGAAATAGTGATATTTTTGGACACAGCAAATGGGAGAGTTATCCACGTCCTATGTCACAATCTACTGACCAAACTACCTATTTGAGGTTTGCATAGATAATAGTGATCTCATATTTCAAACATTCATAACTTCCTTCCTGTTGGTCCGATTCATTTCAAACTATTACCATTCTGTATCAGTTATTTTTCTGCTTTCATACAAATCAGCTTATTAAAAGGGTTGGATTGCCCTTTAAATGTTTTTGTAATAAAGATAATGAACAGTTTATGTATAGCCCATATTACATTATGATATAATGTCCCTATGCTCTTCCAAATAACTGTGGATGTTATTACCCTAGCTTTAGCTCTGTCAGCTGAAATCAGTGCCCAGTTCACTCAGCCAGGTACCCATTTAACACCTCGGGGGAGAGTGGCAAATGAGGATTAAGGTCTTTTCAAAACATGTAAGTGCTACGCTGGGATTAAAACCTTGAGCCCCTGGATTGAGATTTAAGTGAATGAAGCGCTATACCATGTAGGAGTTAGAGGAAGGGGGGGGGGGGGGGACCATGCATCCCTCCTAATAGATATCTGACAGGAAAAATACAAATATTGCCACCTGCATTTTCATACACTGGTACTAAGTAGATTCATAGGGAATCATTTTATAAGTCAATAGTTGTTAGACTGCCCTTTCAATAATACAAACCACGGCCATGAAAACAAAATATGAGCATGAAATAAAAGCTGATTGATGCTCATTATTCAATATTGATTAGATGATAATACTTGAATGAAAAGTGAGAAGAAAATATATACATGAAAGTGCATATTTCTGAAATTAATTCTAACAACAACAAATATCAAACGAGAATCCTTACATACCTGTTGCCCCATTTGTAGTGACCTCTAAACTCTGTTCATCCCCACTAACTGTTACCATACTGAAGCTATATGCTGTATCAGGCTCCAAATTGGTCAGCTCGTAGGTAGTAAGACCAGGATTGACCGTCACTTCAACATTGTCGTCACGTAGCATGTAGGAGATTGTAAAGTTATCTAGTTCAGTGTTTCCGAGAGTCCAACTGAATGTCACCGACAGCGGAGTCGTGCTAAGGACTACCAGGTCGGTCGGGGGCAGCGGTACTGCAAGAACAAACATACAAAAAAAATCATTTATTTCATTTTTTCCATGGGAAAGAAACATAGCCTGCCACAGTGTTTTAAAAGTGTATTGTATATGTCTGTATATGAGTGAAGGAAGCTGATTGCAGCATTCCTTGTTCGTCAATAACGGGAAAAAGCTTGGAAAAGATTAAAATGAATTTCCATTGTGATATAAAGTTGCTTTGGAGTAAAAGTTGATTAGAGGATCATTGGCCATACGTAAAGTTGCATGCAGTTCATGTCCCTTTGAAATGTATTCATCAATGTAGATATACAATTGATATATACAAAAAAAATTAGTAGCGGTAAAACTTACAAGTAGTTTGTAGTGCATGTATGCATTGCCTGAAAATAATATGCATTTAATTTGAACAAACTGTATGAAATTAAATAAACTCAAAGACTATAATTTGTTTTTCTTGAAATGATCTTGAAATGTTATTGAGCCTTTCATCTTCAACTGTATGAAATTAAATAAACTCAAAGACTATAATTTGTTTTTCTTGAAATGATCTTGAAATGTTATTGAGCCTTTCATCTTCTAGTGGCTCCATCAGGTCTGCAAAATCTATTAAGAATATATTGAGTGGACATATTAAATAGATTTGCCCTGAATTGTGTTTCTTGAGAATGATACATATTAAAGCTTACATCTAAAAGTATTAAACAAAGGACCTTATTCAACCATCTTTCATTCTTAAGTTACAAAAAAAATATTTAAAAAATATAGAATTTACAAAGGGTATGAATAATTTTGTTATTAACTGTTCATTGGAAACTTTTTAAAAAAATATAGAGAAATGGCAGCTGACTAACAGCCTTTTCACACACAGCTAAAATTCATCGTTTCTAGAGATGATTAGTATAAACGTGTTTAACTCAACAGTTTTAAACATGTTTATAGAAAATTTTCCCTGTGTGAACATCGTTTATACGATGTTGGGATAGATACGAAGTCGCGATTCATACGCCCCTAAAAGCAGGCTGCAGATACGAAGTTCGTATCTAGAGAGCTTGACATTTTGTGTGTGAAAGGTTATTCTTGTTTAAACGTGTTTCAGACGTGTTTAAACTGGATGGAGCGTGCACTACGATTGATATGGCATGACCTTCAATGCGCAATGGCACTACTGCGCATTTTACGAGCAGAAGTTAATCACGAAACTATAAACGATTGCATCGAAATTTCTGTGTGTGAAAGGCTCGTGATTAGTTTAAACACGTTTCAAACACGTTTATACTAATCATGTTTATAGAATTTTAGCTGTGTGTGAAAAGGCTGCTAGTAACATGTGCGAGTGAACCTCTCCTCAAGATATATTTTTCAACATCCTAGATATTGCTATTCTTTGAATACAAAGTTGATAACTACTCATAATTTACATCACTACCAGATTTGGAATAATAGGTATCATTATGAGTGGCAGCATCCAGAAGAAAAGTGTGAAACCACCACAAATGCCATGGAATACCATGATTTAAGAAGCTTAGCTTCTAAAGTGGTCCTAAACCATTCAGTTTATGATGTAATCAAGTTAAAGTATGTTGATTAATGTATTATTACCAGTCATTTTTTTATGAAACAGATTATATCATGTTTTGTGTGGTTTGAATAAAATGAACTGAAACTGAACTGAAAAAATACCTATATAAATATGTGTAAAAACAAATTAAAAAAAAAAAAAAAAGTTCTATACAAAATCATTACCAGTTCTCTGGGAAGTAGTGTCGTCCTGAGGAGCAGATGAGACAACATCAAGACGAATGTTGTACAAGGCACCAGGCGTGAGGCTTGTCAGTCTACCTCGTCTGGTTCCAGTTAGTTCAAAGTTAGAATTTGTGGTTAGCGGCGAGTAGGTCACGTCGTCGCGGACGAATCCTGCCTCGTCGCTGCTATCTCCCCACACAAAGTCAATGGTGGTAATAGTGTATGCGATGACAAGGATTTGACCGGGGAGGGGTGTCACTACAATGAATAATAATCATAATATTAATAACAATAAGAATACATGAGATATATATAGCGCAATTATCCATTTTAATTAAATGTTCAAGGCGCTTCAAAATATTAGGGAACACATTACATCATGACAAAGAATCGTGTAAATTTACATAAGAAAGAAAATGCAAAAATGAAAGAATGAATGAATGTCTGTCTTCAAAAACGCGAAATTAAACAAATAGGGTTTAAGGTTGCTCTTAAAAGACGTTGAAGATTCAGAGTTCTTCAGCTCCTGTAAAAGTGAATTCCAAAGGGCTGGTCTGGCATGAGCAAAAGCTTGTTCCCCCCAAGATTTTTTTGAAAGCGGTATGTGTAGAAGACCAGAGTTGGAGGATCTTAGGGTACGTGTGGGTTGGTAGAGGTGAACTAAAGATTAGTAGTAATAGTAGTGGCTCTGTGGTACAGCAGTGGTGTCACAAACTGGGAAGTCCTTCAATTGGCAGCACATCAAGAGGTTCGAATATCAATTTTTTATTTTGATTGAAATTTGCAATTTTTCAACTTATTAACAAAATTTGTACCCACATATTGTTTTCAGAGACATCACATTTCATTACAATAATGTAAAATATTCTTGTTGCCAATTGAAAGCACAATATCGTTGCCTGGGTGGCAGAAAGGCGTTAGCTCGAATATCAGGTAAAAAATGAAGCTCTAAGCAGAAGGGCGCTAGCACTAAATCGCCTCAAACTTTTAAAAAAAAATCCAAAAAAATTGTGGCCGTGTTCTACTATGACATTTCTATTAGCCTTTTAAGTTTTGAGCCAATTTTTGGACGGAAAGCAGTTTAAATATAAAACAAATCTTTAAATGCGAATAATTTGAAAAGTACTTTTTGAGTAACTTGCACGCAAACGCCCTTCTGCCAGCCGGGCGACGATATATGAGCAGCAAACAGTCACAAAAAACGTGAAAGGGTTAATGTGCTTACCTGTACTAGCAGTGAGGGTGACAGTGTCACTTCTGACGTTGTCCACACCTACACCAGCTAAAGAGGTGACATGGACATCGTATTCTGTGCTGACCTCCAGTCCGTCTACCGTAGCTGCGGTGACCTCGCCGTCGACGGTCTGCGACCCCGCTGGATTCCCACCAAGAGTGACTTCCATCACGTACTGATCTACCACTGGGAGAGGGGAGTCGGCTGATGGCTTCAATGGACGATCCCACACAGCGGTCAGCGACGTCTGTGTCGTCCTGGCTATCCAAATGCCCACTTCCTGAGGAGGTCGGGGAACTGGAATGGACAGAAGGAATGTTAATTTCAATGTTGTATTGTCAATTGGGATATTTTTATTGCTTACAACCATCACGAAAGATAATTTACTTTACTTAATCCAAATCTAAAAGATAACTGATATGTTATGAGAATATACATGTTATAGACACATTACAATGTATATATATATTATATTATATATAGAGAGAGAGTCCAGTATCTACATTTAATTTGTGTGCTACTAGAATTTAAAATACCAACCTGAAACTTTTTTACCAGGCATTCTATGGGTAAATGGTTAAGGCATATGAAAAAAATGATTGAAAGCAGAAAAACCATGCACTTATGAGTTTGATCCTTTCTTAAACAAGATGCTGTATGTGTATGCCAGCATCCCTTTTCAGTTTTCAGAGAGAAAAGGTAAAAAATTGACAACATACTTGTTGTTATCTGCCTAACTGGGCCTGGAACTTCATTCCTTCTGATAGTGATGCTATAGGTCTGGCCCGGTGTGAGGTTATCTATGTCCACAATCCTGTCGTTTTCCGGGACCAGTAAGTCACCAATACCATCATTGGGGGCTGGAGTGATTGTCACGACGTGACGAAAGGTCGAAGATGGAGCAGTGATGGGTTCAAAAAGAATCTCTATTGAATAACTGGTGCGATTTATCAAAAACACCTCTCCTTCAAGGGCATCCGCTGTATAGAAAAAGAATTCAAGATTCAAGTTTTAGTAGCCATGTACACATTTCAAGACTTAGCATTTCAACATTTTCTATAAAGTATCTTTTGATTCAGAGCCCTAAAAATATAACAGATGAATAAAAAGAAAGGGCAGAAATGTCTTCACACATTGTGTCCATTTTATTGCATGATAACATTGCCTTTGCCAACAAGGATTTTCAAAGGCAAATAATCCTTATATTAGCAGCAAAAGAGGTGAAATCATTGTTAGCTCATAACCAGCGCTCAAAATACACGAGGGCAATGGGCGCTTCGCTCCCGTGAGCTACACAATCGCCCCCGTCAGAGTGCTCACAGGGGCGATTGCAAAAGATCGCCCCCGTGGAATATATGGTAAAAAACAAAAATGAAATCAAAATTATCATTTCAGTTATAACTTTCACACAATATTGAGTTTGAACTTTCAAAGCTTAAACCAATAAAATGGAACTATGGAAGTTCTATTTTAATGGCGTGCAGGATTTCTCGCTCGAATTTTTCGGTGTCTAGAGGCTGCCATATTGTAAAGAAATAAACACCTTTTTCGCCGCGAGATTGCAAGATCCCATCTCCTCACCTCTGTGGGTATTACGGATACAAACAACGGAAGCTTGCACGCTGCCGCCCCATATGTGCTGGAGCTAGAGGCGATCGCGCAAGGACTGAAACATGGAGAAGTTTTTTGTTGTGAAAATCGTGAATCCTTTGAAAATTCATGCAGAACAAATTTCGCATGCAGGAGCAAGCAGTCTTTACAACCGTACACATACCTGTTGTTGTGCTCTCAATCTAATACTTAAATACTGTTTCGGACATGGGGGAGAAGGGTGTGGGAGGGGGACGATTGTTTTAAAAAGATTGCATTTTTCATTTTGTTGTTATTTAATTGCAAAACTTTTGTAGTTATTCTAGCTTCTCTCCCTGAAGGTATTGCATCTCTGCAATATAACTTAAAGGAAACCTCAAGCCAAGAAATAACTTTACTTATCCTGAGAGATTTATTATATTCTTGCCCATTAGGCAAAAAGCAAGAATAATGTACAACTTCTCAGCACGACATGGGTATTGCCTTTTCCTTGATAACGTGACGTACTATGTTAAGTCGTGTATCAAGTAAATGTATTCAAATTTATGGATGCCTCCTAACACTAGGCGTGTGTGGTGATGAAGCATTTCATTCACCTGCTATTGTATTTATATATGAAATAAATTTGTCAACTGCTATATTTTAGTATTTGAAAATTAATTAGTTACAATTGTTCCCCTGTCATATATTTTTAACCAGATATAATTTTCTATCTCCTCATTGAAAGTAAAGGTTTTTCTTATTGCTTTAAAAAGTCTTTCCAATTAAAGCTTAGTGCATGATACATGTACAACTTCAACTGGTATGTCACATTTTCAAGAAAATGGCTCCACCCATGTCTGCTAAAAGGTATCGCATCATGCCAAGAATATCTTCATTTATACATCTCTTGTAAATTTTCATCAGGAATATGTTCCATCAAAGAGCAGGAATACACCTCATTTGTGAGAACACCTACACTTATTATTTGGGGTTGAGGTTTCCTTGTTTGTGTGAATGTTTTGTATTTTGTTAAAGGTACTTTGGTATGGGGTCATGAATTTGGTTCAAATGTACATATTAGAAGCATAATGAGATTTTACAATATTCAATGATCTTTGTCATGGTTGAAATCGAGTCTAAAGAGATGAAACTGTAAATAATAAACTTTTTGTGTTGTATAGCGCCCTCTCAAGACTGATATTACTTTTAATACCTTTAAAACAATGTTTCTTGAATACAATCGACCGATTTGCTATTTGCATATTCTGAGATTTTCATGATCACAGCCACCATGGAATGGCCTTAGGCGCTATTTGAAATATTTGAAATTTACCTGGAGCACCGGTAAATTTGTTATTATTCAATTTCTCGAAAGCAAATGTGTTTTAGGGGCTAAATTTTCTAGTGCTTATAATACATCCTCAGGGGCATCCAAATATATCAAAATTTTAAAGAATTACTATTCATCCAATTTTCAAAATTTCCAAAAAACTTTGCATTACCCGGTACCTTTCATATCAAGATAACTTCAATCTTGTAACCTTAGCTTTATTATATATTTATAGTTGCATTTAAATTGTAAGCAAATAATGAACATGAAATGAAAATGAAAACATACCTGTTGTAAAAGTATTGGACTGGGCAGTGCTCTCGGTCTGATCCTGACTGATACCAGCCACCGCTCTGACCGTCACCAAGTATGTTGTTTGAGGGAAGAGTCTGTTCAACGTCACAGATCGTAGATCAGTGGTCTGCTCTGTCTTCTCAGGGCAGTCGGCCATGTTAAGAGGGGAAACGGTTATGCGGTAGAAATCTGCATTTCCAGTCTCCAGCGGCCATTCGATGAACAGCTCTGTTGATGTCGTCTCTGTCAGTGAGAGTGTCCCTGGTTGTCTGGGAACTGAAAAGAAATAATAATAATAATAATATAAATAATAATAATAATGATAATAATATAAATAAAAGACAGTATTGGTCAAGCTGAGATATTGATGAAATATTAATAAGTCCTGCCAGGTTACCAATCACCTCACCTGGCTCGAGAGAGGCAAATATACATTAATTTCTTCCCACTGAAATTCGAAACCCAAATTCCATGACTTTCCATAAACCATTTTCGCCTTTTCCATGTCAAGTTAAGTACCATATTGGAATGGCTTGACAGCATCCAAGACTTATAGTTATAACATGCCTGTTGTCAGTTCAAACTGGAAAGCTGCCTTGGCCACACACAGCTCACACCCACGATCAATTTCTACAACCTTCCATGACTTGGGGAGATTTTTTTCCTAAATTTCCATGACTTTCTAGAATATTTTTTCCCCATGACGTTACAGTTTTTTCCATGACCCTGGGGACCCTGACTACAGAGCTTACAGTCATTACCTCAGTCAATGGATTCAAGAACTATTCCGTGCGTTGCAGTTAACATTCCCCACTCCCTGGGGAGCATCTCGGCTAGTTCCCCACTATTTTGGGTCGCACATGCTACTCAAATCGGACCTTCGCATATTACTGGGTACCCATTTAGCACCTGAAGTGGAGCAATGTAGATAAAATGCCTGGCTCACTGACATAAGAGCCGTGCCGGGGCTTGAACCCTGCAACCCACCTGTTCTTCCTATTCCACTTGCAGCAGTGAAGCCACTGATGCCTAGTTGGAAAGAGTAGAGTGTTCCGGGCAGCAAGTTCCTGAGAGTTGCAGTATTCCCGCTTGCTGACACAGACTGTTCAGCATCATCTGAGTCTACGCGTCTGAAACGTATCAGCTGACCACTCAGACCCTCAGCATTCCATACAATGTCCAGTGTGGTTGTAGCTCTCCTCTGAACCACTATTGTGTCTTCGGGAACAGGTTCTACGGGAGAAGCAAAAGATAATAATAATAATAATACTCTGTTTTTATATAGCGCTTATTAGAATCACTTTAAGCGCTTCCAATCTTATTACCCCAGGCTATAGCTGTGCTGCCATTGCGGCGCTCTAGCATTTCAAAGAATTAATTCCTGCCAGGTACCCATTTACATTGTCTGGGTTGAGTGTGGCAAATGTAGATCAATGTCTTGCCAAAGGACATAAGTGCCACGATGATCTCAAACCGTGGACCTTGTGATCGACAGTCCGGCGCATAACAACTTGACCACGGCACCTCTACATGATTGTTTGATCCGTAAGTAGAAGGGAGGGACGTAATATTATGTTACAGTCAAACTCTATCAAAGTCAAAGTCTATAAAGGCCACCCAATGGAAACAGGAAAACTGGGCATTGTAGACAAGTATCCTCTCTAGACAGGTTCAACAACACACATTTCTTTCTAAAGAGAACCAATATAGGTGACCACTAAACACAGGTGACATTGATAGAGGTGGCCGCTATAGACAGGTGTAACTGTACTTTTGTATAGAGTAGAGGCATAGAGTGATAAATGTTTTATTTAATCATCCATTTATTTTCAGTTTTAATTTAACCAATTTCGATGAAAAACAGAAATGCAAAAGACTAAATGGAAAGTAATCTTTAGGTCACATTAATTTTCATGCACGAACTTGAGTCATACAGTGTAACCTGTATATAAAGCACGATCAAGAAAAACAAGAAAAGTTGTCTCTATAGCAAGGTGTTCTTTATGCACAGGTTCCTTCAGTACAGGTTTAAATGAGAAACCATATTCAAGGGGAACAAAAAATGTGGTCTTTCTAAACAGGTGGTCACTAAAGCAGGTTTGACTGTAGTTTCTGTTTCAGTGTCCTATCATACTTACTTGTATTGAACTGTATAAAGCTATCATCATCGCCCTCTTGCTCGGGGAAAACCCCTTCCTCCATCAGTTGAGTTTTGACGATAATCTTATAGTACGAGTCTGGGTTCAGGCCCGTCAAGGTATATTCATTCGGGTCACAAGGCTTTGAGAAGACAGTTTCTGTCTCAACTCCTGATGCATCGACATAACTGAGCACATAGCCAGTGACGGTGGCAAGATCATTAGCAGCTCTATCCCACGATACCCTGATAGATGTGGAAGTAATTTCCTGTATGGTGATGTCACCAGGCGATGGTGGATCTGAAAGAAAGTCATCATACGATCCGATGGTAACACTTTTTCTTTCTTTTTTTGGTGGGGGGGGGGGGGAGAAGGGTAAATGTTGCATATATATTTCTTTCATTTTAGTGAAATCAATATTCTAAATGAGTAAGAAAAGTAAAATCTCATGAACAAAGAAATTACATAAATGTTCACAATTCACAAGTGCACAGATATCTGTGTATTTTACACTTTATGTAAAAGTAGTAGGATGACCATGCAATTTGAAAACCATGGGGGTGTTTCACAAAGATCCCAAGTCGAACGTAACTCTAAGTTGGACTTAAATATTATGGAGAGCTATTTGTAGCCTTAAATAAAATATATTAAAAAGCAAAAATTTCAAGTATTTTAGCCTTTTTATAAATTCCACATCAAGAACATGAAATCTCCTTGATAATAGAAAATATGAATTCTTCAAATCAACATTTTATGCCTTTTAAAATAACTTTTACAAAATATTTTCATAGCTGCTAACGACTTTCCATAATTTTTAAGTCCAACTTAGAGACAAGTTCAACTTAGGATCTTTGTGAAACACCCCCCATATCTCATGGTTTGTGATACAGTAACTGAATGACTGTGCAGTATTTTTCCATATCTCATGTTTTAGTGTGCGCAAACATGTAAAACCATAAGTATATGTATGATTACACAAAGGCTAAAACAATGGATATATGAGCGTTGCACTCAGTACATATGCTTCAGTGAGAACAAAAATGTTTTTCTTCCTTTATTATAGTCTTGGAAGTTAATTAGAAAAAAACCTAAGGACGTATAAAAGAAAAATGAGGTAGCAGATATACCATACACTTAATAATAATGATGACTGAATGGCTTTTCTTTCATGAGATACAAAAGTATATTGCACTCTCTTTGAGAATATTTCACCCATCATGCCGAATTGTGTAAATATGCTTATCAGCTCGTGGGATAAACCCTCGTATCCCACTCAAGGCCATTCAATGTTATATAATTATTATACATGTAAATACTGTGGACTTGCCCATGTGCATATACTTGTAGACTGACATCAATATTCAATGCTTGCTTACTTGTTCTGAATGTCCTTATAAGAGGTGGATCTGGAGAAGTTAATGAGCTGATAGTCAAGGTATGTACTTCAGAGGGATCGAGATTATCAAAAGAAGCCACAGGAGAGTTCAACAGCTCATCATTAACTACAGGGCCCTCTGAGTCTTCCAGTGTGGCAACGTATGCCGCTACTTCACCATCCAGCTCCCCAAAGTAAGCATCCACTGTAGTCGATGTCACCGACTCACGGATTGTACAGCACAAAGCGGTCTCTGGATAAAGCAAGATGAGTATTATGATAGTTAAGCACATCCACAATGCAATTGAATACTGAGAATGAATATGAGAATAAATTCATGTATGATCCCTTAGGTCAAAACCAAGATGTATGTCACAACCCAAGCGACAAAACAAATGGAACTAAATTGCTGATTTATATGATTAGATGAACAAGATTCATTTAGTGTTTCAGATTGTACTTATACGCCCTATTTCAGCCAATGCCGTTGTTGGCATTTTCGTGTTGGTTATATTACGCACAACTAGCCGGCCCATGTATTGCTATTCTTAATTAATTAATTAACAGTCACCATATTTTTTTAAAAGTAAAGCTGAATTGGTATGATCGTATTGGCTAAATTTCACACATTTGGGGGTCTAAAATTACCTTCGAAGCAGATTTAGGTCCTGAAAAGACACTGAAAATGTCATAGATAAGAATAAGAGCAATAACCATGCACTTTGAAGGCATTTGAGGTCTGAAAACAGAACTCAACTATCCCTTTAAAAGAGGAACCTAACTGTCTCCACTAACATCTTATCAAATTAACTTATCTAGAATGCAATTACAGAATATACATGTATTACACCCGAGGTATAAACCAAAACTCACAAATCCAGCAACAAACATGATAATACAGCATTAAAAAGGGAAATTCTACCCATTTAATTTGAAATATTTGTGATGATATAGGCCAGGTTTATTTAACTAAGAAATGCAGTAGGTCCATAATAATCTGTTCATCCAGTTTTTTTGTACTGACCTATATGTAGCTAAGGTACTAACAAAGGTGTCATAGTCAAGTGATTTGAGCACTTTATGCTACGGTCACAAAGGTTTGTACGAACGCTAATTTTGTATGAATCTCCGTTTTTCCATTGTCTTCCCGAAAATCATTCGTACAGTGTTCGTAGCAGTTCGGCATTTGTGACCGAGGCTTTACTTGAAATGCCAAGGTCATCGTCCATACGTGAATGAATCTGATTCCCTTGGGTACCAATATCTGCAAAATGCTTTAATAAAGAGTTTATTTCGTTTGAAGCGCAGGGTAAGCCAGGGTAATAATCGGGAGCGCCAGGATCGAGGATCAAATCTGACTGACATGAGCGCTGTACAAGAACCCACAGTTACTATTATTATTATTATTATAAATCCTGATTATTTATCATTATAATCAACATGATATATACAGTAAAACCTGTCTATAAAGACCACCCACTGGAGACAAGAAAAGTGGTCTTCATGGGCAGGTGGTCTCTATGTACAGGTTCCTTCTGTACATGTTTCAATGAGAAACTATTTTCAAGTGAAACAAAAAATGTGGTCTTTGTAGACAGGTGGTCTTTCTATACAGGTGGTCACTAAAGCAGGTTTGACTGTATTTAGAATCTTACGTGTAGTAGCTGATCTAGTTGAAGGACTACTGGTGCGTCTCGCATTCAAATCCTCACTGACAGAGCGTACTTGCACCTCATAGCTGGTAGCAGGCTTCAGGCCTTCGATGACCAAAGTTCTTGTGTCTCCTGGTACATCCTTATACCTAACACCGTCTACACTGACCTCGTAACCATTTACGATGCTGCCTGTGGGAATGCCCCAAGTCACCGTAGCATCAACATACCTTGTCACCACGTTGATAGATGGTGGCTGTAAAGGCACTGTAAGTGGAAATAATAATAATAAAAATAACATTGATTTTAATATATATTGCAGCTACTTACAAATATAACTCTACTAGGCTAGGATGACAACTAAAAAAAAAAAATCACACATAACCAAAACATAGTCTGGAGCTTCTGAAAACCAGAACATCTTCAAGAAGATGGCAACAAATGCAACATTTCTTACGTCTAAAGGTACCAGATAGGTTATTCTAAAGCTTTGGAGCAGCACAACTAAAAGCGCAATCTCCACAAGTTAATTTTGTCTTTGAGTAAGGTAGTTTTAGAAGCAGCTTGTCCTGTGTACTTCATCTTAAATGTGGTGCCTATCTAGCTACCTGTAAATAATATTACCTTACTGTCTTAAATAATTAATTTGAGTGAAATGCACAGCCGACTAATTTTATGCTTATATTTCATCGTTTCAATGCTACATGTATATTTCAGCTTTTATATAAAACAGAACTTCAGATCTCATTGATTTTTTCCTCTACTTCATGTTCAAATAAGTATAGATATCGTCTGTTTGGAGACCGAATACTGAAGTGATGCCCATAATGGCCCTCAATTATTTCCCCTTAACCACGCCCCCCTTGAGTAAAAAAAAAAAAAAGAGGATTCGGGGGGAAAATGCCATCTTACAGCATTCCCCCCTTTTGAGTAAGAAAAATGGGGATAAATGGGGAAGGAAAAAAAATCGGGAAAAAATCTTTTAAAAATCGGGAAACCGATTTAAATCTGGTTTTTATCAGACCTGACAATAGCACCTCCGAAAAGACATTGTACCGCCAGAGGGCGCAATACATACCTGTCCTTGTAGATTTTGTGTACACAGAATCATCACCTCCAACAACATTAAGAGTAAGTGTGTAGCTCTTTCCAGGTATGAGACCGGTGAGGAAGACACGTCGCTCTGCAGCAATGTGAAGTATGGTGCCATCACTTGGAGACCGTGTGGGTAAGAAGGTGACCTCTCCTGTCAAACTGCTGTTGACCCCGTATGCAAATGTGATTGAAGTGGTGTCCACAGTTTGAACAATGATCTGACCGAGCTCCAACGTAGCTGTATGGTTAAAAGGATAAGGGGAATCAAATCAATGACCTGGACATTTCATGCCGGTTGCAGCATTATCAATGGGTATAGAGCACCAAACGTCATATTGGCTCATCGTGGAGGTTACTGGTTCGATCAACAGAGCCTACGCATGAGATTCACCGCAAAATGATTCAAGCAACAGGCTGGAGCAGGGCAAATTCAGTGGTGGGCCGTGGTGTCATCACCACACCATTGTTCAGCACAAAATTGTTTCGAACCAGTAACCTTGACAACCTGGCCAGTATGACGTCACACTCCGGTACTCTATTGAGTTACATACTGTATTGATGACGTGAATGATTTCACCTTGGTGGACTGTGGCAAAGGAAAAAAGAACTTGAACCCTGTACCTGGTGGTTCACAGTCCGGATTCTTATCCACTAGACCACAATACCTCTACTGTTTCACAAATTTTACAATTTGATAAATTACTCACAATTCAGACAAATGATACAACTGATTTAATCCTTTACGAATGGTGAGGGAATAAAAAATGACTTATATGTGGCTTCTTGAACCATGGAGGGTTCACTGACACTTCGTGATGGCCCAGTCCCACTCAACGTCCTCTCATAGATGGTATACAACGTATCTGGGTTAAGAATCTTTACGAATGATGAGGGAATGAAATATGACTTACATGTGGCTTCTTGAACCATGGATGGTTCACTGACACTTCGTGATGGCCCAGTCCCACTTACAGTCCTCACATAGATGGTATACAACGTATCTGGGTTAAGACCCTCGACCCTGTACATGGTGTCATTGACACCGGCAGACCCAGCGGGCACCTCGATGTTGCTCCCGTCTTGGCTGAAGGAAACCTCGTAGCTATCAAAATTGGTGGCAAGAGGAGGTTGTTCCAAACCGACGACAAGTGACACTTGCTCCACGGTGATGATGGTGACAGGTCCTGGACGGTTTGGGTCTACAAAAGAACAAAGGATATTGCTAATCCATGCGGTATCTCAATAAGGGCTAAACATTACTGAGCACAAATGATGTATATCACAAACACAAAAATGCATCAAGCTTTGAAAATGAACATAATGCAGTGAATTTGATACCCTTTTTCCCGATTGTTGATACCCCTAAAGCGATACACGCATACACGTCTGGTGATTATGAACTACACTTTTTACATGTGTTGGTGTACAGGGATGACGTACAGGCCTCAATGAGACAGACTTCCTGGAACACTAACATGATATAAATGTACTTTGCTGCTTACTTGTTGTTGTGATAACACTGTTCGTTCCAATCAGTGATGTAGGAGTTCCTAGCACGAACAAGCTGTAGTGATTTACAGTCAGTTCATACTCCGTCCCAGACTGTAAGCCGTCGAACCAGGCGCTGGGCCGAGTGGAGCCAGATACCATCACCACATCCCCAACCTGTACACCATTTGAAGTCAAAGTCAATATGAAGTAAGATGGCAGGGCAAGGTTAAGTTGTGTCCAGATATACTCAATGGAGCTGTTGGTCCTAGAGAGTACGTAGGTTTGGCCTGGTGTGGTATCTGCATAGAAGAAACAAAGATAATTATACAGAGCTGCCAACCTTGTGCGACCAAAAAGAGGAACCATGATGGCAAAAAAAGGAATTCATTAAAACTAAACTTACAACCAAGCGCGACACACTTCCAATGCAGAAATGTCCATTCTTAATGCTGTTTTTTTTCCATAAAAAATTATTAATTGCAAATAAAGCATGATGAAGTAGTAAATCGATATCTGTAACATTTTCCTTTGCATCATGAAAACCATATACAACACAAATGGGTGAAAATTTAAAATTTCTACAGAACCTTCTAGGTGAGGTCACTTTCCATGACTTTCCAGGTTTTACGACTGTGGCAACCCTGATACATTCTCGACCACACAAAGGAGTTCAGTATATATGTGATCAATGTATTAAATTTAATAGCACATCTACAAATTTAGATACATGTAGGACTAAGATAGCTTTAAAAATGTAGTGGCACGAAAGGCGCACCCGACACACAGAATTTTTGAAATTATGATTTTTTTTTTCCCTTGCACAGATGTAGAACCACATCATTTAGCTTGTAACTGCATATACATCTAGATGAGGTTTAAACCTATCTAGCCTGGGGGGGGGGGGGGTATTTGAACCCCCCTCCCCCCCCCCCCCCCCCGGTTTCAGTGGGGCAAGTTGAAAATAATGTAAAAATTGTACTTACCTAATGTGAAAGTGCGGACAAGGGGTTCGCTCTCCAAGAAGACATCACCGCTCTGATTCTGAACCAGCGAAGACAATGAGAAAGTATAAGGAACCCCAGGCACGAGATTAAGAACTGTTCTGGACCTGTCCACGGGGGCAGCAAACAACTCGGTCTCCCCATCATCTTCTTCCGACGGTGAATACAGGATCTTGTATCCAAAGACGTTGTCTGATGGTACCGGGGGACTCCAGTTGAGAAGGACAGATCGACCGTCGGAGCTGGGAAACACATTCAATACTGTAGGACTTGATGGCACTGAAAAAAAATGAAACCACTGGTCAAAAATTTGAATATGAAAAAGGCTCCATTTGTTATTCTTTGATCTTCAAATCGTTTCTCTCTCATACAGCTGTTCATGCCCTTTACCTCGTTTACATTTTTTTTTCATCACCGTGTAGCTTTTTTAGCGTTGTATATTACTGAGAACGGTACAAAAAGTACCTACTTATTATGACAGTGATGATAGCGTAATATATTACTTAGAAGCCACTACCTCATCATAACTGAATTCAAGACACTTAGTAGTGCAATACTCGTCTCATATTACTCAAAATATTCCCATGATACACCCTTTTTCATTATTAGTAACATCGCCTTTTGGAGACTTTTGCTTGTTTACAAAGCTTTGAATGGTCAAGCCTCAAATTATTTGCCAATTCAAACTTACATGCATTATTCAAAGAAAACAGAAAATAAAATGTACATGTGACATGGAACATTCAACATAAAACGATTATAGGAGAACAAACATATAGGGCATTAACATTCACATTATATGTCTGAATTATTATCCCTTAAATCACATCCAGAAACACATAACTTACAAAGTACACAGGACAAGCTGATTCTAAAGCTACCTAAAAAACGAAAGTAAATCTTGGAGATTGCACTTTCAGTTGTGCTGCTCCAAAGCTTTGGTATAACCTACCACTAGACCCAAGGAAAGCCTCATCCGTTGCAGTCTTCAAAGATTTCTTGGAAGAAGCACATGTTTTTCCGAAGCTTTTGAATAGTTTGTGGTTATGTGGAGGTAAAGAAGCACCATTGGGAGGTTTTTTTTCTTCATCACTACCCAGTAAGGTTATATATAAATAGTTCTTGATACCCTTTAATTCCTTTTGCAGCTCATTTAGGAAGATATACTGGGATGGTAGGTGAGGCGAGTAACTGCAAGGAGTGTCATGAAGTGCAGAAATGGTGTGTGGACAAACCACTTGTCCATTTACAGTATAATATGCTAAGTCCAGTGAAAATAAAAACTGTGCCAGTCAACTTAAACTATAGGAGAGCCTACAGGAGGCTGCATCATGCTAATGAAGGGTTAAGCAGTCTGTATATACCTGCGCTTTATAATTTGATGTAATTATTACTTACATGTTGTTAAGTAGTATTCTTCATTGTCGTCTCCCCAAGAGACCCTCAGCCTGTACGTGGTAGCAGGCGAGAGGCCTGGAATCGTTTGCTCAACAACAGGTGGAAGGGGAGATTCATCATTATAAGCCTGAAACACTGAAGTGACTCGTGTATCATAATCGGTGTAGACAACTATAAAGAGTACCGTTACACTCGGATTTGGAGGGATGAGAGCAAGCGTAACCGATGAGGAGGTTTTCGCAACCTCTGTAACCGTAGTATTGGAAATACCACCTATACAGTAAACAAAAACAGAGAAAAGAAACATGCGTAGTGTGAACAAATTGAGTAAAACACATGAAAAAAGACATACAAATCTCACAAAACATGTTTTAATAACGATGGGGAAAACTTCAGGTAATTTTCTTTCCTTCAAATTTAGAAACAAATAACACTGTTCGGTGGAATTGGATAGTTGTATATCCAAATAATTTACTCATTTAGCACCATTATGCATTTTCACTCAGTAAAAAAAACGTAGGTGTATAATACTGTTAGCTGCCTGCAAGAATGATGTACCGTAACTTCCATGAACTATATTATAGATCTTATGTTCTCCTCACCGGCAGCCAATGGTATCTGAGTATTTTACTTAAAAGCAAGTCAACTTTTAGACAAAATACTCACTGACGAGCATTGTGATGTCACATGGTCTATCCAAAATTATGCACAATTAACGCATCGCATAATAATTCAGAGCAAAAGATAAAATTATTGTGCATGATAACCATATGCTTGCCAATCAAGGCCTCCACAATAATTGGATTAAGTCTGCTTGGGAGCTTGGCAAACTGAAGGTAAAATACTTAGCCAAAATCTTCAACTGAATACTAAAGTTGGCTGAGTATATTATCTAAGACAAAAACTTCGTAAAATACTCATATTTCTAACATAAGTATTGAATGTGCATGTCAATTTGTACCTGTGGTGTGTTCAATCGTTACAGCTCGACTCAAGATTTCAGGGAACTCTGAAAACAGGTACAGTCCCGACCTGACATTCAGTTCATATGCCGTGTCGGATTGGAGGCCTTTGAAAGTGGCCACAAGTGGACTGGTGGCAGGAACATCGCCATCAGGATGAGAAAGTTCGCTACCATCAGGACGTACAAGAGTAGGGCGATAGAATTCAGCACCAGGCGATGAAGTCCAGGTGAAAGTGATCTCCACATCGTTGGATTCATCTTCGTTCACCTCAATTTTAGAAGGTGGTGAGGGCGCTACAATGTAAAAGAAACAGTAATATTTTATCTCCATACAGATAACTTGGCGTTGAGAGACAGGAGAAAGGGTTCTAGGATGTGAAAGAAATGAAGTAAAATTTATCTAAGTACAGGACTCTGAAACCAGGTATCGATGCATCAGCCTTACTACACTGTCTTACAATATAGGAGATCAAAATGAGACAAGTAGTCAGGGCCATTAAGAAACTCAAATTATTTAAAAAAAAATCAAAGAACTTTTAGGTCTACAAAAATCTGCCCAAATTATTTGATGCTTCAAAATGTTGAAATTACATAGAAGACAGTATATCCTTTCAGGGAACACTACGAACTAAAATTTGACCCCCTTAACCGTAAACACTTTAATTGTGCTCTAACTGTAAATCACACCATGTGATGTTTTTGTGGTTTAATGGTGCCTGGTGACAAGTTATCTTTAAAGTTTAAGTCAGTTTTTTAACAAATCTGCCACAGTTTTACCACAGAGTTTTTTCAACCATACTTCAGCGAACTGGACTTAACAGGTTTTTTCTTCTAATAAAACACAGGGAATAACGTGGGTGTAGGACCTTTGTTACGGGCAGTAGTTTTTTGTTCCCCATTTGCTAATCATTTACTAAAACAAGAAAATGATGCAGCAGTTTGCTGTAGGATGTGTGAAAATCCCCTCAGTTTTTCTAATTATTGACAGTCTTTGCATCTTTATATAATCAAATAATCAAATTAATAATCTTAAAACATGTCCGTTTGATTTGATATATTAATTATTCTCTTTTATTTATTGAATGTTCGATCTTAGTCCTGTTCTGTTCATGTGTATAATGCAAATACTCTTATGATTTCATCTTTTGCACACATGTGCCTTGAGCAGTGGATTTGTCAAGTGGATTTGGTGACTTAAATTTGTTAGATATTATAATAAGAATTATTATCATTATAAGCATTAATATTATCACTATTATTGTAATTACCATTATTATCATTATTATTATAATTGTCATTATCATTATCCTTATTACCATTTTCATTGTTATTATTATAATTATTATCTTTATTATTTTTATTATCATTATTGTAATCATTATTTTTATTATTATTATTTTTATCATCATCATTATTATCTTTATCTATATCTTTATCATTATTATTATTTCAATCAATATTTTCATTATTATCATTATTTGTTTAATTGTTATTATAAGTAGTAGTAGTATTGTTATCATTATCATCATTATAATAACTATTGTTATTATTACTATTGATAATATCATCATTATTAATACTGATTTTTGTTGTTGTCAAGGCATAATCAATACCTGTTCTGAAATCTCTCACGATTACACCACTCGGATCGTTGAGGTCGGTCACAGAGACTCTATACAAAGAGGCTGGCACCAGGTTTGTTAGCATCACTCTTGATTCAACCAAACTTTGACTGTCAACTGTGACCGTGAACTGATCAACTACATCAAATATGGTAATGCCGTCCCAGATAGTCCAGATGATAGACACCGTGGTCTCATTTATCATGGTGATTATCATAGTGTCAGCTGGAAGACTCCCTGGTTGTAAAGTAAATTTTCAATCAAATCAAATTCAATCAAATTCAATTCAATTCAACTATATTTTACCTTGCAATAAAAATACAAATGACCAAAATACAAAGATATGTACCCTTTAACACTTATTATCAGCACTATTATTACCAGTAATATTCATGCAATAAGTGCCAGTTTGTATTTGAGGGGGAGGGGTAGGGGTGCAAAGAGTGTCACCTGACATGAACAATGCAGAGTAGGTTGTGATTAGCCGAATGGCAGCACCATCCATCAACAAAATTAAAACGATCCTTTGTAAAAACTGACATCTATCACATGTGTATAATAGTTTTTTTCTACCAAGAAATCACTGGAAGCCTCTAGTTATTAAAAACACCTCTTGAGAAATAAAATTTAGCACAGGGAATCATCTCTGTAGAGTGCAGGAGAGGTGGTGCATGAAAAGCATTATATTAAATCGTTCCCATCCCTTCTACATCATTCTCACGACTTCCTAATCTAATTCAGGAGAGCATATGGAAATAACTTGATGTAGCATTATGGTGTGAATGACTTTCTAAGTGGTTCGTACAACTTACTAAGTGGTAGGACCAACTTACTAAGTGGTGGGTACAACTAAGTGGTGGGTACAACTTACTAAGTGGTGGGACTAACTTACTAAGTGGTGGGTACAACTTACTAAGTGGTGGGTACAACTTACTAAGTGGTGGGACTAACTTACTAAGTGGTGGGTACAACTTACTAAGTGGTGGGACTAACTTACTAAGTGGTGGGACTAACTTACTAAGTTGTGGGACTAACTTACTAAGTGGTGGGACTAACTTACTAAGTGGTGGGTACAACTTACTAAGTGGTGGGACTAACTTACTAAGTGGTGGGATCAACTTACTAAGTGGTGGGTACAACTTACTAAGTGGTGGGTACAACTTACTAAGTGGTATGACCAACTTACCCAATGGGGTTAGTGACTTACTAAGTGGTGTGAACGATTTAATAAGTAGTGGGAATGACATACTAAGTGGTGGAAAAGAATCAGTAACTGGTAAGAATAACTCAATACTAAGTGGTGTGAATGATTAACAAATTGTTGGGAATGACTTACTAAGTGGTGTGAATGACTTCAGTGGTAGAAAAGAATCAGTAACTGGAAAAATAACTTAATACTAAGTGGTGTGAATGACTTACTAAGTGGTGTAAACGATTTAATAAGTGGTGGAAAATAATTAGTAACTTGTGAGAATAATGTAAAACTAAGTGGTGTGAATGAATAACTAATTGGTGGGAACAACTTTAATACAAAGTGGCAGAAATTACATAGTATCAGAACTTTGTTCCTTGAAATCTCCTGGACCCCATACATCTCGGTGAAACATAAAGAGTCAAAAATTGATCTGAGTGAATTTAGGCCATGTAGTGTACTTACTAGTCAAAGTCGTTTGTGAGACTGGCTCACTTTCTTCTGCTAGATCATCAAGTCCTGACACAGACCTCACATCCAAGGTGTACTCAGTGGCCTGGTAAAGTCCTTCCAGCGTGGTACTTGTCACTGTTTTACCAACCATCTTATACTGACTTACTCCATTCATTGGAGTATAAGTAATTCTGTAAATACAATGTTTTGTAGAGGGTCATACCTAATGGTCTTGCTCCAAATTCAAAGGTGTACACATTGATCGTATATATTCTAGCATTATTTTAATACAGTTAAACCTGTCTATAGCGACCGCCCAAGGAAAAAATAAAACGTGGCCTTTGAAGACAGGTTCCTTTAGTACATGATTCAATGAGAAACCATTATCAAGGAAAACAACAAATTTGGCCTTTATAGACAGGTGGGCTTTGTAGACAGGTGGTCACTAAAGCAGGTTTGACTGTACCTGTAAACTGAACATTTCATTTTATTTCTTGATTTCATGTTCTCGCATACACTCAGGGTTAAAATAAAATGCTGTTTCTTTTGAATGGCTGAAATGTACATACATGTATTTCATTTTGTGAAAAACTTTTCATTTGTTTATATAAGTGCAACATGAGAAAAGATACAACACTGAAAATGAATTTTTTTTTTAGAAATTAATTTTTCATCATTACCAGGAAAGACTGATATTTCACCTTACGGTATTAACTTTTTGGTTCCTCACTTCGCCTTTGTTTATGGTTGCTCGTTTACCACAAGTGCCATTTTGCAGAGAATAATTAGCACCAATTGATGGAAAGAATTGGTTTAAACTACACGATGGCTTTGCATATTACCCATTTCAAGTCTAAATGAGCTCCAAGTCAACCCTTCTGACACTGGTACACTATATATCTTGTGGGTCAATACTTTTGTGGCACAGGGAAATTATTTGTTTGGCATGTAAAGATTTATGTTTTTATGAGATACGGAAATGTGAATCGCATGTCATCCTAAACATTAAAAAGATGCAGCAGTTTTGCTGTGTCATATCTGAACAAGCCTTTAGAGTAGACTCCTTTAATAATAATAATAATAATAATCTTTTAGTCCACTCAAAATTTTATTAAACCGAAAAAGGAAATTCTTTTTGCCCAATTGATTGTGAGCCCGGCAGCCACTGAGTAGCGCCAAATCGATGTTGCTCTATCCCCTTATTGTTGAACGCCAAACAAGGTAGCAGCAACTTCCGTCTTTTAACGTCTTTTGGTATGATGCGGCCGGGGTTCGAACCCACGACCTCCCGGTTGTGAGGCGGACGCTCTACTGACTGAGCCAACACACCGGCCAACCTACCTTTGGTCCTCTTCAACTCTCTCACTCTGTCGGCATCCTCGTCGTACAAAACTGATTTCATGTACCAAATTGATTTAATGTACTAAACTGAAGCTGTTATGACTCTATTTTACCATTACTGTACCTATCTATGATTACTTCTTTTTGTAAAGTGATCTGTAAACTTTTCCCAGTAAAAAAAAATTTGAATGAATAATATATGCTTAATTTCAATTTCGATACATACTTAATGGCATCCCATTCTCCTGTCGTTGGTAGCGCCCAGCTAAGCTGAAGGCCTATTGTATCATCCGCATCAAGAGTCTCGACAACCAGTGCTGATGGTGGAGACGGAGCTGATAAAAGTAGATACAATTTTGATGTCAAGCTTTTCAATGGTATTGAAGAATATTCCACTTTTTCTATTGCACCAGCCAAGCACTCCGCTCTTACAGACTTGTTTGATTGTGATGTTTTAAAGCCCGTCTGTACTAGTTTGGGGAGATAGCCAGGGGGATTAGACCTCCCTGCAATGTCACTGACAACCTGTGTATGACATTAATCTATTCCATCATCAATAACTAAGAAAATGGACTTTCAGAAATTTCGAGAGAACTTAATGTCTGAACCTAGCTAGTTTGTCTATATAGCACTTGCTCAGATGATCTGCTCCAAAGCACATACTGGTAACAACAGCTGATTTTTTTAAAGCTACTTTTCAGACTTTCAAGAACATTCTTAATTTACCAATGCAAAGTAGCAAAGTAATTTCTTGCCTTTAAATTTTAGGAATATAAATCAATACATGTATTACAAAAAAAGTGAATAAAAAAATGTTAAAGGAATCTTAACCTCAAGACATTTTCCACTCACCTGTGCGTTGCATCACACTTGATTCTAATTCCCCAGTGATGAGTGATGATGAGATGAGGGTGATAGTATACAACCTCCCTGGAGTAAGCTGCGTGAAGTCAACTTTTCTGCTCAGGATATTTTCTGTACGCTGTCCTTCTAACGGGCTGATAGTGACAGAATACTGAGACGCAGGCACAGCTCCCCAGCTGACTGTGATCGAGGTTGAGGTGATTGACTGAACAGTTACTTCACCAGGGGCAGGTGTAGCTTAAGAACAGAGACAAAGGAGGAAACCAATCAACGATTTGGTTCAACTTTTTGGTAGCTTGGTAAATAGACGGGTTCACTATAATTATACAGATATTGACTGGCAGGGGGTATAATATAATATTCTTTGGACCGCCGAAGGGAGTTATATTTTCTTAAGAGGTTAAATTTCTTAAAGCACGCAGCACTGAGGGAAAATATAACTTATATATCCCCTGCCAGCCAATATCTGTTCTATTAGGTAGCCTGGGTTTGAACATTTAGGGGGATCAATTTTTTTTCTGACAAAAAGTGAAGAACAAAAGATTTGAGAAACATTTTGAGGGAGAAAAAAAATATGCGGAAAAAAAAATTTGAGAAAAATATATAAACAACAAATTCCCCAAAATTCAGACTTTATTAGCTTTCCTCGAAATTGACATAAAAGATTATCAAGATATTTATGATTTGAAATCAAAATCAAATTTTCTCTTTGCCTAACAGTTTTTATAACTCAACAGATTATTGGGTAAATGATTATGGTAAAACCGGTCACTCAAAGATTTTTACTTTTTATGAGGCACTTCATTATCATTTTGAAGCGCAATTTATTTAGGGCTTGAATATTACACCATATTAAAGACAATGATAACACTTAGGGTCATGCATCTCAGAATTGACGTTGTTAAAGGTTGCCTTTAAAACGGGCAATTAAAACGTTAAGTAACTTACGTCTTCATAGTAGGAAAGAAAGAAAAAGAGATAATTATGTGTTCATTCGAATTGAACGCTTGGGTAAGACTGATTTTTTTGCTTTTCGATGTTTGTTCATCAAAAAATGAGGTGAAAAGGAAAGAGGAAAGAAGAATTGATCGACATTGAAAAGGTTGTGAGCAGATCACAGATGTTGTAGAGTGAATTAGAGTTCAGAACATTGTTCCAAAAGGAACTATTTGCATACCTCTGTACAGTAATTCTGAAGGAGAATTTCAAACTACAGTATTCCTTTTTTTTACTACAGTATTCTGTCATATACAATTTTTTTCCAAGTGAAGTACCTGTTGTTACAGAAACTGGGGTGAAATCCATGAGGGCCTGACTTGTCAAATCTGGTGTTAGCAGAAAGGAGTATGCATCCACGCTGTAAGTCTCCCCAGGAATCAAGTTCTCAAAGGTAGCCTGGTAATTAGCTTGGGCTTGAAGGATTTGTTTTGATTCACCGTTAGCTGTGATGACAAAGCCATCGTAGCTACTGTTAACCGGAGGCTCAAGCTCTACGGTGAATGAGAAGAAACCTGCCGATACCTCTGTCACACTGACAGGAGCCTTGGGCACTGGGGAAGGAAATCATCAGAAATGAATAAGTACGTATATGAAGATTGACCTATTGCCAATGAGATACCCCTGTACTAAGCCTATGGGAATTAGAGAATTCAGTATAATCATGGGGTCAAGTTGAGTGCAGTTCATGTAATTGCATTGTGAAAGAGATTTTCACCAGTAACTTTATTAAGACCGCCTCGTAATCGATTGGATTATTGGATAGGGCCGCACAAACATTTAACAACTAAATATTCACACCCTCACCAATTTTGGTAATTTTTCAAATCTAAAAGTATTCAACAAAGGGCCTAACTCAACCAGTCCACCTATCATTCTTGAGTTATAAAAACAAAAACAAAAATTAAATTTGTGAGTGGTATGATAAATTTTGTTGTTAACTGTATAACTAATTTTATTCATGCCTAAAGTTTGTTTTTTACACCATTTTTTGGAATAAAAACAATTAGCTAAGCAAAATACAGTGGCACAAAGGACATATCCGAAACAGAAAATGCATATTACATGTAGTTGAAAATTACAATTTTATAGCATTATGATAGAAACACATGTTTAGGACATGGGACTAATACACATCTAACCATCTATACTACCTGGAATAGAATTTATATTACCCCCAAAAAATGTCAATTAGATATGTCATATTACAACTTTTTATGAACCAATTTTACCAACTATTATGCTGTTTCCGTTCTAGAAACCTTTTTTGTGCCACTATATTTCACTAAAGCTACCTAAGAGTAAACTTGACAGCTTTGAAAGAATTTCACAATTTCCTTTCAGTCCACCTTAATTGACATGCAGTCCTTACTACTGAGTACATTAGAGATCGATTCCTAGCATCAGGCACAGCTAGTATACTTACTGACTACATAAAGGGTTGAAAAATCTTGCAAAACCCTCTGATTATCAAAATTTAATCGATAGCAATTCCTGTTTTTTTTAAATTACCAAACACTTTTCTATAAACATCGTACAAAATGTATACAAAATAATAAGTCAATTTATATAGCGCAGCTACTATTATGAAAACCGCGCTTAATACAAGACATCATATTATTACCCTGGCTGTAGCTGAGCTGTGAATATGGAGCTGTGAATATGAAACTGTGAATATGAAATGCATACAATACTTACAGGTTACAAATGTTGTTGTTGCTGTATCGTTGTCTTTCTCGCTGTTCAACAGTACAGCTGATAGTAGCACATCATAACTTGTACCACCAATCAGGTCTGTGATATCTGCAGTGTAGATGCCCTTTGTAACTGTGATGATCTGAGCCATGCCTCCAGCCGATGGGGTGACTGCTATCTCATATTCGTTTACATCTTGAAGCATGAGATTGGTAGCAGAGAATTCCACTGATGCTCTCGTATCATAGATGTCCACGGCTACAATCTCAAGGACATCCAAAGATTCTGTGGTTGAAACAAATTCAAGATATCCAAGTTAGTCTGATAACCATGACTCTGAAGTGAACAAACTCGTTTTGACCATGCTCAAACTTCATTTCTCCTTTTAGAACACCCTACAACATTTGGGTGTGGTTAATACACATGTGCTGGACCTAAAATCCTCATTACTTTAATGGTCACGTGGGTCTCATAGTCCCTTGATTAACTATCTTTAAATTGTTCCTAGATAATGTTAAATGTATATTATTATTATGAAACTATGATATATTCTCATGTATATTATTTTTGTTTTACTGAAATTGATTAATACATCTAATCCAGAAGGATATTCACTCATGAACGAAAACTTGTCAAAAGTAGTCCTTCTGGATGTGGAGGTATATCAGGCAAGGCCCTGCCGGGCATTTATATCACTGACATTCATGCACTTACACTAAACGCAGCCCGTAGTTTTACCATGCATCAGTTTTTGAAGCTGTCAAGGTGGCCTGTTTTTGTTGCAGTTTATACACATGTATGTAGACTGATAATTGAACATAATATGAATTTTACTTTGCTATAAGTGCAATTATAGGAAGCTTGGGATAGACATTTAAAATGGATAATTAATGCTATATAATAAACTGAATTGTTCAATATTTATTCAGAATGTTGTTGGTGATATTTAATCGCCTTGAATGAGAAGTGTCATGTTTACGGTGTCGTGATATACGAGGCAGTTCAATAATTGTATATTATGTAATGAGATGTTTTATTCACCATCAGATGGAATGTGCATAGGCGTGTAAAATATATTCTTTTTTTTTAGATTTTTGGGATTTATGAGTAGTCTGTAAGTATCATACTCAGTTAAGGTAGAATGTGGATTTTACAACAAATATTGATTTAATAGATGATGAAGTCTATAGTAGATAATTGATGTTTTTCTTTTCTACTGTAGCTGAGGTGTGATGTTCTTTACGAGCTGCAAATCATAGGTACAGCTGAGATGACATAGTTTTATTTTGACCTGTGTGACACTCTAGGGTGAGTTACGTATGATTATCTATGCTATGTATGTACCATTATTTTTGGTTTATCAATTGCATATTAATAAATAAAAACTGTACTTATGAAAACTGTATTTGTCCTTGAAAGAAATCTGATCACTGTTTATAAGATGATGAATTGCATGATTTTGTGCTGTGATCATTGTTCTCCTGATGCTTTTTGTATCATCTGCTGTACAAGGCAGGGGGTTTCGTTTTTCCATTTATTTACCAATAAACACGTTCATATTTTCTTGTTATATTTTATTATTTTTATTGTGAACTATGCACCGTTCAGCATTATTTTATTTCATTTTATTTCATTTCATTATTGTGTCCATATAGGATAATTTTGATTACATTAACAATCTTGCTTCAACATATGAACATAGGAACAACATATAATTGACAATCATAAGTACTTGATTAAATACATGTGAAGTGCAAACATATACTTCATGTTTGTCTGAATTATGTGCCAAAGCATGATTGTTTTTATGAATATATACCATTTTGACCAGCAGTTTTAGAAAATACAAAAAGGTAAAGGAACTGGGCATACTTAGAATCATTAGGTCATTGCTTCAGGTCAGGTGGTTGCATTCCCTGACCTTTTGTGAAAACCTGCCAGTAATTTATTTACGAAATGTCTGGGGTCGTGTTTGTGTAATAAACTCCTCTCATCTACAAATGGTCTGGTCTAATTTACCCGACACTTTGTGAAAACCCTACGACAAATCTATGAACGGTTGCATGATCTTCCGCTTTCTTTTCACACAGTCTTGTAATGCGACCACCCCACCAGACCAGGGGGGTGTTACACAAAGATCCTAAGTAGAATTTAACTCTAAGTTGGACTTTAAAATTATGGAGAGCCATGTGTAACCTTAGAATAAAATATATTCAAAAACAGAAAATCAAGTATTTTAGACTTTAAAAAAATTCCATATCAAGAACATTACATCTCCTTGATAGTAGAAAATATGAAAGATTTGTTTCAACATTTTATGCCTTTTAAATTAACTTATGCTAAATATTTTTAAATATGCTAACAGTTTCCCATGATTGTTAAGTCCAACTTAGGATCTTTGTGAAACACCCCCCAGATGACTCAAGTAAGCCAAGGGACTGACCTGTGGTTGTGACGATTTCAAAAGGAGTACCGAATGTCTGGCAGTTATCAGCTTGTCCTGATAGACTCAACACCTGGATATCATAGACAGTCCCTGGTCGAAGGCTTCGGACAGTATACACCTGATCGTTCACGATGATGGGGTAATTCCCAGGCGAGGGTGGAGGGAGCACCCTCACTTCAAAGCCATCAGATCTAGCATTGTCAGGAATGTCCCATATTAGGGCAATCGATGTAAGGTCAACCGAGGTCATCTGGGCAAATGTTACTGCTTCAGGCACTGCATTGAAGATAGTGATCAAGAAACATGTCTGATTTAAAAATGTCAATGTTAGTGGAGGTGTTGTGGTGTATGGGTTTGTTCACTTGTTTCTAAATCCAAAGATTGAGGTTCAAATCCCGGCATGGCACTCACGTCCTTTGGCAAGACATTTATACACATTTGCCACTCTCCCCGAACACTTAACAATGGGTACCTAGCAATTGTGAGGTAATAATAATTGGAAAAGCCATCAATAAGACAGCATTGATGGTGATGAGGCTTCTCTTGGTAATCAACAGTAATATAAAGTTCTGGGTCCTGTCTTATAAAGAGTTGCAATTGATGGCAAAGGACTCACATGGATGCACTGAGCCATGTGTTATAAGGTACAGAAATGTGATAAGTATCACACTTTACATAATCATTAAAAAAATGGGATGGTTTTGCTGAGTCATATCAGAATGAGCCCTTAGGCAGGTTTGACTTTACTTACATGATCGCACATCCTTGAGATTTGTTTCAATGATGATTTCACCACTACTAATCGCCTCTATTGTCACTTGATACAACGTTGCAGGCTGCACATTGAATGTGTGTGTGGTGGTCCGATCAGCCGTAACGTAACTCGCTTCCTCTAATATGACATCGGTATCTTTCTCTTGGATAAAGATGTGATGGGTGTATGGAGTGAACTCTGTCCACGATATTGCGATGGTATTTGCAGTAATCTCAGTAACGACAGGAGATGCTCGCAATCCTGTGTTTTTCATGAAAATGAAATGAATAAACAAATTAAACTGAACTGAACTAAACTGAAATAATAACCTGGATATACATGGTGCTTAATACAAATATTGTCCCTAAACACTTTACAGATATTATTACCCCAGTCATCAGATTCAATACACGCACAATGTGCACCATTTCCACTCCCTGGGGAGTATTGCTATCATATGGTCAACATGAGGGGTATAAGGCAATTACTACACAAAAGCTTTCATCATCCTACAGGGTCTCTATTTCTGTCCTGGGTGTGGTGTGGCAAATGTAGATTATGCCATTGACATTGTGAAAGAAACCTTCTGCAGCGTATGTGATATAATGATTGTTTACCGGTACTAGCAGGGTTGCAGGTCTGCATGTATGTGACCATACCAAAGTGAGTAAAATTTGCTGAAAAGATTTTACAATGAAAACTCTTTGCACAGATATGTGTATATCGGGTTTCACATACATGTTACCTTCCCATTTTGGTGAAGAGTTTCGAACTATCATTAATTACACACATGTGTCTGGAATATGAGGGAGTTTCAGGAGAAACCTTTTTCATGTGGCATTGCAACTATAACATAATTCAACAAAGGAATATCTTTAGAAAAAATGAGAATACTCATAGATGCAACAACTACCAAAATTAAACTTTCTCTTTATTGAAATAAAATATTAAACTCTGTCAGTGAGTTTACATTTCTTCTCATATTCGAAGGGTTCTGATACAGGGTAAGGGGGTTATGTTTACCAGTCAGTGTAAAAGTTGACTTCTCCCTCACATCACTTCTCTGTGACAATCCTCCAGCATAGACCACAGCATATACCCTGACCGGGTATGAGGTAGATTGTTGTAGAAACTCTATCTTCTTCTCAGAGACTGATGGAAGGATGTACGCTATGCCCTCCGTACCATACTCTATTTCAATGATGTCGACAAGACCATTCCCTGGATTGATACCAGATACTGTCAATGTGTCAATTGTCGCTGTCAGACTGAAGTCAGATACTTGTTCAGGCTCTGCAAAGAAAGATATTGGAAAACCAAAGGTTTACGTCATACTGGCCATGTTGTCAAGGTTGCTGATTCCAAACAATTAAGTGCTAAACAATGGCGTGGAGATCACACACATCCAAACACTGAAGTTGCCCTGCTCCATTGCTAGAATTATTTTACAGTGAACCTCACGTGCAGGCTCTGATGCTTGGAACCAGTAAACTGGACGAGTGAATATGATATTGGCACTTCGGTACTCTATAAAGTTCAAGTTCAATTGCAGGAAAAAATGTCAATATTTATCAAGCTGTTTGTTGAGAAATTATTCATTGCACTTTCAATTTCGTAAGAACAAAGTTAATGCATGTTTTACATTAGGAAACAGGACATCCTGAGAACCAAGTTTCATTTCGATGCATTGCATGATGATAAATATGCATATCAGAAAATGTCAAATTTTCATGTTCCATTTTCTTTTCTTTTTTCCTTCTTATTGTTTAGTTCTTCTTAGTCTCGGGGACTCTGCTGAGGATCATGGGAAAGGTATTTGTGTGCCCAGCCCCCCCCCCCCCCAACATTAAAGTGTATTGAACTATTCCTCTGCAAGGCAACGAATCTCAGACTGAAAGGCATTATAAAATGGGAGAACTTCCTTTCAATTTTTGCTTTAGAGCCATTGCTTACAGGAACCAGATGTGTAAAGCTTGTATAATTATTAGAAGTCTACAGGTTACAGGAGCACAGTCATCACACACAAAAGGATATAATTATTCTGTTTTTATTTACTAATGTAAAGGGCTTTGAGCATGTTTATGTAAAGGCGCTATATAAATATCAATATGTATGTATGTATGTATTTCAAATAGTTTTCATAATAAATGAATTGCTATGAATACAGAAACCCATCCAATATATCCCTCATTTGGTGTTTATGAAAGAAATAAATACTTCCATTGTAGAGCCGGTCTACATGAAGTTGGATACATGATATCCCATTTTGCCCTCAATTAAACTTAGGCAAAGGCACAGAGATATCGAGCTCATGGAGAAGAATGTGAAATTTGCTACATTAAAGTCACACACAGTAATTGGTAAATAGGGAGCCTATGACATCACAGCTGCATGGCAGAGTTGCCAATTTGTCTCCATTACTTCAATAGCGATCTCCATATCACCCAAACATTCATAACTTGATAAATAATTGTCTGATATGCCTCAAAATTTTGTTCAATCAGTTTCTCAGAGTTTTTTCCTTTTTTAAAGTAAGTTATTTGGTGATTATTATATATTTTTTTAAACCTCTTCCCTTCCCCTTGGGATCTCGGCCATGGAGTGATGAACAATTCTGAGACTTAGGACGAAGATTGTGTATCCCATTGAGAATAAGCCCATGGGTTTTCATATACCGGTATATATATATATATATACAGTCAAACCTGTCTATAGCGACCGCCTAATGGAAACACAAAAAGTGGTCTTTGTAGACAGGTGGTCTTTGTAGACAGGTTCCTTAAGTGCATGTTTCAATGAGAAACCATTTTCAAGGGAAACAAAAAATGTGGCCCTTGTAGACAGGTGGTCACTAAAGCAGGTTTGACTGTATTATACATATGTCAAATAGTTCTTAGATTATTGCTCATCAACTATTCACATATTTTGAAAATTCAGCATTGTGTACAATATACATAGGGAGGAAGGGCATGGAGGAGCCTGGATTATCCCCCTCTCCCCTCATGCCCCTTTTAGGGTTAAGTAGCCAATGGATTACATGACAAGAATACTTACTGAGCAAGACATCTTGAGAGCCGACCAATAAAGTTCCCCCACTAGAAGTCAGAGCAAATACAGTCACTTGGAGAAGAGATCCCGGTTGATAGTCAGTAAGTGACTGATATGGTAAAGTTGGAAATTGTTGAGAATCATCATGTATGCCATCATAAATTTCGTAGATAAGTGCATCAGCCACAGCCTCAAAAGACAATACAAAACTAGTTGTGGTTAGACTGGTGAAAGTGAATGTTCTTGGATCTGAAAAAAGGTGAAATAGGCAATAAATGATCATTTTGAAAAGAAATGTACAGTAAATGATATTAACAATAATAGCAATAATAATAATATATTAAACAAATTAATACTAATCTTAATATCCATAATAACAAAAACAATAACAATAAAGACGACAATCACACAAATAATAATAATTGTAATAATAATGACAATAATAATAATAATATTGATGATAATAATAACAATAAAATAATGATAATGAAAATAATAGTAATACTACCACAGACCCATGTACTTTTTAGCTGGGTTGACAGTGGCAGACACAGATTTATGCTTTGGCAAAGCACACAATCATATTGGACTAGAAATTCAATTGATAATACTAAAAGTATCATGTAGGATTTTCGGGGATAAGAAAATGATTGGTTAAATTGTGCCTAAATATATATTGTTTCTAAAAAAAAGCACATTTAAAAGATTACAAAAAAATATGTTAATTTGTTTCGGTTTTAAATGTAAAGCTTTATCTCTTTGGAATTCCCATTTATTCATTGAGCCGCTTCCTAAGTGAAGGCAAATATAGAAATGATTGGTACTACAAAATTTAAAAAATAGCACCGGAAGCAGACATACTACAGCTTTTTGTCTTGCCCATATCAGAGTAAATTGCAAGAATCGTCTTTTAGCTTCAGCTTCAGCTTTGTGATCATTCTTGCTATTTACTCCAATGCAGGCAAGACAAAAGCTGTAGTATGTCCGTTTTCGTTGCCAATATTCAAAGACAAATGTTTATGCCATTGATATTTCCTAACTCCCCCAATACAACCACACAACATAATATGGTATTGGCAAAATCCATAAAAGATGCCAAATACAAGTGTTTTTCTTTTAATTCTACAAGAGATATGATATATCAGCCAATATTAGTCTTATGAGTCAAGTTTCCCATTGAGTCTAATTAAGGCTTGCATAAATACTCCTTTATATAAACTGCAGCGGATTACCAATGGGAAGTATTTCAAGCATATTGTAGCATACAGCACTTCACATGTTTTAATCTCACACCCACCACACAGATAGGTGAGTATGCATATAGTTGCGTGCAGCTACTTTTTTCATCCCTCTGTTCTTGCCATTCATTTACTAGACATAAGAATAGGCTACAGAAAAGCGCGGGACATGTGACTACCCTTCACGCCAGTGCAATCACTTACCAGTGGTGACTTGTACAGTTGCTGGGTAACTCTCTTCTTCTAATGCCTCATCTCTAGCTACAGCAGTCACAGTCACATCATACTCCGTTGAAGGCTGAACATTATCAAAAACATAACTAGTATCCAAGCCTGCAATTATCAAAAGGGACGTTTCGGCGCCACCCGCTGGTGGGATGAGGCGAAGTCGGTAACTAGACACTCCCCCGTCAACCGGTTGCCAAGTTACAGTGATAGCTGGAGATTCATCGGAGGAAACAGCAGCTACAGAAGTCGGTGTGTTTGGTACTGAAAGAATACAATTTTAAAAAAAATCATTCAATAGATTCTTTATTTATTTATTTATTTATTTATTCGTTTTATTTAAACAGGGTAACTCTTTCAGTATTAATACTGCTTTTCTGTGAGGCCCTGTACACAAAAAATGATTACAAATACATGAAATAACAAACAGTGTTAAAAGACGTATACATGATACAACTCCTATATCTACTTTTGCTCCTACAGTTGAGCACTGTCAGAAATTGCAGTTTACTAAACTTGCTTACATGATTTTATATATATCAGGATTATTTGTTTGTTTTGTTTATAGTTATTATATAACCCGATACTATACAACAACAAAAAACAAAACAAGACATTTGACAAAGCAATATTTGTCCAGTTGATAATCTAATATTAAATTTCTTAAATAAAAGCAACTGAAGTGTTAATCATAAATCTTACGCTATATCACATAAGAAATGTGAGGCTTACGTGTTTGCACCATCTGTGAGGTGGTGACAGCACTTTGACCAGCACGAGATATTCTAAGGGTTACATCATAGACTGTGCCAGGTGTCAAATTCAGGAAGGTGAACTGTCCAGTTGTTTCATCACCATTAGTTACGGGTCCGTTTTGCTCAGTCGCGGTTGCGGTGTTGGTACCCCCAATCTGAGCAAACTTGATGATGATAGAGTTGGTTGTCTTGGAGAAGACATAGAAACTGGCATCAGCTCCTCTCTCTGTAAGAATAACAAGACACTTCAGTAAGTTCCAAACTAGAAAAATTTTCTTATTCAGGGACTACTATTTTTGCGACAAAAGAGAAATTCCTTAAGAGTACATGTACTTGTATTTCAATGAATCTTGATCACTCAAAAAGAATTGCTACAGTTGTATCCAAGTAGAGGTTTCTGGTATCACAAAAACATTCTTCAGCTACCATTTTCTTTTTTCTATTTGTGAAAAAATGCATTTTCTGATTGTCTGTAATATTTTTTTCCTCCCGAACAGCACGCTCTGTCTGTTGTCAAAAGTGTACTTCAGCGCTTAGTAGGTTGGCATCTAATTTTTTGTTGTACTGAGCGGGGCGGGAAGATTCGCCGGCTGTTCATCACGTTTGAGATTGCATTTAATAGTGAATATGCAATGGACACAGCTGAAGTATCAATCCAATAATAAACAGGACTTGTCGAGTTCTTTATCCTGCTCATTGTGACTTAACTAACTGAAGAACCATCTACTATAAGCAATGAAAGAAAAAAAAGTCATATCGATTGGATGAAAAGTTCGGTTTCAAATAAATATAAAAAAAATCACCTGTAGTAATAGATCTGGTGGTGCGAGAGCTGATGGTAGTTCCATCATTCACTGTGGACACCACGTTCACTGTATACACAGTGCCAGGGGTAAGGCCAGTGATAGTTGTCTGAGTGGAAGATGCTTCCGCTGTGATGGGGGACGGTTCATTCCCATCGAATCCTACCGATTCCCCTGCGTAGGTGATGAGGTAACCATCATATAATCCGGAGGAAGGAGCATCGTATTCCACCAAGACAGAACTTGTATCAGGGTCACCTAATGTAAGGCCTACACCTTGAGGTACTTCAGGGTCTGTAAAAGTTTGATAAGAATAAAGAAATCAGTATGAAGCAGTAGCCTCTTTCGTTCCTACTTCTTCTTGTTTTCTTCTCAGTGCTAGATCTAGGGGGGCAAGGGAGCAATGTGCCCCCACCCCACCCTTTCCCAACAATTAGAAAGAAGGGGGGAATAGGGAGTTCGAAGAGGGCTGAAGGCTAGTCGTTTTCTCCTTAATTTTTCTTGGCTTGTCACAGGATTTTGTAGCTAAAACAGCACATCAAAAGCTTGATGACTTATTTCTTTCTTCTAGTCGAAGAAATTTCTGACTTTTGCCCCTTGCCCCTCGCTGCTTCTTGTCACCTTTAATACTAAGAAAGCCGCATTATTTTGGTGCTTTCTCACCCTAGGGATCTCGGCCAGAGGATTACCGAAAATCCTGAAACTTGACATAAAGATGGGGTATCTCATAAAGAATAAGCCCATGAAGTTTTATATCTATACCGGTACCTCAAATGTTTTTTAAATTATCGCTAACGAACTATTCATATAATCCACCAAGTGACAATTCTGCATTGTGTACAGTACATGTGGGGAAATTTGAGAAACTACATTGGATGACTGGTGAAGGTTTTTAAATTGAATAGCAAAAGGTGGTAAAACAAAATACCTGCATGCAACAAAGGTCCTATATGTACATCAATTGATATTCATTAGTTCCCCATTAGGACGATTTGCTAACTTTGAATGTTAGGCTTCCTTTGGGTAATTTCAATTTCCAAAGAAATTTTGACTTGCACCCAGTAAATAAAGATGTTGTGCTCAATATACTCATAATTTTTTAACGCGTTGTCGTTTACCAGCTCATACATGTATGCAAACGAGCCTTACAATTTAGAACGACAGTTAAATCAAGCAATATATAATATTGTGCCTTATTCTCAAACTTAAATGTATTCTGTAAACTTGTTTTATTACAAACATACTTATCAGTATTTCGTTACGTTTATAATTCTATTATTTATTGTAATACTGTATGGTTTATATATGTCATTTAACTTGTGGATATTTGAGTGGAAAATAAATCAAACAAAATCAAATCAAATCAAGACGACAGACTTACATGTGAAGAATGTTACTTGATCCACATTGGCAGAATTTACTGTGATGGTGATTGTGTATTCCTGCCCTGGCGTCAAGTCTTCCAGAATTGTCATACCTTCATCTCCTTGAGATCCAGAAATAAATGAGCCATCACTAGGAGTGTATTCAATCCTCTGTGTGTCTGATGTTCCTAAGACACGCACTGAGGTTGTGGTGATTGTACCTAACGAAATAACGGCTGGGACTGTAAGGAAAAGGGAGAAAAAAATGACACATGAACACACGAGTGACAAAAGACAATTTAAACCGGTTATAGTGAAGAATTGAACTCTTAGGGATTTTAATTATCATTTGTAGATATTACAGTGATAGAGGATTTTCAAGATTGAATTATTTGTTATATATATATATATATATAGATATATACATAAAAAGATGATCATTATGCATTGTTGCAAACCAATAAACAGCTCTTACTATTCACCTCACCTGGGTTAAGGGTGGCAAAAGTAGATTACTGTTCTGACAAAGAATGTTGGTGCCCTGGCAGGGACTCAAACCCTGTACTTTGTGATCCATGATTAAGTGACCTCTCCACTGGACCACAACACTTCTACATCATTCTCATTATAGTAAATAGATCTTTGATTATTTCTATCAGACCAACTTTTACTCCTGATAGATGCCATATTGTACTAGTGCCATCTCAGGTAAGCTGTAGCAGTACGGTCCCTTATTAAACTCGCTGCTTTCCTAGCTACGCTGTTGACTCTCTAATCGAGTCCTTAATATGCAAAGTGGGAATTGGGCAATGGTTTACGTACTGTTGGCAAATTGACCATGAGATGGCACTGCCATAAACAGTATTCAAGGGCAAAAAGTTCATTGGTTCAGTATCGCTTTAACATGTATTCTGTCTACTTACGTGTCTCAAAATCAACACTTTGTTCTCCACTCTGGCTAGTTAATCCCTGTTGGGTTGATTCAGCAAAAATAACGACAGAGTACAATGTTTCTGGCTCCAATTCCGTAAGATCCACTGACAAATCAGCTGTGCGCATTTCAACGATCACATTTTCGCCCGAAGCTGGACAGACAAAAAGAAGGGGAATGCCATATATAACACCATGAGAAGAAAAGACAAATAACAAATTCCTCATTAATGGAATGCATTTAAAATGACAGCCAATATTTAAATGTCATCAGTAGTAGTAATAGTAGCGGTATTAGTCATAGTAGTAGTAGCAGTAGAAAAAGAAGTAGTGGTAGTAGTGATGGTAGCGGTAGTAGTAGTATTAGTAGCAGCAGTAACAGTAGTAGTAGAAGTAGCAGCAGTAGTAGTAGTAGTAGTCGTAGTAGAAGTACTAGTGGTAGAAGTAGTAGTAGTAGTAGTAAAAGTTGTAGCAGTAGTAGTAGTAGTAGAAGTACTAGTGGTAGTAGTAGTAGTAGTAGTGGTAGTAGTAGTAGTAGCAGTAGTAGTAGTAGTCGTAGTAGTAGTAGTAGAAATACTAGTGGTAGTAGTAGTAGTGGTAGTAGTAATGATAGAAGTAGTAGTATTACAAGTAGTAGCAGTAGTAGTAGCAGTAGTAGAAGTAGTAGTAGTAGTAGTAGTAGTAGTAAAAGTAGTAGAAGATTTGTGAGTCTGAGTCTCGGTCTTATGTTTTTGATCTTGGTCTTGGCCTTTGAGAAAAAATATGCTACGATCGTTTAGGTTTGGCCCTTGAATTACAAAGCCCTAAATGTTAGACATTAATTGCAGCTCATGCTCTGTGTTGGTTTGTTACATTTGCATTTACGTTTTCTCAATAAAAAAAGTAAAAAATACTTACACACTGTGAAACTATATTCGTCAGCACCAGATGAAGCACCCCAAGATAATGTAGCACTTCGTGGAAGAACATTGCTTGGTGAAATAGGGCCTGGAGGGGAGGGATCTAAAAAGAAATCAAGATAGTATGCAACAATCACTTGCTTGGGTACTAAGAACAGCAAAATATTATTCAGAAGAATACATATATTTACATAGTAAACAAACTGGTGACCCTAGATGTCTTGATGTCTGGTTTCTCTTTTACCAAAACTGAACATTAGGTTGTGGACAAGTTAATGATAATAATAATAATATTAGTAATAATAGTGATAGCTATAGTTATAGTGATATCAATATCAATAAAACAATAATGATACTAGTACAAATAATGATAATAATAATATCAATAATAATAACTAGAAATATCGCAATCCGAATTGCAATGCAACGCGAATGTATCCGCTGGCAGTGGCAGTGATTTTGTATCAATTCAGCTTTTATTTTATTATTGAAGAAAAAAATATTATCTAAAGATCATAATTGAGAGACCAATGGTGAGAGCAAACAGTGCCATGAATGGCCTGCCATATTTAAATCCAACTTAAACTTAGTCTATCCTAGTCTTCGTGAAACACTCCCCATGTTTGCCTCATGCAGCCTCAGTAACTTAAAAGTTTTAATTCAGAGCCCTAAAAATGAACTAGAAATATTGCAATCTGTATTGCCACACAATGCGAATGTATCCCCCAGCAGTGGCAGCGATTTTGTGTCATCCTTATGTTCGAAGGAGGGACAAAGATCCCCTCTCCCCTTCCTGAAACAAAAGGATGATGTAGAGATCGCCACTAGTGGCAAAGACTATTGTCAAGACTAGGAGCAGCATCACCAAAACAATATGTGTGTAGGTTAGAGTATAATGCATCTCTGTAAAAAATTTGAAAGAAATCTGTCAAGAAATGTGCCAGTTAGAGCACACAAAAGATAGCCACCAAAATATGACCTTTGACCCTACAACAAATGATACACAGGTGGCAGCACCACCAAACACTAGGCTAGTGTATAAAAGAAAAAAACTATTTCATGTTAAATAAATAATGACACCCCCACCCCCCCCCCTCCCCCCACTACCAATAAGAACATGTATATGAACCAATACACTGTTAAGATATGAGGCATTGAAACACTGCAACAACAAAAAATTCCAAGTGGTTCACATTTTGTATGTTGTAGAACTATTGAGGTGTGAAAAATAAATATATCTGGTGCAATTGAAGGAGGCAAATCTCATTGATTCAGACGTGAAGAAAAGTATGAATGCCCATGGGGGTTCTGAGACCTGTTTCATAAAACTTGTTATCAATAACAAATACAAAATGTCTATGAAAAATTTGCTCTCAGTCAATCAATGCCCTGATTTTAGTAGCTTATGACAGTTATTGTAACTTGTTATTGATAAAAAAGGTTCATGAAACAGGGCCCTTTACTTCACTTACTTGTTTTGAAGTCAGCTGTCAAAGAAGGAATACTAGAGGGAGTTGCTACCAATGTGACTGTATACAGAGTGCCTTCTGACAACCCAGCAAACTCAGCAAATAGTCTACTGGTAGCAGATACGGGAAACGCAGGGTTTCCCCCAGTTGGGGAAATGGAGACCGTGTACGTAGTAGCAAACTGATTGGGACTCCAGGTCACAGATAAAGATGTAGCAGAGATTTCCTTCAGTCGAATCAAACTTGTATCTCCAAGATCTGAACAAAATAAAAAAGATCGATATTATTAAATAGAAAAAAGATAACAAATTCATTTAGGTATTAGTATAGTATTAATGACTGCTTTGAGAGAAATAGTTGTTTTTATACGCTCTCGGGAAGGTTAGAATTGTGCTATTACCCGAGGCGTGCCGAGGGCAATAGCCCAATTGTAACCTTCCCGAGAGCGTATAAAAACAACTATTTCTCGAATATTAAAGCAGTCATTAATACTTTTATATGCCAAAAAAAAAATGAAAAAACATAAAAAATAAAAAATAAAAAAACTTTTGTCGAAGATGGGATTCGATCTCTTGCGTACAAAAGGTGAGGTAACTTAAATCAGCGCCTTAAACCGCTCGGCTATCGCGCTCTGTTACCATATATCGCAGTTTTTTTCTTATATATACATTAAAATGGATTAAAAACGGCTTCGGGTGGTGGATGCTTCGCGGCTGCTCCATTAAACAGGCCCTTCGTTTACTTTTGCAATGCATATTGGCAAAAATTTAGATCAAGATCTATCGGCAGATGTTTTTTTTTTTTTTTTTTGAAGTTTATTTTCGTCTTCATGTCAACAATGCAAGATAAAATTGTCGGTAAGATCGATCGAGATTCAATTGCATTGAAATTACCGACCAATTCTTCGCACACGTACGGTATCCTCGATCGCTCAGACCATTTTTTAACATGAAAACCTATGGGGTAACCATGGAGACTGACCTATTTTCCCAATAACCATGGTTATTGGGATTTTGAACTGTTTTTTATCCATGGTTACCGGGAATTTTCGGGAACAGTTAAAGTTTATGAATGCAATTTCGACCAATCAGATTGCTGGATTTAATACTTAAGTGAGGTATATAATGATTTATGTAAGTAAGATCAAACTTGTATCTTAAACATCCAACAACAAAAAAGCAGCTAAAAGATAAAAAATTAGGTGGCAGTGATGGATCTAATAAAGTAGGATCACCTTCATATCTCCAGGATATGAAAAGCACATAAATAAGAGTCATTAAGAGAAAACAAATTGAAACACATGTTGGTAGCAGTGATTTAGTCAAATGAAACTTGTATCTCCAAGATCAAATAAAAAAGTGTTTAATGGATAATATATACTGATATAGGTAGATTTAGTAGTGGTTTAAGTCTCTCCAACAGTAATCAATGGTCAATGTAAATACCATGCCAAAGGGCTGAAGTGCCATGTCAGGGCTTGAACCTATGACCTTCGTATTTCCAGTCAAGTGCTTTAACGACTCAACTATGACACCTCTACAATTAATCGTCTCACCTGTCATGAAAGTTTCACTTGCTGCAGAACTCCGTGCTGAACCAGCTACAGATATGATGCTAACTTCATACTCAATTCCGGGATCCAACCCTTCGATGTTGAATTCCGGATTTGATGCCTCTGAGAGGAAATTAGTTGACCCGTAGTCAGGGTCGTACATGACGAGGTAATAATCTGCTTTGCCTGGAGGAGGGGTCCATGATAAAGCTATACTGGTGTCCATGGTTTCCCCCAAGATATCACTCACAACATCAGGAACTAGAAACAAAATGAAATAGTAAGAAGTATTATTTATGATGATGATATAAAAATAATAGTAAAAATAATAGTAGAAATAATAATAATAATGACAGCAACAACAATAATGATAAGAAGAAGAACCTTAATAACAACAATAGTACCGTATTTGCCGGCAATAAGGCAGCACCCCCAATTTTGACATTTAACAACAACAACAACAAAATTGTCTGAGGTGGGATATGAACCCTTCCCTACAAACGTTGATGTGACCAAAATAACCGCCTTAGACCACTCGGCCATCCCGCACTGATCCTCTAACTTGTAGTTTTTTCTCATGTATATATTGCACCTCTCTCTTGTGTATTGCGCCATAGCTATGCTCACACGATTGAGAGGCTTTGGCTACGGCAAAAACTTAAATCTAGATCTACCAGTAGATTTTGGTTGGTAAGTTATGAATTTTATTTACGAGATTGGCAAAACTTTGCCCTTCATTTAAAAAATATAACACATAATTGTCGGTAAGACATGTGTTATTCTAGACAGTTATTCTAGAAATGTCCATCACCTTTCATTCTTGTCCCATATGTACAGATTTGTGCTATGTTTCATGGTTTTGACTTGTAAGTTTTTTTGTTTTTTTACTCTTTCGCCGCATAGGCCGCACCCCAACTTTTTTATATTTTCTCTTCCAAAAATACTGCAGCCTTTAAAGCCGGCAAATACAGTAATGATAATAATACTTATTGAAAAATAATAATAACAAGTCAACGCAAAGCGTACCATCCCCTCGCAGGGTACAAATGGCCTATATACGTCAGAACAAATTACCTCAATTGGACTATACTATATTACTAGGCAAGGAGGTTAATCACATTTTCACATGTATAATTAGGTGTTTTTGCATATTTAATGAGCTATGACCTTTCATCTTTCACCTTTGACCTACATACTCACAATTCGAACTTAGGCTGTACATGTATTTTGATACCATGTACCTTCATATTAATTTCATTAAAATTCGTCAAACATTACTCAAGTTATCGAATGGAACCTAGATTCACATATTTAATGAGCTATGACCTTTGACCTACATACTCCAAAATCAAACTTAGGCTGTGTTTTGATACCATGAAGCTTCATATCAAATTTCATTAACATCCGTCAAACAAGACTAAAGTTAAGGATCGGAACCAGATTCGCATGTTTAATGAGCTATGACCTTTGACCTACATACTCCAAAATCAAACTAGGCTGTGTTTTGATACCATGAAGCTTCATATCAAATTTCATTAACATCCGTCAAACAATACTAAAGTTATGGATCCGAACCAGATTCGCATATTTAATGAGCTATGACCTTTGACCTACATACTCAAAAATTGAACTTAGGCTATGTTTTGATACCATGTACCTTCATATCAAATTTCATTAAAATCCGTCAAACATTACTAAAGTTAATCGATCGGAAACCAGATGTGTATTTTTTCGAATATTTAATGAACTATGACCTTTGACCTTTGACCTACGTACTCCAAAATCGAACTTAGCCTATATTTTGATATCATGTACCTTCATTTCAAATTTCATTAAAATCCGTCAAATATTACTGAAGTTATCGATCCGAAACCAAATTTGTTACGAACGGACGCACGGACGGACGCACAGACGGTAGGGGATAATAATAACAATAACAATATTTAATGATATGACACTACCCAGGGTTTTTAATCTTGTCTTACTTGTTTGAAATTCGGCTCCTGCTAGAAGGTCTGTTCCCCCGGCTGTCACAATGTAGAGGTTGATCCTGTAAATCTGACCAGGATCTAGGTTTTCCAGTGTAGCAGTGGTTACAGTCGGACCAAATGGTAAAGTGGTGAAAGATGAAGCACCCAAAATGCTGTATCGGATCTGAAATCCACTGCCTACAATGCTGGGGAGGGCCCACGCGACTGACAACGATGTAGTAGCATTCGCTTCCAAAAACAAATCAACTGTATAGGGGTTCAATTAATACACATATGATTCGTAACATGGACAATGCATGTAGAAATCACTTGGCTATATTTGATCTTTGCTTGCTGCCCTCTTTGAGACATCTTCATCATTATACCTGTATTGCTCTACAATGTCGGACTATGAAATGAACCGGACTATGAAATGAACCAGACTATTAAGGTATATTCCTAAATGAAGTGGCAGGTTAAGAAAATTGTGAAAGACAAGAGACGTTGTAGCCGGTGATGTTTGACTGAAAGTGTGCTCCAACTGTCTGACTAAAATTTTCTCTAACCAAGACATTAAAGAGTGAAACTTTACATCCTATTATTTGCAGTTTCAATTTGAATCTGTATAAAATAAAAAAAATTAAAAAAAATTATCATGAGCAAAAAACTAACCAAAGGCAACTATTAAAGCTGAAGTTTTGAATTCCTCGTAAAAGTGTTTACAAGTAAATGCATGAAAACTAGAAATATCCCAATCTCCATTGCCGCGCGATGCAAATGCACTGGCAGGGATTTTTGTTTCATCCTTATGTTCAAAGGACAAATATTCTTTCTCCCCTTCTTGAAATAAAAGGATGACGTAAATTTAGAGATCGCGACTAGTGGCTCGGACTAATATTGTCAAGACTAGGAGCAGTAGATTTTACTAAGACACACCTCCATACAAAATTTGAAAGAAATCTGTCAAGAAATGTGGCAGTTAGAGCGCAGAGTAGACATATGACCTTTGACCCTAAAAAGGACGGACAATGAGGGCAGCATCTCCCAAATGTGTAAATGTGTGGATTATACCAAGATACATCTCCGTACAAAATTTAGAGCGCACACAATAGTATGACGCGTCATGCTGATGCTGGAACCAAAGTATCCTTCAGCACACTGCCTGGGGGATACAGTAAAAAAAGAGAAGCATTTACCAAGAACTATGTCACCGGTTGCAGGATTAGAGTATGTACGATCAGCTAACTCGCCACTGAACGTCTGAACTTCAAAAGTGTATGAAATCCCCGCTTGTAGACCATCGATTACCACCGACGTATCGCTACTTCCCACGAAGCGTTCTTGATCACCATACGTGATCCTGAAGCCATCATACTTGTGATACTGAGTTCCGATAGGCTGCTCATACGTCACTTGTACGCTGGTACTGGAATCAGGGCTCAGCAGAAGGTTTGTTGCCGGATTAGGAACTTAAAAGAAGAGGATGTAAATAATAAGATATTAACAATAATAATAATGATGATAATAATAATAATAATAATTATAATGAAAAAAAGATGAAGAAGAATTATAAAAATAAAAAACATTATTAACAATGGTAATCTTTACTTGGATAGTGCTCATATCCATCATGCTGTGACGCTGATGGTGTGTTGATACATTTATTGTGAGACGGTTGACGAGAAGCGCTACCCTTTTCTCAATATGTTCATCAAAATTCAGCTTTCCATTAATTGATATAAAGTTTTTTAAACCTTGCATCAGGTGCAATTTTTAGTTAAATACAGACCTTTTACTTAACACAAATAGCACGGTATAAGTTAAAGACTAAACCAACCTGTTCTATGCCGAGATGAGTAAACAATGGCTTGTGTATTGGAGTCGGTCATTTGCAGTTCATACAGTAAACCCCCTTGAAGCCCCAGATAAAATATGGATGTTAACTGTGGGCCGATTGCACGCGGTGCTACAGTAAGTTCTGTGGACGCGTCCACAGTTCTTCCAGAGAGAATGGTGTTCACACCCGTAGCAGGGAAAATCAGTTGAAAAAAGTTTGATCCTACATTATCACTGCTCGTGCACAGTTGGCAAGCTAGGATGACAAACAAAAACAAAAATATTGTAATTTCATCATTGTATATTAAACACTCTAAAAAGTTAAAATAGGGTAATTCTTGTGGTCTATCTATTCTGCCGTGGTAACAAATACATAATCACATCTATGGTAATTTCACCTATATTAAATTTAAGACACACCAAAATTCAGACCTACATGTTTCTAGAGTTGAGGTGCACTGACTTTTTAAATTTGAATACATCTTCCAAGATGGCTGCCATGATGGCTGCTATGATGGCTGCCAAGATGGCTGCCAAGATGGCTGACATGTTAACAATATAAAAGTAGTAGTGACCAATCATCAGTTCGCAAGAAGGAATTCAAAGTAAAGAAGGAAGAGAGTGTCAGGTGTTGAGTGGGTTAAAGGTTGAAAAGTCATAACAGAGAGTGAGGTTGCCTTGGCAGGCAAGGTCGAATGGGTAAGAATGAGTAAGGGTAGAACAAAGGAAGTATTAAGAATAGAGATAAAAGGGGAAGGAATATAGGTCATAGCTAAATGTAAATTAAATAATTACCCATGAGTAAATTATAATCTTAAAATGGGGCGTTCACACCTACAGAAAAGAGGTGAGATTTAAAAATCGATTTTTGTATCGCGATCAAATTCGCAGTAAGTCTTCTGAATTTTCAGAATAATCGCGATAGTTTGCCGGGCGCTGTCTGTGTGAGAATGGTAATGAGAATAAACTAGATGGAACTTCGATTGCGCGCAGTCGAAAGTGATGCCTCCGTCACAGATCAATTTTACAAACCAAAACGGAAGAAATTTTTCAAATTCAAGTTCGGTTATAATCCATTAACAGTTTCTCAGAATATTGTGATTACAAGCTATTTCTCGTATACATGTATGACCCTTTGATCTTTGACCTCATGACCCCAAATGCAAGATACATACATGTCTTGAGTTTGATGGTAATCTGTCCATCTGTTCTAATGATAATGTGATCACAAGCTATTTTTGCATGCATAATGAGCCCTATGACCTTTTACCTATGACCTCATGACCCCTAAATGTAATCAATTCATTGGCTCTGCAAGGTACATACATGACCTAAATTTGGCAGGAATCCATCAATCAGTTCTTGAGATAACGCGATCACAAGCTATTTTTGCATACATGAGCCCTGTGACCTTTGACCTCGTGACTCCAAAATCCAATCAATTCAGTGGCTCTGCAATTTACATACATGACCAAAGTTTGGTAGGAATCCATCAGTCGGTTGTTGAGATAACGCGATCACAAGCTATTTTTGCATACATAATGACCCCTGTGACCTTTGACCTCGTGACCCCAAAATGTAATCAATTCATTGGCTCTACAAGTTACATACATGACTAAAGTTTGGTAGGAATCCATCAGTCTGTTCTTGAGATAACGCGATCACAAGCTATTTTTGCATACATAATGACCCCTGTGACCTTTGACCTTGTGACCCCTAAATCTAATCAATTCATTGGCTCTGCAAGTTACATACATGACCAAAGTTTGGTAGGAATCCATCAGTCGGTTCTTGAGATAACGCGATCACGAGAATGGGACGGACGTAAGGACGGACGGACAACCCGAAAACATAATGCCTCCGGCTACTTCGTAACGGAGGCATTAAAATCAATTGATTTACTCCCAGGATTCCAAGCACACAACGTCGTTGAGATTCATGCATGGGCAGTTTGGACGTTCTTGCCGTCGAGCGAGAATTCTTTGTGTGTGTGTATGGTCGCCAAAAATAATTTTGCATCGCGAAACAATTCACACTAAATTGTCTTGTATGAACGGTCGCAAATAACAAGCGATCCGACTCGTTTTGTGTGAAAGAGCCTATTATGATCACAATGTCAATATGATTTCTGTTAAAAAAAAAGTAACTTACCTGGAATATTGATGCCAGCATTTTCAACTGGTGTTCCCCCTTGGTCATCAGAGTTGACAGCCACAACGCCGAACATGTAAGTGGTATCATCGTAGAGATGATCAATCTCATATGACCCATCAGTACTGGGGAGTAAGGATCTCTCATACACATCATTGGTGTTAGTATTTGTTATGGTCACATTGTAAAACTCTGGGGTGTTGCCACCAGTTGGTGGATCCCAGGTCGCTGTGAACCCCCATTGCTGAATATTGTTGATGACAAGATTCAGAACAGGTCCGGGTATCTGTGCAGTGGATAGCTGGAAGACATAAATTCAAAGAAAATATTACTCTTAAAAAGAGCAATCCAACCTTTGTAATATGTTCATTTTTATGAATTCAAAGCAGGAAAATCATTAAAAAAAAGAATGGTACAATATTGAAAAAAAACTGACCAATAATAAAAGAGTTTATGAGTGTTTGAAATATGAGACCACTGAAGCTAAGTGATTCTCAGATTGGAAAGTTTGTCAGTAGATTGTGACGTATTCACAGACAACGCTCCTGTTTTTCGTGCACAAAAATAATTATTTCTTTTCTCCTACAGTGCCATCTCCCTTGGGGCACAACTCATAATATAATATAATAACATATTATTATAGGTCCTCTAAAAAAAAACAAGGCCCTCCAAAATCATATAAAAGGTATTTTAAAGGAAAAAAAACACAGTTTAGTTAGTGTGTAAGTTGGAACGAACGAAATAGTTGTCGGGCACTACATCACAGTGACAATACCAATTAAAAGTTGATAAATCTTTCATTTTTTGTCTGATTTCATTTAAACTTTCACCAGTGTTCTTCTCTGGTTTTTTCTGCTTTCTATTAGATTAGTTTGCTATGAAGGTTGGATTTCACTTTCACTGTAACTGTAAAAGTCAATCTATCTCCTCAAGCTGTTTTGGAAAAAAATCAATCAACTGTAACAAGCGTAAATTAGAATACAGAGACTTGGTATTTTGAAACCAAAATATTTATATCCTGGTGGTTAAAAATGAAACCAAGGCAACACAAATATTAGCATAATTATGATAATATTTTGTATACCTAGGGAAGCATCATCAGCATCAATGCTCTTCTTCCCGAGGGGCGAGGGCCCTTTTATTAACATTAATCTAGCAATTACTTGGTATCCATGAAGGGAAACCTTACCCCAAGATATAACTTTAATGATTCTGAAAGGTTTATCGGTATTCTTTCCCATTAATCTACAAGATTTCTCATCAAAGTGTATGAGAGTGGTATAAAGCACGATATTCTTTGCACAATAATGTACTTTCTCAGCACGACATGGGCATCCCCATTTTCTTGATAACGTGGGTATACGTGGCTCCTTACCAATCTATCAACAGAACTGGATCCAGACACATCAACTACTGGTATGTGAAGTCGTTTATCAAGTATATGTCTTTAAATTTATAGATGCTGAAGTATTTCATTCACTCAAGGGGAGTGTTTCACACAAACTAAGATTGACTTTAAGTTGGACTTAACTATGGCAGGACGTTCATGCCACTGTTTGCTCTCACCATTTACTGGCAATGGTCTCTCAAGGGACATACAAATCATGGTAACACATCTACAGAATTCAGCCTTTATGATAGTTCATTATTGAAGGAAAAAATATTATCTAAAGATCATAATTGAGAGACCAATGGTGAGAGCAAACAGTGCCATGAATGGCCTGCCATATTTAAATCCAACTTAAACTTAGTCTATCCTAGTCTTCGTGAAACACTTCCCATGTTTGCCTCACGCAGCCTCAGTAACTTTTAATTCAGAGTCCTAAAAAAATGAATTTAAAAACATGGCAAACATTTCTGCACATTTTTGTCCATTTTTGTCACATGATCACTTTCCGTTTTGATGCTAGGATTTTTTATAGGAAAATAAAATGTTAAATTTTTTAATTATCTATTTAGCTACACACTGAGAAGTTTAAAATCACTGTTTTTCTAACAATGGCATTTAAACAAATCAACATAGCTTGTAACCATGCATATTTTTTCCAAAGACCTGACCTTTTATTAGAACATGTTCTGCCTCTAAAAAGTATAACTGTATAGTTAATTAAAGAACAAAAGGTGATAAGAAAGACCTTAAAAATTTCCTGTCCTGAAAGGGTTTTATTGCCAAAAAACACAGGGATTGGGCCATAAATGCATTCTAAACCCCTACCAAAATTTCCAGTGTACTTAATTTTCATGACCCAAAACAACTTTATACCCAACTGAGAAAGAAGCGCTTCTCTTGTGGTAGTGCTTAAAGTGACTCGGTAATGCCTAGGTCACATATAAACCGGGCCCTGTACGATTTTCCCTACCCGGCAGCTTGCCGTGGATTTAGAGACCGTACATTTTCATTTCTATGGCATGTGTGGTCACATATTCTGCGGCGCCCGGGAGAAGCCCGGAGAAAATTGGTCGAGTGAAATTCAAGGCGCCCGTAAGGGTGCCGGCAGGTTGCCGGCCAAGTGCCGGCCGGTAACCTTACGGGCTCCGTCCAATGAGCAGGTGTACCGATGACTCCTGGAAGGTGCCCTGCCAGGGCCCGGCCGGTCAGGTACAGAGTGAGTCAGAAAAAATGTCCAACTTTTTAAAAGTTGTATTGTTTGAAGTATGAATATTTTAATCATGGGTTTCATGATATATCTTGCTATAATTATCCTCCCAGTACATTTAGGTACCGTTTTCATTTGAATTTCTGCATGCATCACTGAATATCAGACAATCTTTACAAGACTGCCAGATCTCACTTGCGCCAAAGATTTTTACTTTTTTAAACTTTTTTGAGGCACTTCATGATCATTTTGAAGAGCAATTTGTTAGGGCTTCCATATAATACACTATGCCTTTGAGGGGATGTCCACCCTGACATTAATGAAAAAAAAGCAGGCCAGTGAAAGCTTGAGCGAAATTCAATTAAAAATGAAAAATATTATGAATTTTTGAAGGTACAATCGATCAAACACAAATTGGCAACTCTGTTCAAGCATCCCTCCCATTTGCCCTAGCTGCACTAAAAAATATAAAAAATCTATAATTTCCCTCAAGAAAATGTTCAATCTTACACTCACCCTAAATATTATACTGCAAAATGTTTTTAAACAACCCCTGTATGAAACAAATCTATTCCTCCATAAATAACAAAGAAAATGAAGGTTTAAGAAATTTCTGTACACAGCGCAATTGGGGAGGAGCTTGCATGATACCTCAAAATGTTGCTGATTTGTGTTTAACTAAATGTCAACTTTAAAAAATCTATTTCCAATTGGATTTTCTCATTATCTCATTTTTTTGCTTTTATTAAACTAATGGTAATAATTATCAGGGTGTCTAATGCCTAACAAATCATATATGAAGTCTAGTATACAGTTCAGTGCCCTAGTAAAGATCCTATCCCCATGCACCGCCTTAGACAGAAATAACCATCTGATATGGGTCATTTCTTTAATAAAACTGACATTTGTTGACATTCCCCATATACAGACGGTAACAGAGATCTCGTACCGTGGGGGTAGCTAGAGCCAGCGATGTACATCTTTTCGTCCACAACATTTTCTCCCCAATTTTTTTTTATTTAGATCTTATTTTCTGATTTCTAAATCAGATGTAAAATAGGTTTAAGTAGTGTCCTCCTATTTACACTACATATTTTTAAATGACCTCTTCTCCAAATATAAAATTAATGGACTTACTTATACGAATTGTCCCATTTTCGGCAAGCTGTACCTTTCGCCGTACTTGAACTGTGATCTATGACCCGCAAGATATATTTCCGGGTCAACAGACTGGCTGTATTATTAACGAACACATCGATCAGGGGGTCTTTATTATCTTACAGGATCTCTATGGGCTCACTTACGCACGCTTGCACGTATATCTGTGATAGGTCATTGGGGGTGGAGTCTATCGACCTTTCACAAACTTTATAATGAATATTCATTATACTCAATTCAAGATGGCTGACTGGCAATCCCACTGACGAAAAGTCTTTTTTGAATGCAAAAAATCTATTTTGGAGCTGAATAAGCAGGCTATTGTGAGTCAAAGTATATATTTAAGTTTTTGTTATTGTATAGATAACCGGGGCTGTAGTATTGCAGAAAAATTAGATATGATGAAAACGTAAAAAAAGTGAAAAACCTCGGAGCATTTCGTTCATCTCTATTCGGTCACTCTATCCTCACAGTCCCGATAGGCCATACTTCAGTCTCTATAATCGGAGGTCTAGTGGAGCAAGACGTAGTCTCAGTGGAACAACCGACGATTAGAGAGACTGAAGCTTTCGGTCTAGCACCGCCCGACCCCTCCCCGGCCCTCCCACCAACCCTGACCCTGTCCCCACCTAGGTCTAATATATTTATATATATTGGATTAAGTGGATCTATAAAGTATTGAGTCCAGACCCAAAAGAGACTTAGCAATTTATACTTTAACCTTGCCAACTATTTTTTAAATAAATCAGTCACCACACGCGCCACATAAAGAGAGAGACAAGAATTGTTAAGGAATTATTCAATTCAAGTTTATAACAAATTTACCTTAGTAGGGTCTAGAGTAATTATTATGTGTGGGGAAAATATTTGCATGCACAGAGCAAATAGATTTTTTTTTTTTTAATAAATACACACTTCTTCAGCAATATTTTTTCTAGACAAAAAAGCTTGTCTGACATAGCAACAACCAATGTATGCAAATCAAACTTTTCAGTTTTTGGAGCGAGTCCATTAGCATACAGGCAAGACAAGTGTATTGAATTTAAATACACCAGTGGTTCTGGAGAGAAAAATGAATAGAATTGAGATCCATTTGTAATTCCTAAAACGACTATTAACAAACTCGTGGCATTATTCAAAATATCCACCAGCGCACAGAGCATCCGCTAGCCGTCTTGCCCGTGTCCTCCACACACATAAACAAGACAGCTGGCCTGTCATATCGAGAGGGGCGCGCAGCCAAAGGGGTGCAGGCAGGCGGTGTCCACTGGGAGCGGAGTAGGGTAGAGAGAGCGTTCACGGCCCGATGAAGAATATTATAACTACAGGTGGATGCTTTGACTCAATAAACCGTATCATGGAGTGCACCGTAATTGTTAGATCATTCACATCATTTAAATAAAACTTAGCCAATTATAATAGAAGATAAGGAAGACATACCAAAGTGAAACGTTGTTACGATGCTCTATTCATTTGCTTCGATTGCTTGAGCTGAGATGGGTCATGTACCTACTATGTCCATGGATGTAATAGATCATTATTTGCCGATCGCGATCGCACGTTTCATCTAGTGTTTTGTCGTCTGCAAATGAAATGTCCTATTCGCAATCGACGTTGAGGGCATACATGCAGCCCCCGAATATTGTCAATGTCTGAAATATCAGTTCAATGTCCCCATAATTATATAGCTGCTACAGGAAATCTCAGAATTGATCTAACAACAAAAAAAGTTATTCATAAATCAAATACGGAAAAGAGAATAAGATCAGACGTTTTAGTGTATGTTTCTGCGTTTTCAAAAATCTACAAAACAAGATATCCTGTTTTCTGGTTTGGTTGATGCTACTATATATATGGATAAGGAACTCACGTCCCCCCCCCCCCAGGCTGCCAGCAATGCTGATCATTGAAAACGACGTTAAAAAGCAAGCAAGCTTACTCGTTATAATGCTACCAACTACCATTAATGACTGCAATTGCATGATTCTGTATTCAAAATATATATGTATTACATCTTTTGACACAATTTGTATATTCATGATCCTAATTTTCATAACACTTACCAATCTCCTTACTTTAACCCTAAACCACAAGTTTATGCTGACCCTATTCAACCAAATCGTAACGAAAAGCCCTAACCGTGCAGCTATAACTTTGTTTAAAAAAATAAGCCCCGAGATAACAAGTTTCTGTACGGCAAATTTAAAGATAAAGGCCGTTATGGTCATGCGATTGTATTGTGAAAGAACTTGTGACGTTGTGAAATCGATCAGAAAAGGTTGATCATCTAGCATAGATGTATTGCAAGGTTCTGGAATCATCAAAATGATAAGAAATTTGGCCCATATGCAGTCTTCAAAAAGTTAAGCACTGTACACAGAAAGATGTATATGGGACTACGCAGACGTGCGCGACACGTGCGTTTTTATCTCTCACATACCAATAGATAAACTAATTTACCAAATATATTAATTAGTAGGCGGTTTCCCGGCAAAAATTTTATCATCATGTATTATTCAAAACATATTCTTTCACATGATTGGTAATAAGAGCTTCTATTTCAGTTTTTTGAAATTGGGGCATTTCCAATACTAGTCTTTACCTTTAAGTTACGCAAAAGTATACCCCATTATAAACACACCCAACTCAACTAATGACTCACAATTCCAATCGTAAGGCTATACACGAACAGCGTTTCAATAATTGTGGGTGTGACCGGAACGATATATTTGCTTTACAATGGATTGTGCATTTACATCATGAATATTCTTACAAATCATGCTCGTGATTTCTTTGGATCCCTTGGAGCACATCCTTGCTTTGATTGTCATGTCTGTTTGTGTGTGTGTGTGTGTGTTCGTTCGTTATGTCTTGTTCTTTAGGGAAAGGCCTACATTTTATGTATATATTTTGTCTTATAAAGAGAGGGGTAAAATATTCCTGAGCTGCCAAATATAGTTTTGCTTGAGTCATGCAGCCACTCGGATAGCTTTTTTGTGTGTAAAAGAGGGATTACCGCTTGATATGCGTAATATGATGCCACAGATAACTCTGGGTTTTGGGGTGTTTTTTTGCTCTTTCTTTCTTTCTTCATTATTTATTTCTTTCTTCCTTTATATTAAAGATATTAATGCATTTGTAATGCAAATAGGATAGTAAAACAGGTGTGATTTAATTTCATCGTTATCTCACACACCATGTTGCATAACATGCAGCATATAGGCCTATACAAAATGTAATATCGAAAAGGCTTATATCAAAGTTTATTCTAAAAATGGTGTATACACAAGTGATTGCAGTCACCTAAGTAAAAGTCTGATTTTCAAACTCTTTTACTTAATGCTTGTATGTTTTGTGCTGCACAAAGATTTAATCAGTTTAATTTTGGCCATTACAAGTTGTGGGTTATTGATGTAGACAGTTAATCATGTATTTGTTACAGCTCATTTTGTGTATGTTATTACCAAAGAATGTGTATGACAGTGAAGTCTAGAAGGTAAACGGGTTTCCTTGCATAATTTTAATACTACGACACTGCTAATGTTTAAATCTCCCAGAAAGGACATACATGACATATTCATAATTCCTGCTAAGTTCTACAGAATTTGATGTTGGGTACAAAAGGGGCATGAGGGTGCGATGGCATTGGATGGTATAATTTGTTTTAATAATTACAACTGGTATTCCTTAATGACGATTATATCTTGCTTCTCATTCAGCCTCCTTTTTCTCTTTATATTTCCCTTTTCTCCCTTTAAGTTCTTCTTTTCTTTCCCCTCTTCTTCTTCTTCTTCTTCTTCTTCTTCTTCTTATTCCTTTTACAATATTCGTCTTCTTTCCTTCTTTTTTCTTCTTTCTTAATTCCTCCTCTCATTCTTATAGTAGTAGTAGTAGTAGTAAGAGCAGAAGTAGTAGTGGAAGTAGTGGCAGTAGAAGTAGAAGTAGTAGTATTAGTAGTAGTAGAAGTAGTAGTAGTAGTAGTATTAGGTAGTAGTAGTAATTTTATTAGTAATAGAGTCATTACTAAATGGATCATTGTCACTGTAGTAGTAGAAGTAGTAGTAGTAGTAGTTAGTAGTAGTAGTAGTAGTAGTAGTATTGGTAGTAGTAATAGTAGTAGTAATATTAATAGTAATATAATCATTATTAAATGGAACGTCGTCACTGTTATCATCATAATCATCGTCCTCGTCGTCACACTCATTTTATTTTTCATAGTTCAAAGCATATATCTACATACTATTACTACAGCGAACAGGGTAGTAGAAAATTGTGTATAATAAAATACAGATAGCTGATATAATTTAATATAGGATTTTTTGTACAAAACGGTAATAGAGACAACAAACACCCATACCAATACATCCGTTATGGTTGTTTTGAATTCTCCAACTTTCAAAATGCGCTATACAAGTAGCCACTATTATTATTAGTAGTAGTAATCCATTCAATTTCAGAGTGAACATATTGAAAATATTTTTTTGTATCATAATTCTGGGGCATCTCACCTCCATTCTCTCTTGGAATACATTCACTGTCCCATGTTTCAAATCTGCCACGTTTTATTCAATATTGAGCCTGATATTAGTTCTTAATATTTCACGAAACTGTAATAATAACTCCTACAAATTTGTAATATTAAAAAATAATATTTTTCTCCACGCACCATGTAAAATTGGCTATAGCTGAAACAAAATCTTATTTGATACTTTATATTCGCAAGCGAGAAAATCGAGATATTTAAAAAAAAAAATTTAAATCAGATATCAGGATAAATAAACTGATCTTAGAGTTAGAATAATGCAGCAAAATACATAATAATTGAATAAAAGAAAATACAAATACATTTAAACAAAAACTATTACAACAAACATTAGACCGGACAAACAATTACACTACCCTGAACGGCAAAAAAAATGGTCCATTTTGGGTTGGTAAAGAGTCGATTTGGCGTTGTGACTGAGGCGTTTCGAGTTACATCCTTTCATTTTTACCTTTCATATTTTCTCTTGTACTGAACCATATATTCATTATATTGCAATACAGACACTAAGGGCAGGTTTTGTACTTTCAATTATGATTAGAACATGATATGGAAAAGAATTTGAATAATTCATAGATAGTCATCAGTGTTTACAGTATAGTAAACAGAACATGAGCAGTGTTGTAGATAGTTATGGCAAGCTTTTAAAGGATGATCCTATCCTTGCAATAAGTTTGTTTGTATGAAAGCAGAAAACAAAATGATACACAGAACAGCGAAAGTTTGAAACAAATCGAACCAATAATTACAAAGTTATGAATGTCAAGAACGGGAGTGAACTGAAACTGCAAGAGTGCACCAGAATGGCAGAAGAGTGAAATAGAGAGATGTTGCAATCAACCTCCGAACCGGGAGAAGATACTTAGATAGATAGATAGATAGAATGTTTGAAATATGGGATCACTACGTCTATGTCAATCTCAAATTGGCAATTCGATCAGCTGATTGTGACGTAGTCGAGGATAGCTCTCCCGTTTGTCATGGTCCTCATGGACAAAACAAAAATCATGATATCATTGATTTCTGTTTTTCTCATTAGTGGCTTCGCCCTTAGGGCACTACTCAAAATATATTATGAATAGCACATTATTATAGGTCTCCTAAAGAGAACAGTCCCTCCTGAGTTACACATTTGTGAACAATTGAAATTTTAGTTATTCTGTGTGTTGGAACAAGTGGAAAATTTGTCTGCAGCTGCATCACAAAAACATTACAGATTCAGGATATGAAAAGCTTTTTCCATATAACCTCAAAAAAGTCGCAAAATTTTTCATTTTTGGTCCAATTTTATTTAAACTATCACCATTTTACTTTCCTCTAGAGTAATTTGCAATCAAGGTTAGATTTCCCTCTAATATTAAATGCGAAAGGATATGTGTTTCTTTATTAAATAGAGTCATTACAAATTTTTGTAATACTTCATATGGAAAAAAATATTCAAGGCTAAACCATAATAAGGAAACGAAGTTGTAATCAATTTAGATAGTTATGACATTTCTTTTAAATATCACATTGAAAGGAATTTACGGTTGTACAGTTGGTGATCATCACAAAATGTTGCATACTATATCAAGGTGGCCGTTGCATTATTGTAGGCCGTCAGTCCAATTAGTACTTGAATGTGATATAGAAAATAGATTGGGGATTATTGTTTAGATAGTCATTACAATTATTTACAGTTATTTTACATGGTGAATAAATAAAACAAACTAACAAACAAACAAACAATTCTTCATTAGGAGAAGAACATGTGAATATTAAAGGGACTTTAACATTGTTCAGATGAGAGAATATGGTGCTAAGGTAGTGAATTCAATGCTAGATGTGCAATTAAAGATGATCTGAAAGTTTGAGTGAAAACATACCGTTATTAATGATACAAAATTGGGCAAAAACTGATCTGATCGCTTCGTTACTTCTCCCAACTATATTATTACAATTTTAGGGTGAATTTAAATCGCAACGCAGCATGGAATTAGCTTTATATTCCATTCCAGACATTTAAGTGTTGACATATTTTTAAAAGCCTGTTGTTTGTCTTAGTTTCATAGAAAAATGGTTGGGAAAATTCAAAAATAGTTGGGACAGTGACGTCTGCTAAGAAAATCATAAATGTCT